ACATCAATGGATTTCATTGCGCCAATTGCCTGCCGATACTTGTAGTAAATTGTTATATACAAAAATTACTGTTTAACATTCAGCTAAAAACTTAACAGATTTCTAATCTTTATATGAAATATATTTCAAATAATACAGCCTTAAAACACAGAAATTATCGAAAAGTACGTCAAAATATGTATAAAAGTAAATTAAAATTAAGTCATCAATGGCGTGCACCAAACCACACTACATTACGAGCAATAATATTGAATATTTAGCATACACAAATGCATGAAGTGGCTACAAAAAATACTGCTGTTCGATAAAGTGCCAAAATTCTTTGATCTCAAACATAGTAAGTAATTAGGCAGCATTACAAATGGTAAACTATTCAATATTTTCAACAGGTTTCACCACAGAACGGTTTACGAAAGAGTGAAATCCATAAAACCGTCAAACAATGGATATTACTATTAATTTATTGAGATTCAATGTTGGTTTAGTAATCAATTTCAGCGTCTGTTATGCAAATTTTCTAAAAACAATAAAGATGTAGGATAACTCTACTAAGTACAAATAACAGGGATCATGTTGTTTTGCTTGCCGGCTTGCAAATGTTTACGGAGGTAAGTTCAGCTAAATTACCTGTGGTCCAAATCATTAATGGCTAAATCATCAAACTAGCTGTTTTGATTAGAAGAGGAAATAAATGGGTTCTGCTGAATAAATCCAGCTTGAAGAATAACTTTAAGGAAACGTGTTTTCGCGGCTTATTTATTATTCTATTATTCTTATCGTTATTAATTAGACAAAGCATGAAAATATTAATAGCAAATGCACCGATATTTGATAAAGTGTTAACAGAAGGTTGCCGATTTTTGTTTTTCTATAATTTTTGAATGATTGCAGTTGATACTTTAGAGTTCAACGTTATTTTTTATTTGAAATGAACATTAGTTGCCACAAAATAAATTACTCAATTGTAAATTTGATTTGTTTTGCCTAGTCTACTAAATATAGAGTTTCCTGCACATGACTTGCACCACAGTTTCCGATTTTCTTTAATTGCAATCAACTGGACGATGAAATCGATTCTAGATAGATCCCTGGATCATTAACCGTGCCATAAATTAGCCCAAACTAAACAAAATAAGGCAGACCAATTTGTTTACCATTCACCATTTGTTTTGAATTAATTATAAAAAAAGAAGAATTATATAAATATAGTTTGGGCGTGTTAGTAATGTATTTAAATTTAGGTGACCCAAGCTGGGAGATTTGCACTGACCGTCTAAAACAATCTATCAGTAGATTAGCTAAGAGGAAAATATTTTTCAACTTTTTTTAGGTGGTTTTTACGTTTAAACCACTATTTGCCAAAACTGCAACATTATCGAGACCTTAGAACATAATTTTCTAATTAGTAGAGGGCAGCAGAATCAACAGATGACACGATATTCTGATGACAAGATAATTAATTATCAGGACTTTATTGACTTTTCAGATACATTACAAGGACGAATTGGAGTGGGATATTTTTTATAATATGAGAATTAAAGCTCATTTAGCTCTCCCTTAGTTCCTTTCCCAAATGCCCAATGGTAGATGTTATTCGTTGTTTAATTTCAATTATTTTTTACGGTTGAAAGGTGCTCTTTTAAAATTGGATGCCTAGGCTCTTGTAAGTTGAGTGAATATAAAGAGTGAATAGAAATGTTACATTTTTGATAAATTTAAAGTTTTAATATCAACATAAATCCACCACTAACGCGCTGCATTTAAAGGGCGTTCGTTTGTATTTTACTCAACTTTAAAATATTCAGAACCGTTGGGTCAGTAAACTTTCAGAACGTTTGAATTGTTGAACTTTGTCGACTTTCTAATGTCATTAAAATTGATGATCTTTACTTCTTATCCATATTACTTTGCGTCTTCAGTCTTGTGAATATTTCTGGGGTAATAAAACAAAGAAAACATAAAAAACGGCGAATATACAAAAACAAATGCATTTGATCTGGCGATGGATGGTAAGTTAAAAAAACCTATGAGGGCATTTGATGCGATTTTCATGAAAACAATCCCAGAAAATCTAACAATAATTCTTTGCTGATTCACTTTTGTATTAAAATTTGTAATATTAGAAACACTTAAAACAGCAACGACAATTAGATAAAACCACTGGAACATTAAGTACCTAAATAAATTATCGAGAGCAAAATATATTAAGATTACACCGAATGTAAGCGATCCATTGGCCAGATAATTTCAAACTCGCTAATTAATACCGGAACTTAATTCCGGAACATTAAACCGGAACATTAAAGTTCTCTGGACTTAAAATCGACGAACTTCTTGATTAACATAAATTTTCCATTAAATAATAGGAAATACTGTACGAAATTTTAAATTAAACATCAGATCTGAATTAATTATTCATTCAAATTCCATTTAATTCGGACGTTCCATAGGCGATGAATAAATATGTAAAGATTGCGGTGCTGAGAGCGAGAGAATCATTGACAAATATTGTTTCGTATTGATGCGATTATTGACCAAATCAACAGAAGACTAGTCGATTAAAATTGATTCACTCTTTACGCCTAGAAAAATATTAGAAATGACTCTTGAGAAAATTTTCAAAGTTAGATGAGGATTTGTTTCATACAGCGCTCATTTTTCACCTTTGTAGAATAATGGAAGTCGATATAAACCATTCAACCTCAACATTGGGTACCACTTTTATTGTTATTCCAGCCACTACCTATAACTTGAACTGAAAATCATTCCCAATCAACCTTTGATACTTGATAATTTTCCCAATCTTATCAGCTTCGGACTGTCCCAAATTTTACATGGATCTACTCACGGTCTAAACATAACAAACCGTAAAATACAACTAAACAAAACACCGTAAAAAGAAACATGCAACCTCGAAAGATAATGAAATAAATTGTTTTTTGCATTTTCAGAAGGAGCTTATCTTACATGGTAAACATTCTAAAAACAAATTTTGAATAAAAATTTCCAGATTCATAATCTGGCATCTACTCTAAAGAAGTTAATTAAAATGTTAAGCTAATACCCTTTTATGCCATTGTGTTACTTCCACTTTTACTCAAGAATAAAGTCTATTGATGATTTAATCGCTCTTTGAAGTAGCGACATTTCTTTACAGCTTCAAAGACGAAAATCTTAAGCGAGTGAATAAACGACGATTAAGGTGACATTTCTTTTAAACTTATATCTGGCAAATCAAAATCGCCCAACAAAATATACAGGACAATGATTTGTTAAATCCGAAAGATTTCCGGTTAAATTGTGATTCACAGGCTTCGATAGTTAAAGAGATACGAGTAGATCAAATGCTGATCGTTCTAGCACGTTTAGATTCTTCTTTGGCTCCATGATCTTTCCCTGTATCAATATTTGTAAAAATAGTCATTGTTTGAAGTTGTTGATGAGTTTTTTGCGCCACTCGTGCTTGCGAAACATCAGAAAAATTCCTTTTCACCTTGGCCTTAAAACGCGAAAAACTAACCCACAACCTGTAAATTTCGAGTCACAATTGCTAGTGTAAACTGTGTGCGTTTGTAGTTGCAAATTTCTCTGCAGAATTCACATTCCAAATAACCAAATCGCCCTTTAAAGACCAGTTTTTTATGTCTGCACGGAAATTGCATAATTAACACTTTGACTAAAGCTGCGATATTTAGGACAGAGGTTTTTGAAATGTCTACACCCTCGTGTTTGTGCCTGTATCTGCAGTTATATTTCCATCAATTACTAGATAATCATTATCAATTACCAGATAATACTTGAAAATTTAATCCTACCATAAAACGATGTTTGTATAAAAAATAACAAGAAATAGCGTAAACGGGGTTTAACTAGAATTTTTATCATGTATTTTATACTCGAATTGACTTACATGGTTGCTGACTTGATTCGCTAGAGTAATTTGAGAAGACCAAATATTTCAAATACTGAAGATTTTTCTTTCTGATTTAAAACATTGTTTAAAGATCGAAAATAATATGGAGTTTGGAATCGAGTCAGAAAAACAAACTAAAACTGGTCCATCAAAAGACGTGAATAAATATTGATACAGAGGATAATAAGAAGGATGAAGTTATAATTTCATAAACAATCCACAAAACGTGGCTAGCTGAATAGATGGATAAATAAATTAAAAGCCGCTTCTATAAACATCTGAATCAATGCGCTTAATCAACGTTAGATTTTGTATGAAATATGAATTGTTTATAACACACTTAATTAACTAGTTAAGGTTGATCAGTGCAAAAAATTTGAATTTCTCAAATATTCATTTGAGTACATATTGAAAATCTTGAAGAAGAGATTAATTAACTCACCACTTTGGTTGATTAAATCACAAACTGAAGTTCCGGTAATGTTTTCGGTAACTTAGAGCGCACATTAAATGCAATCCAGACGCGCGTTTTTTACTATTCGAGCGGGAAGTATCCCGAGTGAATTTTCCAAATATACTGGCAGAACGTTCAATCGCGCGCCGGTTTTCAACTTCACACAACACAGAAGAAACCTGTCCAAATTTCCATGATTTAGGGATGTGAAAATTCATGCGCGTCTTTGAAGAAGTTTTCAGTAAAGGCAAAGGATGCAGGTGAGGCAAGCATTCCCTTCTGGGGCAAAAAGACGACAATCTAATAACATTTTTAAATGCATGGGGCAAGGTATGAAGAAATGGAGCCAAGAGCATTTACTTAAGTGCCGCTTTAATATTTGAAGTTTGATACCTGATTTCCTTTGTGACTTTTACCATCTATTGACCCATTGATATTTACACCAATTAAACCCCTGACTCATTCAAGATGCAAGAACCTATTTATTTCCACAAATATTTCATTCATTTGATTTCCGGCTTCAAAAGACGCAACGTTTGGGTTATAATTAGAGATTTATTCTCGGTACAAACAATACTGTTTTGCGACTCTATTTCTAGATGAAATAAATATTTAGATATATCTTTTACTTACCAACACAAAAATTGTTAAATCCCCACTGAAAGTCACCACCGCAATTCTTGTTTATCGATTTGAATCGTCATCCATTTCACGTTTCACACTAATAATATCACAGATTTCTCATTAGCGTCCGATTTAAAATTTCTCAATTCGACTACATCAAATCGATGTGGTTACTGTCAGATCTTTTCAGTGATTCTTATCTATAAAATCGGATTATCCACCCAGTGATAACGAAATGTACTGTCTGTTTCCACTTGTTCGATGCTCAAATTGGTACCAAATTTTGATATTGATGATGTTCGATCGTTCGAGTTTTATCAGCAAATTATAAATAACTAGAATCAATTGTGTCAATAGTAACAATGCGAGTCCGTGGTGTGATATAATTTTTCAAAATTATTGGAACAATATTCAATAATTATTCAAAATCTTATTGGATTATCGCAGGGGCTGACTTGATGCTTTAATTGTATTTCAGATTATTACCCTCAAAAAATTATCCATTACTAAAAAGAACTATCCCAGGGAACGATATCAAAGCTCCAAAAGCTCTAAGTGCTCTATTTTTAAATAACTTTCGGTTGTATCTAACTATCACAAAATGCAAAATTTTCAAAGTGCAAACCCCTGCTCAAATCAACTCCTACCAAGTTCACCTTTATATTCACCACCATTCGAATGATATACCATTAAATATACTGCCAAATATTCGACAATGAAACAGGAAATTAACAAAAATTATAAATTATAATGTGGCCAAAAAGTTTTTTGTTCGAATAAATGTCGGCCACGAATGCGACGCCTTTACATTTTAGAAGGAAACATTTTAATTTTTCCCACATGAAACCCGAATGCAGAATATTTTTACAATACACAACATTGAACGTTTGACCAGAGACAAGATTTGTCTCTGGTTTGGCAAGATTTCTTCCGCACCTTTTCGAGACACCCTGTATGAATTGTCTTTACCAAACAACCTCCAAATTATCTATTAAGTAAACACTTATCAATACGCTTAATCACTATTAGTAATAACTATCGCACTTAAAGTCCTTTACACACTTAAATAATTTGAATTTGCTGTATTCGTCTTCATACTTAACAAAATGCATTAATAAATCGATATTCACGGAAAAGTTCTGTCTTTCTTGTGCAATCCAGAAAATTGCATATTAACACAATAGTGGCTACATTGATTTAAAATCCCTCCAGATGGTTTCTAGATGTTTATCAACCCTATTGAAATGTGTTTTTGATGTAAAAGTTCACAACAACTGAATCTTGCCTTCAGGGCAAGAAACAATTTCCTCGGGTATTGATTTACACAAGAAAAAAGCATTTTACACAACTTGAAACCTGTTTTTTTTTGTAAAAACAAAATTGAAGACTTATTCAGGAAACTGATATGTTTTGAGAAAGAAAACTACGAATTTTGTTTCAACATTGCCAAATCAAGCCACTTAGCATTTGCAAGCATAACTGGAGATGTTAGCAAATGGAACAGATTGCAATTGAAATATAACAGAATTTTAGATTAAAATTGCAGGAAAATTGAGTTATACAAATCATTCGGACATACAATTTAAATCGTGACTAACCAGAATCACCAGAACCAGAACAAGTTGAATCCTTCTCATGTTGCGATCTTTTGTGGCAGAAATTTTAAACTAGAGAAAACAAGCTTTTGTTAACCAAATGTGGCGGTTTTAAAAATGACAAATTAAAATAAAAGATCCAGTCTGGATCTGGTTTATGGAAAGTAACGTCTGGAAAAATTCCGTCACCCCGAAGATCAATCTTTCATTGCGAATAGCTACTAATCGGCATTAGGCAGAAAATATTCAATTAAACGTTCCACTGTATATTTGACTTGCTTTCATAAAATTGGTTATTTAGGCAATAATAAAGCAATCAAGACCATGCGTTGAACAGTTGATTTCGCATGATACCGCGGCTGATGAATAGAAATAGACTTAATTAGTAACTCCCAACTTATCATAGCTAAGTCCTTGAGTAAATATTATCTTCCAAATTTACAAATAAACGCAGCGTTTTCTGATTAAACAGACTTTAGTTTCTGTTTTAAGAGCATTAAGGTAAAACCCACTTAAACTAATTGCTGAAAACAAAAGTTTTTTACTTCTATTGATAGAAAGGAAAAATGCCATTATTTCGAAAAGTATGCCAGCGGTAAATATGATATCGAAATGATAATTGAGGGTATGATTTAGTTTTTGTAATTATTGTTCGAGCTCAAAAATTTGTTGTTCACCTTCAAATTTAGGCAACAAATTCCGGGAAAAACTGGAGCCAGTATCCGGATTAATTTCGAAATCCTTTTGACAAAAAGTCACCTTTAATTCAACATGAAAAACGGAACAAAAGTGGGCGAAGAAAGCCTGTAACGTATAGAACTGCAGACAATGGAGATTGTGCATGTAATGGAGAATATAATTTTCCAGCTTCGCTGGGCACACAATGCCTTTGTTATTTCAATTGCGTGACTTGTCTAGGAGCTTTGGAAGGCAAATATTTGCCCCTCTTTCAAAATGATTTAAAATATAACCAGGCAAATTCACTAATTTTTGAAGGAATTAAACCCTTTGAGTTTACAGGTCACAAACTCTTCAAATAGGCTGAACATCCAGTCAAATACGTTAAAAGGAAATGTATTCAATTCAAGCCATCTTCATCTGCTCATGGTTAGTCCAGTGCAAAAATCATCCCCAGGGGCTCCTGGGAACCGAAATATCCAATAATATTAAGTACAATAGTAGAGCAAATTGCGGTTTAAATGACGAAAAATCGATAATACTAAATGCAATATTGGATTTCTCCACTGAATTAAGGCTCAAAGTCGTTTTTGTGGATGCAGCAAAAGGTAGGAGCCGAGAGAAAAATAAAACGGAGTTCCAATGAGGCCACATATTCAAGTGCTAGCGAGCGATTTTCGAGTGGATTTGCTTGGAAAGATAAGTGGTCTATGTGTATAGATTTGAATTTTCCAATATTAGCTCGACAACTAATAATTTTATTGACAAAAAATCCGGCAAATATTTTAACGAGCGCTTTAAGTTAATTTATCGGATTGCCAGATTAAAACCTGCCTTGAATGCTATTGTTTATGGCATAAAAGTACGAGAAAAACATCAAGTTTACCTCTACTAGCTAAATTTTAAACATCCCCACTCTTTCGTTATCATAGAACTAAACTACTTGCTACATTGTTTGAGAGCAATGAGAGCAACCAAGACATCAAAGAAGCAAATTTCCAAGTATCCTGCATGTTCCTGACAATGCAAATGAGCCTATAAATTATGTAAAGAACCACATCTTTCAGGAACTTTCATGATAAAGAGTTCAATTCTTTATTAAACTAAACGGTTCTTACAGATTGCCCTGCTCGGAATCAAAAGTTCAATTCGGTACAAAGTTCTGATTAACTTCAAGTAGAACATAACAAGTACGTTTATTTGAGCAGAAAGAAAATGCGTAGGAATCAAAAAAGAATGTAAATTTATCAAATATAAGAGGCAACAGTGAAGATTCGCGTATAATTCAAGTGCAAGTAAATTCGCTTTCAGCAAATTGTTATTGCTGTATTGGAGAAGCTGTTACTTTGAATGGTTGCCAATAAATAAAGCACAGTTTCTCTCTCTTTGGCCATGAATCGCTGATATTGTGCTAAATTATAAATTGGAATTTATTAGGAGTTTTAAGAAAAAAAAACAACTCAGTTGTGTTTGCCATTTTTTAGGTTTAGATTGTTAAATATTTACTTTAACTTGTGCTTTAACTAACACTTCACAAAATATTCACATTCACATTCACATTGAAAGTGTCTTTTCCAAATCAACACACGTTTTAAAGTGCCGCCTAAAAGCTGAAATCAAAATACCTCAATAATCATACATGAATCGGCTTTATTAGCGCTAATCTGAACAATCGTCCTTTCATATTACAACGAATTTTTCAAGTATTTTTATGAAATTAATCACAATGTTCTAATCGGCAAGAAGTCGACGAATTACAGGAATTACTTGTTTCAAGTGGATTGACTGTTTTGGTGAATGTGAAAAGATTGATAAAAATTATTGTGATCCCACTTATTAGAAATCAGGTGCCCCTCAAGGGGTCGTTTATCTCTCTTATGGTGCAAGCAATTGCTTATAATGAAATTAATTAATTTGTAATATTATCTCAAGCGTAGGTAGTAAATTTGCCTCGATAGATCTAAATAAAATTTTGTTTAGAAAGTTGCTTGCTAAATTGCAATGGAAACCGACTTCAAAGGGCTTATAAATTCCTGCAGTTAACAACGTAAGTACTTTAAGGACATTAACAATTTTTTCTTGTAAAGAAATTAAAGCAAAATAGTTAATTTCTTTACCTTAAATGAACCAACAGTATTTTCGTAAAAATCTGCAACGTGACAACATTTCACGTGTTTTGCAACGTGAAATTTGAGCACAATACGTGAAAAGAGGTTTTCATGTTATTTAATTATACAACAAGGAATTCTTCGAAATAGGAATAACCATGTCATTACCAGACATTGCGTTAGAAGCTTTAATTTGGTAAATGAAACGCTAGTTGGTAACCGAATAATAGCTAGAAAATAGGAGAAAGAGCTCTGGGAAAATGTGAAACTAATAATATTATTTGCCTGTGCAGCTCAAGTGCTTAACATAAAGTCAGATAAACCACGTGGATGGCCATATCATTAATTGGGAATTTGAAAAAAATTGACCACGCTCTTTGAAGATCCCCAGAGGCTAATAAAGTTCATTGCGGACGCATATAGCAGATATTCGTGCTAATTTTCATTCCCAGCTTGATTACTTTTTAATTATTTCGATCAAAGTCGTTATTTGCAATCAAAATTTCTAATTTAACAATAAGAATTTTTCTATCTGCAAGAAATATGGAACAGTGTGCGTTTGAAAAAGTCATGGTATAAGGATTCCAGGAACGGAAAGAATGGTTGTTCCGAAAAGCGCTCAACATGAGCCAAGTTTAGCTTAAAAATACCTTTCATGTTCTATTAGACAATAAATTTAGACAAACAGTAACAAGACTGAACAATCAAAATTTAAACGTTTAACTAAGCCGGTCAGCGACTATTTAACTCGTTTATTTACGGACAATTTTTATTTCATTTAAATCGTCAATATTTCAGCTTGAGTGCTTTCAAATTGCCATTTTCCTCGCTGGCACTAAGTAAGAACCAAGATAATCCCATTGAACCCCAAAATATACGGATTTTATTAGCAAAACATCCTGTACTTTCAAGTACATATATACTTTTAGAACAGAGGTTCCAGCAAAAAAACTCTTACTAGAAAACTAGGAATTTCCTGCATTTAAAATTGCGATTATTTCAAGAAAACCAACTTCGAAGTAAAGTAAACCCATATAACGACCCCTTGTATTTAACAGTTAATTCGATTGGTAGGCAAAATCAGGAAATCCCACCAACCCCGTAACAAAGAGTCACATTTTCCAGCACGTGATTTGCTGCCTTGGATGCAGGAATTTGCGTAACCACATCCGGACCAATTCATTCGCATTACTGAAGTTATTTTCGGGATTATCAGGATTGTGGCATCGAATTGATGTGACATCGTAGACGGGCAAAGATATGCGTAATTGCAAAACACTTTTTCAGAAAATAATAGTAAAATAAATGTATTTGCTTAATTGCCGTCGTTTAAATTCCTGTTTGTACAAGTTTCCTGAAGTCGGCTACATTTCTAATGAGATTCAGATTCAGTTACCAGCAGTTTGGTTTATTAATTCGAATAGTTGCTTTATAACTTCATAGCCGAGAGTGTTTGATTTCCAACTATAATGCAAGCGTGAATACTGCAAGCTCTTGAAAGGAATAGAGTTAATAATTGAAATCAAGGGAAGGGATCAGCTGAAATGTGTCTCTAGTGTGGTTAATGAGTGCAATAATTAAGAATAATCGCATTAATCAAAGGAGTTAGCCAACTTGATGGGTTTCAGGGCAGAAATCAATGGAAGCAGCTTGAGGAAGAGGAGGAGAAGAAACACCTTTATAGCTTGATATGAATAATATATTTAACTGTTAGAAATATATCATTTGAGTTTCACTAGGCTTTATTAAATATGGAATTTTTCCTATTTGAATTTGTATTTAGCGATAAACAATGCAATGTAGAAATAACCTGAGATCGTAATATGATTTTAAACATAAAACGTGAACACATAACGCAAGTAAAAAAACTGCGAGTTAAAAGCAATATTTATGGAACTACTTGCTAAAAAAGCTGAATTTTACTCAGTCACTCGGAACAGGAAGGAACTAGGAAAAACTAAAACCGACGGTTGTTGAAAATAAATGAACCTCTGCTAATTTATTCACTAAAATACAGTAGCTTTAATGGCCGGGAAGCAAAACGTTTTACTCTATTTACACTAACAACCAATTTGTACTGCCTGACAATCACCACATAACAAAACACCACACATTTTTTACAATACAAATAAAATATCGAACAAAACAATAACCACAAGTGATAAAAGCAAATATCACAAATTACTATCCTCAGACTTCCTAGCAATGAATAGTTCCATCCAGATCGGACAGTTGGATGAGACTGGTCCACCCCACGACCATCCATTCGGGATGGCCAGATGCGTAATTCCTTTACTGACGATATTTTTGTAACCAGTTAAATATTGTTTGATTTGTGCATTTACCAGTATATTTGATATGTGACTAGAATGGTAACCCGCTTTTAAAGCAGGAAACTGTGTATTTGTGCTGCTTGGGAATATGGGCGTTAAACCTCCCAATGTTAACGCTGAATCTGAAACAATCATATTCCACAAATAATAATCTGGAATTGTCACGACAAAAATATTATATAGCGGTGCTATAGAAGCCAATCGCAAGATTAATGAAAATGGAGACGAAATGTCCTCAAAAACATGTGAATACTTTCCGTTTCTAGGAGAACTGGTTTGTCCTGAACACGCTTTTGAAAATCAACTTTTAAGAGACCAAAGGTATATTCAATAGTGATCTAATCCGAGTCAAACTTTGAGTAAATAGTGTCTAAAACTTACTGAAATCGGGGTGAGAACTTCCAGATTCTACGTGACCTGGCTTTTACTGGACACATTTTTGCAAATTGACTTAATCGTGCGAGGAAATTTTCATTTACTGGGTTTAGTTTTAACATCTCTGTATATTTCAATCGTGATCTAATGTAAGTAAAACCTGGAGTAAATGTAGACTAAAGCATGCTGAAAACGATGTAAAAACTTGCAGTTTCCACGTGAGCTGGTGTTCACTCGAAAAACTTTTGAAAATTTACTTTAAGTGGGGAGCAATCTTTATTTAGCGGGGCAACTTTAAACAGCTTTGTATATTTCATTGGACATCTAATTAGAGTGAAACTTGGACTAAACGGATACTAAGGTCTACTGCAAACGCTGCGAAAACTTCCAGTTTGTACAAGAGCTGGATTTAACTCGAGGAATTTTTGAAAATTGACTTTAAATGCAGGGCAAATTTATTTAGCCAGTCAACTTGAAACAGCTGTGTATATTTCAATTGTGATCTAATTTAAGTGAAAAAAAAAGTCTATTGAAAACTATCTATTGTACCTACTGGATGAATTTATGAAAACTGCCTTTAAGTGCAGCACAATTTTTATTTAGCGAGATCATCTTTTAACATCAATGCAAAATGTAATCGTGATCTAATTTGAGTAAAACCTCGAGAAAACAAAAACTCAACAATACTCAAAAAATCTGAAAACTTCCTTGTTTCTAAGTGACTTGCTTTGTGCTGAACGAACTTGTCGAATCCGCGACATCATTAATAATATTCAGCAGAAAACAGAGTAAATTTGACAACAAAGAAATTATCTTTGATCGCAATAAAGATAAATGGGTAACTGATGATAATGCCGATTGATAAAATAGACTTAGGGTTTGTAAACTGATAAGATAAGGGATGATCTGTTTAGACCAAAATCCACTTAATCTCTACCGATGTGTAATATTGTTTCTGTTCGCAGTTGGAACTTTCAAAGTTTACTCTTTTAGCTGCTAGTTAAACTTTAGCAGTTTGGCGCGCTGTAATCAGCACATTTGACTATTGAAAATCCCTTGCATTATATTTACCAAATAAACCCGCCCTAATTTAACAACAGTTAAAAATCAATTACAAGTAACCTTTAAAACATTATGTAGTTATTTAGCATTTTTTCTGTTTTGCTAAAAGATAAATAAATATATAATCATTCCACGTTCCATAAATAAGAACCCACAAGATTATTTCCCGTATTTGAGCAAATTGTTCAATAAAAACCAAAAAAATGCGTTACTAATACTATAAAGATTAGATATAACTACCAAAAAGGAATCATAAATTCAATGTATACGGAAAACGTATTAACCTAAATTTAAGTAAATATGGAAAATTATTTTAGTATGTTGGTCCCCAGTTACACAGTTAAATATTTATATTGACTTACCGTCGGATTCATGAAAATTGGCCAAATCAATACAAAGGACCACCGTTTCTTCTTCACTGATAAGATCGGCGATTTTTTCGTTTAACAGTGCGATATTGGCTCCGACTTTCAAAGCCAAATTGACCAATTGTAGATTGATATCGCCGATTAAAAAGTGCGCAATCAAAGCATCACATTCGCTTTGTGTCTCTTCCGGATTTCCCAATAAGTTCCTCAACTCAATATGGGCGACTGAAACAAAAATAACTATCGTGATTATGAATCAACTTCCACTTTGTTAATAGCTTACGATTTCCAGAGTCGTAGATAAACCCTAACTGTGAATCATGCACATCAAGCATGCAAAAATTCCAATTTTGACTGTTCTCCTTCCATTCCTCCACCCTTCGTAAAGTGGGCTTATTCAGTTCTTCGCATATCGTTTTCAAAGCGATTACTTCCTTAATCCCTTGAACAGCTAGCAAGGATAATCTGAAGCAAAGTATTAGTTGTACCGTGGGACGAATTTAACTTATAGACGTTGGCTTGTACCCATTTTCTAAAATAGTCCGGCAAATCACTTCCTTCACTCCCAAATTGGTGGCTTTGTCTTGGGTGAATTTGTGCAAGTTCCAGGAACCGATTCTAGCAGCGGCCTCACCATTTCTTGAATTTTTAAACACCTCACTCAAAATTGGACGCGGCGAATAAGTCGATAACAGTTCGAAAATATCAAAAGTGGTTGAAGGAGTGAGGCCGTTAGGAACATGACCTCTGAATGACGGTCTGAAAAAATATAAAATACTTTTAGAAAATTGAAAGAGGTGTTTGGCAATGCAGATAATCTAAATCCTAAATTTATTGATATTGATAAGCTACCAGACATTTTCAAAGCAGGAATTTCCAGATTTCTAGCTGTAAATGTTAAGTATTAGTGAGGAAAGGCTGAAGCGTTTCAAGCTGGTTTTGTTCCTGAAGGTCCATTAATTCGAATTTTCGGGGCTAAAAACGGAAATTTTCTAGCCAAATCAACAACTTTAAAATATTCAAGTGCGGTGATTTACACGAAACATACACGGTGTTTGGTTAGTCGAAGAATTCCCTATTGGAGATTTTAGTATAGGTACTTTTAGATACAACTCCTGCATGCTCCTAAACGTGCCACGGGCACCACTGAAATCAACAATTTCTAGCACAAAATACACAAATCTTGTTAGCTCTCAAAGCCGGTAAAATTCTATTAGAATATTCGGAGTTTCATAATGATAATAAATATATTTTTTTTATTTTCACCATCAATCAAGACACTTTTAACTCAAATAGCGTACGAAGGAGCACACTTTATCCAAATTTAATAATTTAATTTTTATTTCACATCTTGAATAAACCGCGATTTTTGCTGCTTTAAAAACAGCGATTTAAATTTCCAAATATGCCTTGTCGTACAGAATACTTCGAAAATATGATTTCTCATATCAAACTTAGTGTGGTCCACTTTGACGTAAACAGCGGACAACTTCCTCATTTTCCAAAAGTACAAAATCTGTTTGTTCTAGTTCGCATGAATGAATCCAGTCCCATTTTCCACTAACCGACAAACTCTAACTGAATTTTAGCACCCTGGACCTTTGAATCGATATATTCCCAACACTATATTTGAATAAACGATTTTTTCATAAATTTGCCGTGTACATTTCTCCTTTGGCGCAAATATGAGCGCCTCTTTTTTAAACACCCTGCATAACTAAAAGTGAGCACGAATCATTGAAATTGAACGTATGACAAAGTTGGGAATATCTTATCAGGAAGGCAAGTAAACAGCATTTTTTCGAAATTACACTACAAATAATCGATTTGCCAGCTTACTTCAAGAGCTTTTGCCTTTTACCGAGATAACTTGCCGACCTTTTTTGCCGAAAAAACGAGAGTAAAGCACACAAAATAAAGCAGAAAATTATTCTGGTTATTACATAAATAAATAAAAAATTTTTAAAGACTGATTTTCTTTTCAAAAAATTTATCTGAAACGCTTAACTACCTTAGTTGTTAGACTCCAGTTACCCAACTGTTTAAAATAATTTTTTAAACCGAAATCCTATCAATCAGCTCTTTGAACTTAAAGCATCCTAGCAAAAAATATATACCTACAGTAAATTGTAGCAAAATGTACGAGAATTTAATGAATTACCTATTAAATCGCCCATTGGTATGTTGAGTTGATACGAATCCATTAGTAAGTATACTGGGCCTTGATATTGAAGACTCACTTATGTTATCTTCACTGTCTTCAGTAGTCAAATATTTCGATATGTTATCCAGGCGCATTCGACTGATGTGTTTTACTTTAAGCAAATCATCAATCTATAATAAAAGTGGACGAATTACTTTTGCTAGCATTGGTCGCAGTTGGATTTTTGTACCTAAGCTATTCGTAAATTTAATTACCAAGCATTGAAACATAAATCGGCTATCAAATGGTTAAATGGAATGAAAACCGATGTTATATGTTAATAGGTAAGTTCTGATAAGGTAACTATTGGAAAGCACTGCCATAAACAGCTCGCGTTACTTATTATGCTAAAAATGTGCAAACATGTTAGACATTGACCTGTATTCCTACATTAATAAAGTGAAGCAGCATTCATCAGTCATTCTGGTTAAATCGATTTCCATTTGATATGAACTAGGCGAATTTACAAAAGACCACGTACCTTTCTGAAGTGCCCTTTTTTGTTGCGATGTGTTAAAATTCCGGCAGCAATTTCCTGAGTGATCCCTGGCACGCTCTGTAGGTCAAAGACAGTGGCCTTATTAATATTCACTAATCTAGCTGATCTCGTTGTTATCCTGGAATCTGTGCTTCTAAGGCTGTCATAGCTGGGAGCCCTAGATGAGATGCTCTGATTGCGCCTTATAGATACACAAATCTCCGGTTTCATTATTTCCAGTTTCAGGGCCCCGATCCCTTTAACTAATGCCAGGTCTTCCACCTTTCGATACCTCCCAATTGCCTTCCGGTGGTCCACAATACTTTTGGCAATTTCCCTGTTAACACCAGGCAGGGTCATCAGTTCCTCCTCTGTAGCTATGTTGATGTTCAACAGTTCCATTTGCTCGTCAATGTCGGGAACTGTGAATGTATGACTAAGACCGGGCCTGCTGTACGATCTTCTAACAAAAGACCGTAGAGATTTCCGACGCCCCTTGGGCAGACTGGAATTGTTACCCATCGCATGTAGATTTAAAACCATTTAACTCTGCAGGCTGTGATGACTTTTGACCCTCTTTAACTAGGTACTGATTGATTTAATTCCTCGTCGCATCACAATAATTTACACTTAAACTTTCCACTATCACCATCACCACAACACGGGGGCCTCTTGTTTGTGAGTGATTTCCCACGTAACTGTAACTGCTAACCTTCGGTCATTTGCTACAAAGAGACAATTTGGTACTGCACTACTCAGAGATTTCGTCATACATTTTACTGTAGTATCGTTTAGATACAATTATCTTTTAACGAAATCGAACCTTGTAGGTTATGTCAGCGACTTGACAATCAGCTGATTAGGGGCTACGTCAATGATTTTAGGCAGGACGATATTATAGGGCTCTCTGTGTATGGTCGGTCCTTTTTGTTCTCATATACGGGAGTGAGAACGCCTGAGATCCACAGAGATCGCCCAGTTGCCGCTCTGTGGATTAAAATAATTACTTATTTAAAAAAGTTTAATTTTCTGAGCAGTTTGAATTAATTTCGCAAAACTGTTTCTCTCGAAGTTTTATCAAAATATTCCCTTGATTAAGGTTGAAAATAAATTTGACTGTATGACAGCAAACATCAAAATTTTATGTTTGTATTGTAAAAGTTCACTTTCCAAATGAGGAAGTTTTAAGGAAAATCACTGAAAATGCCCTGATTTTAAGAAAAAATGTGGTTTGAAGACTATAAATGGCATTACGATTATGTCCGGCTTGCGTGGGACACCGGGTTTGCCTTTGAAAAGTGCAAATCCGCTTCATTGGATAAGAATAAAATATGTAAGAACATTATTTATATTTATTTTTTGGTTTCAGATGAAATTAATGTTTCTGAAACGTATTCAAAGTATATGTGTATTGTTTGGAATAATTTTTAGTATTTTATTATACAGGAAATCTTTAAGAAATCTGTACAAATTCCCGCGATATTTACGAGGGGTTTAAGAAACTTGACTGGGAAATAAGCTTAATTTTGTTCTGATTTGGTAAATCGGTACTTGTTTTATTTACTAGTACCTGTTATGAAAATCGTGAATAATTCATTTTTATGGTCAGAGAAGTATGTTTTAGCTAGGTATTTAACTTTATGTACTTTGTAAGAATTTTGTTATCGAATACTGAAAAAATACCTAAACACACAAAATAGAGAATCTGAACAATTATTCTTATAGGTGTTGTAGATGTAGATCGCATAGTAAGGGAACGAGACGTTGGATCAGTAGACCATCACATTTCTACAGTGGTTCAGTACATATTAGATGAAGAACAAGCTAAAGTGCTAGATACGAATTTCGTTAAAATATTTAGAATTAGCCAATTAGCCGTTGAGTATTTGTTATTTTGCAAAAAGTACTTGGACAATACTGTGGTGCTTCTTAAAAAGGAATTAGTTAAAAACCGCGAAGTAAGTTGCTGGAAAACTGCGACTAGGAAAAGCAAATAAATTACAAATTTTCAGGAAACTAAAGAGTTAAAGCTTCTAGCCGATGACCTACAGGGGCATGTCGACACTTTAACTAGGCAGCAGATTTACGCAACTTTTAAATGCAATTCGTGCGCTAAAATATTTTCATCTGAAGACCATTTGAATGCGCACATCAAAAGGAGACACTCGGGCAACGATCATTACAACTCCGAGACGGAGAAACTAAATATGGAAATAAAAGAGCTTAAAGAAAGGCTTAACAACACAGAGAAGCTATTCAAAGATAAAGAGCAGGAGAGCCCTAAGAAAACTGAACCAAATAACGACGTTAAGAAAATGAGTGAGGTGTTGGAGAAGTTCGAAAAATTTAAAAACCAAGTCGATGAAGAGCTCAAGGAACTTCGAATGCAAAAGGCTATCTACGAAGAAAATTATGGGAAGTTATTTGAAATAGCCATTCAGAACAAGGAGAACTTGGAGCCAAAAAACACCCCTCAGGAAATCCCGAAAATGGAAATCACAACGCAAACTGATAAGCAATTGCAAATTGAACATGTGAATTACAAGAATATCACTGAAATACGCGCGGTTAGTCCTCATCAGAGTCGCAGTGTTGATGCGAATCTAGCAGAGCCAGCTTCCAATGATCAACCAAAAAATGAATCATTAGACTCCAGAATATCGACAACATTAGCCGGAATCGAGGACCAAATGCAAGCATTTTGGGGCAAATTAAATGAAATTGAACGGCATAAAACCAGCCCTCAGAAACAGCCATCTGCGCAATCCGGCGATAGCACTTTGATTAAGCCAAAAGCCAAACCAAGAAGCAAACTTAGTCAGCCGACGCATATATCGGGCAGCACAAATAATAATGCTGATAAACTTAAAACAGCTATTGGCGAGTTAGAGCAATTGCAGCAGGAAAGCGAAGTGAAATGGGTTGAAGTAAAAAAATCTCCCGTTAAAAATATCGATGCATTGAAAACAGTGCTAGTGGATCCACAGTTCTTGGAGAGGCCAGATTCATCACAAAGCAGCAATTCTGAAGGAAACAAGACGTATTCGGTATCAGAAGAGAGCGATACTGAGGAGGAATCAGAACCGCCTATTCAAAAAACTACTGTTTTAGTGAAGAAAGCAGCAAATAAGAATCAGCGTTTAAGTCCCAGTAGAAAGTATGTTAAGGTGTTTTAAGTTTTAGCCGTAGAATTAATAATGTTGTTCTAGAGTGTTCAAAAGCCCGACCAAAAAGACTGCAATAGAGACTAAAATCGCAGTCGCATCCGAGGTAACTGCTGCAAGACCTCAAACTTCCAGGTAATCTAGTTCATTACTTTTTCCTTTAATATTCGAGTGCTTCTCATATTACAGAGTCAGAGAAACGAATTTAACAAAATCAGACGAATTCATACGGAATGACTTGGAAATCCAGTTAGTTGACCGATTGCACGAACTGGGTATTTCTGAAAGTTGGAACCGTCTGCCTCAAAGGTCCTTTGATAAAGCTCTGGAAATAATTAATCATCAAGCTGCACTATCAAAAAAGGTAATTAATTAATATTTGATCGTTGGGTGCTAAAATTAATTATTTTGAAGATGCATCCAAATTTTAATAGTACCAAAAAGAAAATTATAAAAGAACTCGAAAAAACCTGTAGTAGAAGGAAACTTGAGAGTGAATCGCCTAAACTGGAAGCTTTGCAAAATATTGTCAAAGTTTCTTACCGAATTAAATCCAATAGGAAACAAACAGATTCAAACAAAGGAAACCTAGGCGCTTCTAAGCGAAAACCCTTGGAAATAAAGAATCGCTCCCTATATGAAACAGACACTGAAAGTGAACCACGTCAACCAATCGCCAGTAAAACCTCAGAGGTTCTGGCAAGATACTCAACTGTAGTTGCAGAAATAAAATCCCTGAGCAACATCAGGTCTTCAACTGAAGATTCATTGGACAACATAAACAAAGACCATCAGAAGGGCGCGCTGAAAAGCTTTCCGTCGGCTGGATCGTTGTCCAAAAAAAAGGTGTTGTTTGATTTGGAAGAGGATTCGAGTAAAATTGATGATGGAGAGCCCGCTATACTTAAAGCAGGTGGAAGCACTACGAGTATTGCCAGCTCGATTTTAGAGGACAAAAATGAAATCCAGCAGGAAAACAGTGGCAACGTTCAAAAGGAATTGGATGATGTATCAGATTCTGATCTTAGCGAGTTATCGAATTGATTGTGATTTATTGCAATTTCTAGTGAAACTTTAATTTTTTTTAGTAGGTATTGAAACGTTTGTTTTTGATGAGGTTTATAATGTTTGTATTTACATGATTAAGAGATGCAAATAACGACTTTTTGTTTAGCAGGTAGTATTATTCCATCTAGCAGATGTAAAAGTCTATCACATTATAAAATATCTTGGTTCCAATTATTTTTATTAACTAGTTTACGGCGCAACATTCATCATGATCATTAGCAGCTAGTCTTTCTTTGCAGGGATTTTCTTCCTTTCCTCTTCTTTAGTTCCTGCCACGGCCGTAGCTTGAGGACTTGATATCGCCAATCCTGCCTTACCTACGATGGCTGTTGCTCTAGGTGCAGATCCAGCTACTCCACCAGGTCCCGCAATGGCAGTAGCTTGAGGACCTGCTTGCGCCATACTTGGTTCTGGTTCATTTTCAGCTGGTGGAGGTGCAGCCGAAGTACCTGAAAGTTACCCATTTAAGCAAACTCTCAAAATTTCCATTCCTCTAGCTAATTACTGCTTGCAGCATCTTCATCTCTCAAACTGTCTCTTCCATCAAAGCTGCTTTGTGGAGCATCAAATGTAGCATCCACGACAATGGCGTCATTTTCCAAATCATCCCTGTACTGATAGAAATCCTGGCCTCCATTGGGGGTGAATCTAAATTGACCCACTAATTGGGGCTGCACCGTTTCTCTTCCTGGAGTCCCAGAAAAGAAAACGAATGGAAAAGTTAACAAAATTGATTTCATGCAGGTACGGTTTCCAATTTAAACTTTTTTAGGCATGTGTAGGTATAGGGCTATTGATTGAACTTTGGCCACCCCGAAAGTTGCAGATAATAACGTCTAGTTTATTTTAAGATAATACAAATTGATACAGGGTGTCTCAAGTTCAAACCGCGGATTAAACTTACATTTTTTTAAATGGAATGCCGCACTTTTTATTGCATATTCGAACTATACGCATAGTTCTAGAAGAAGGAAAATTTATAAAAAACCGTACAACTTGATGTGCAGTTGAGCAAAAATTCGCAACTCCCAAACCACTTACATCAATAAACCGAAATTTTCGGGTTGAAAAAAGGTTTTATCGAAAATCGGACAAATTTCATAAGAATCCCCACGTCTGTTGATTTTTCAGAAATTTTTAAACTTGAGAAATACAAAAAAACCGTACAACTTGAAGTGTAGTTAGACGAAAATTCGTAACTGCCAAACCACTTACATCAACAATCTGAAATTTTCGCACCATAAAGAAAAATGCTTTATCGAAAAGCGGACCAAATTTCACTAAAATCCCCACATCTGCTGATAAAAAAAAAATTTTACTCGACAGAAAATTTAAAAAACCGTTCAACTTAAAGTGCAGTTAAGCAAAAATTCGTAACTCCCAAACCACTAACATCAACAAACTCAAAAGTATGGTGCTTTATTATTATTAATTAAATATATCATGATTTATGTTCGCTTTTCGATAGCTAGATTATTATTATTAATTAAATATATCATGATTTATGTTCGCAATCGATAGATAGATTGATGATTTTTCTAAAAAATTTAAACTCGACTAGAAATTAAAAAATCGTACAACTTGAAGTGCAGTTAAACAAAAACTTGTAACTCCCAAACCACTTACATCAACAAACTGAAAAGTATGGGGCTTTATTATTATTAATTAAATTTATCATGCTTTATGCAAATTTTACTAAAGTCCCCACTTCTGCTGATTTTTGAAAAATTTTTAAACTCGACAGAGAAAAAAAACCGTACGACTTGAAGTGCAGTTAAACAAAAATTCGAAACTCCCAAACCACTTACACTGTACTTACTTACAAAAATCCCCAATTTTGCTGATTTTTTAGAAATGTTTAAACTTGTCGAAAAATATGAAAAATCGCCCAACTTTTAGTGCAATTAGCGATTAAAATGGGCCAAAGTTCGATCATTTGCACAAAAATTATGCCATTCTATTTAAAAAAATATAAGTTTGGTCTGCCACTTGAATTTGAGACACTATATATCAATTGGTATTATCTTAAAATAAAGTAGACTATATTATCTACAACTTTTGCATGTGAATATTTTTCTCTCAAATTTTTTCCATTCATTACCTTGGCTAATTCTACCAAACGATTGGGGTTCAGCGAAATAATCTTGAATATTCCCTGGAAGGGGCAATTGACTGGGCGCCTCTCCTGTCCTGAAATATTGTTGAGCCGTCCTGAAAGTTGGCCTCGGTTGTGCCTTTTGTTGATCTGAATTTACAAATGAGTTGCGTAAAAGTATCTCAGGAACGGAGACCTATTTAGAAAATCGCAGATTTAGAAGTAGACAAAGAAGACATAGAATAGTACTGTGAACATACGGGAGCTTGAGGAGATCCTGATTCCTGCACATACTGAGGTGGTTCTTGTGCGAATGGTTGCACAAACTTTGGAGGAGACTGTGGAAATGGTTGAGCGTTGGTGTATCTGAACGCGGACAAGTCCTGAATTTCCTGTTGTGCCTCAAATGGAAAATTGTAAATGCTGTCGCCATTCAAGACGAAAAAGCGCTGACCAGGATTGAGCTGAGGAAGTTCCCCGATTTTGGTATTATACTCCGGTTGATTACTTTCCGTAAAAGTTTCTAGTTTCTCAGGTTTGCTCTTCGGTTTGCTGGTGGGCTGAGCTGAAAATGTTGAAGTGCGTTTTGTACAAAACAGACCTTGATTGATCGATTGAAATGAAAAGCGTTTCCATGTTTTTTGCGTTAAAAAATACGTGCCAGGCATTAATCTACGCACAGTTTGTCCGGAAGGCAAACAAAGCAATCAATCCGAACAATCTAATGAGTAGTTGAAGATCAAGTTACGCATCCTGAATGCAAATTCTCTGCACGAAACTGACATGTCATTGTACCTTTAAACACGCAATCGGAATTTCAAAGACTTTTTGGTCTCTATGGGTTTGACAGTGACCTCTTTTTTGCTGATAGAATTACAATTAGATAAGCAATTATTACTAATAAACAAACAATTTCGTTGAGTATGTAAATTGTCTGTTTCAAACGCACATTTATTCAGTGTATCAATTTTGTTTGCGTTTTTCTTGTCGGCCTCATGGTCACGACTATTCTGCAATACTAACAATTATCCCATAGATTTAATTGGAATATTGACTCATAATGGGAATTTGCCTTCATTTCCTTGTAATCCATCCATTTGTACAATGCAAGCAATATTTGTATGCGTCTCAGATATGGTTTTTTTTCTATTGAATTATTTACCATCAAAAACACAATTAAATAAACAGTTTCCAAGACCAGGTTTACATACCTGTTTGAAAAGGGGGCACTTTTGCTGGATTAGTAGGAACTTCTTCAGCATCTTTCTCAATTGGCGGAACGTGAGCAGGCTTTGGATAGCCAGCTACAGGAAATCCCGGTCCTTGAGGAGTGTTCCTAACAACAACATTGGGACCTGGACCTTGAGGTATGAGGAAATTGCCTGGAGGATTTCCCGGATTGATTAGAATGGGCTGGCCTTGGCCTCCAGGCCCATACAGAACAATCTGAGGCTGGAGCCTGAAAAATATAAGTAAGGTAGAATTTTTCACTTTTGTTAATCGTAGTGTGTGCTTGCATTTTTTTCAAAAAATTTTTCTAAGACTTCGTATTTAACTCAGAAGTTTTTTCAATTAACTGATCCCTAACGTTTTCCATTTCGGTTGTTTGAGATCAAAATATCCATTTTTGCCAGACGAATCTTAAAGTCAAATGTTTCAGTGAGCATAGAAGAAAGCAAGATTAAACATTTACGTTTGGTCCTTCGAGCCGAATCTTGCCCCCGTTGTAAACTTTCACACCAACATCTCGATTAAACCTGCTATATTACTATAATGTTTTATCAATATAATCAGATCACATCTACATTGGCTGGCAAACATCTAAATGTAAATCTTTATTTTTATATTGGCACTTAACTAACGGTGCGTGCAAATTAAAGCGATTGCCAATTGCTCAATCTACCGGCAATTTTTAATCTCCGTCCTAATATTTCGCGTGATTGTTTGATCTCATGAAAACACATTTAAAGTGAAGGGTAGTTCGCTTGCAACCGGTTTAGTTGGTTAAAAAGTAATTTTTGCTACCAGCCGTTTAGTTTAACTTCAATCGGACTTTGAGGTCGAAAAATGTAACACCATTAGCCGCCCAGGCTAGAAGTTTTTTGTTGTCCAACATAGTTAGTCCGAGGTGTTCAATTTCATTATCAAGCCCCAACATTAAAGAATGGAGCACTTAGAAGCTTTTTATCAAAAAAACAATTAAAACTTAAGAATTTTACAAAATGGCTACATACCTAGTTAATGGCATTTGGCTTTGATATTGAGGTTGCAAATAAGTGAGCCCATACAATTCCGGGGCAAATTGCTGTCGGTCAAATAATTCCTTGACTTCCAGAGGAACAGATCCAGCCTTTCCATTCTGAGCTTGATTTAAGGGAGTGGCAATATACAGTTGGGGCCTAAGTTCTTCATTTTGCTTAGGTTTTCCCTCAACATCGTCGGTTGCTTTTTGTGAAACTGCTATTGTGAGCAGTGCTAGTGTTGGAAACACTTTGAGCCACATTTTTGACTTAATGCACTGGAAGCAAGTTATGTTTTTTGGGAAGAGTTTCATTTTAAAGTTCGCCTATTAAGTGATGTTATTTTTTTTTATTTCAATGATTTGGAAAGTGGATTACAGACAGGAAGTGTGAGGGTAGAAAAATGGTTTATTTGCAGCCAAACCTGCATAAATGTATGGAAGAGCTTTTTTTCAAATTATATATCTGGTCTTAAACGTTTGTCAACCCTCATGATACGCCCGGAATTACGGAAATAATGAGTAGATATTAATAGATTTGTGTGGACATAGTAATTGTCATATTGATCAATCCATGTCGGTGATTTACTGAACCATAATTATGCGTTATGCAAACAACACAAGTAATAATCAATAGAGAAGAAAGTGAACTGAGCGGGGAAATTGTTTCACTTCAAACCATCAAATAGCCTAACAATAGGAGGAACCGCTTATAGGACAATGTAATTTTTTATGATAATTGCATTTTGACATGCGATAGTCTAAATTTCTAAGTGGCATATTATATCGAAAACTGCTCGATACATGTATTAAAAAATTTTCACTGTTTTAAGATGAAGAAATCGAGTTTTCCAAATAAAAAAAAAACATGTTTGCGTAAATAGATCTTAATTCCCTTAAACTACATAAAAGACAAATTAGACTTGTAATAAAAAGGGATTATTTCATAATGGTTTTAATTGAGAATATAATTTACATCTTAACTCACTTAACGAGAGCCATTAAGTAATTTAAGGCTTAGACGAATCAGCGCATTTAAGCAAAAACATCAAACAAAAAATAATCGATAAATGCCTCAAAATTTAGAATGTGTTATTTCGCATAAAAATATGTGATCCAGATGAAAGTTCAACAGCATACCTATCTTTGAATTTTCCAAAAAAATTGAATTATAAATACAGCTTTTCTGTGCAAGATCCAAGAAAAACACCGGTAAAATACTCGCCGTTGTGTGGTTAAAAAAATATTTCAAGTATTTTATATAAAACCAAACAACGACAAGGAAATGCCTCAAGTAACCAATCTTTTCAAGGATTTTTTAACAAAACTTCAACTTTACTTACCCTAAAAAAAGCCTGTTCTTCTTAACTTTGTTTAAGTTGAGTTCACTCCGCACCACTACTTAGCTGTAATGACTCGGATGGCAGGACCATCGACCTTTCTTATACACGTTGGTAGGTGGGGCCCACCCATGGCAACGTTGGCCAATTTTTATTTTTGTTATTTGATGAGATTCCATCAGCTATTTAAATTAGAGTATTGTTTTTGTCGCATTTTTCGAGGGGTGCGTTTAAGGCCCTGCCCAAAACTATACACCAACGATTGGGTGCTCCACATTTATGCACGGACTGCATTTGCGAATGCAAACCTATGCAAAACAGAATTCTTCTACCCAGGCCATTAAAAAAACAACGAAGAAAACGCATTCAAGTTGAAATTTGTAACTTGGTCTGATACCAACTAGATATTTTGTATTGGCTTGAAAAACTAGGGGCTTGATGCGAATTAATTCAACATTCAAGTTTTCCAATTTTGAGTTTTCGCTGATCGACTATCGACATCATAATTGTCACACTCGCTCAGAGCATGTTTCGAACTTCCTTTGGAGCCTTGAGGGTAAACTTTCAATTGTGAATTTAGTATGTTTTGTTAGCCCTCTTAGCTAAAGAAGATTCTTTTCAGTCCATCTCCTACATCGAGATGAATAATCAACTTTTAAAGTTTACAAAATTATTTGAAATTTCCATATAGCACCGTCGATAACATCGGCAGACAGTAGCACAATAGGCGCATTAAAAAATCATTATTTATAAGAATCCAGATCAGCCACCCACATGTTTAATTGTGAATTGTGTTTATTGAAATGGCAGCAGGCAACTGGGTTATTTTTTTGAAGTGATTTCGAAGAAAGCTCTCACTACGTGTTCTTGCGAAATATTCTTGAAACTCTTCAATGTATTGGATTTTTTAGAACTGGGCATTTTTTATTACGCATTACAACTGATAAGCAAAAGTTGTACGTAAGAATTTTGTCCATAAAATTGTGCCTCATTGCAGGTAAAATAAAGCAAGACGGATTCTAAGAATTTGGCTGGATAAAACTGCGAGACTTGTTTCAATTGAAATCCCATATTCAAATTGTGATTTTAATATTATAATTTTAAATTTGGATTGCCTACCTGCTGTTGTTCATATATCATGGTTTTTTTTAATGAGCCAATATCTTTTGATAGAGTGGGGCAACTATATGAAACATTTCCTTCGATCTCAAAACTATAAACCTTTAAAATTATGCTTTTAGGATACACGGTGTAATTGATTCTTCAGTCTCAATAAGATAAAGTAGTCGATTTTTCAATAATTCGCTAGCATGAGAACCATTGATATTCTATATATTTTGCGCACTTTTCATAAATGTTTAATAAATAATTGAGATTTTTTGAAACTTAATTTATATTTGTAACTCGAGTCTACTTTATTGAGTCCGATACACCACTTTAGTTTATGTTGCTTTTGTGCACCTCAAGTAATACGTAAATTACTCAGAACAAGATTAGTAAGCAGAAAATTACTCAAAATATTGTAATTTTTAAAAAAACAACGCGTTTCAACCATTTTCGAATTGAATTCTTGTTCTTCCAATTTTTTTTCTTTTTCTTTTTCATTTTCTAACTTCTATCACATTGTAGGGCAGTAGCATTTGTCTTGCAGTTTCTCACAATAGTTCCCAAATTCCCCCCAGGTAAGACAAAAGCAAAAATAAAATAATTATATTCCTCGAATAAAACACAATCAAGTTTGATGGTATTTGCTAATAATCTTGTTCAAATATTCGCTCATCTGGTCCTGCTTGTTTGAACTCTTTTTGTGGGCACCTGACAGAAGTTCGCCACCATAAATCGGGATTAGGGCCTGATCGGGAGAAACTCCTGCTATTGCTGTTGCTACTGGACGAGCGATTGCTAGTCCTCCTGGTCCAACTACTGCTGTCGCTATGGGTTTGCTGGCAGCTACTCCCCCAACACCTATATTGTGAAAATAAAATAATATATTTTTGTTTCATTTATTACATTTTTGCTCTTTATGATCACCTGCTACAGCTAGACCGACTGGTTTGGCCTCAGCAACAGAAGCATCATCCGGCGGCAAATTGATAGCGACTGAATCATCCCCTTGTTCATCTTCTTCTTCCTCTTGCTCCTTCTGGGCTCCTTGCTGTTTCTTTTTCTCCTCATTCTTGCGCTTTTGCTCCTTTTCCTCGTTTTCCTTTTTGCGCTTTTTCTCTTCCTCGCGCTTCTTGTTCTTATCCTTTGTATTATCCTTCTTGCGCTCGAACCACTGACTCAACCCTTCTCGGCTCTCAGTCAGCAAATTTGGACTTTCCTGAATTTCCGCCAACTTCTTTGCCGACTCATTAATCGATTTCATGTGCTCTGCATACGCCTTCTCCTCTTCGGGAGTAAGTTGCCCATTCTTTTTTGCAATCTCCTGCAATTTAACAATGTCATTTGCTCTACTTTGTATAGTTCTGATATAACCTTCGTACCCTTCATAGAGTTCGGTTTCGAATTTGGTGGGCAATGGGGGATTTTCAAGTTCAGTTGGGTCGATTTCTTTTTCGATTTCGGTTTGTTCCATTTCAACAATTGGTTGATCCGGAGTTTTCACTATAATGGCGGAAATAACGGCGCCTTCGGCTGTTGCAGTTATTTGCAGGGATTGGCCTTTGCCACCACCGTAAAATGGCACTAGAGTTATTTTTGTGGTGTCTCTACAATGAAAAAACAGTTTTTTAGCTATTGATTTCTCGATATCTCGAAAAAGTTTTTCAATTTTTCTACCATCTGGTTTATTGCAATATGCCGGGTTGTATGAACGAATGCACATAAAATATTTCAAAGTAAACTTCATCTTAGTTGAAATTATACCAGAATCACATCCGATCATCAGAGTCCGGAGGCAATTTTCATTTGCGACATTTTTTATGCATCCTTGTAAATTTAATTTTCATCGTAAATTGCATATGAACCTTTAGTTTCATTTTGAGATCTACATCGTGAAAATTGGACGAAGAGCAGAAAAGTTATCGCTGCAAGCCCAAACTTTTTGCAACAAGATATTTTACATTATTTCGTTTTCGATCCTGTAGACAATTTGTCAGAGAAGCTTAGTTTTTATCCAAACACTGAATAACAAAAAACAAATGGGGCTAAATAATGCTTCAAGCTGAAGCCAAATGGCTTGAAGCAATCAAAAGTTATCCAGATCCAAAGTCAGGGCAAACTTATTTTCGTGTTTTTGCATTAATTTTTGTTTTTTTGTCGATATGTTTTTGGACAAACATTTAAATAATAAATTAAAATACTGTTGTTAACTTATATTTATGCATTTCTGTATCCAACTGAAGTACATTTTTATTATAGTGCCAAACCATTCACCCAAAATTACTAGTTCTCACATAGCTACTAAAATTCTGTTTAATAAATGCATAGATGCGTCTAAAAAGCCAGTACAACAATTGATGAGAAAATGCATTCAAACTAGCATAATAAATTTGCGAGAAACTCTTTCAAAGTCCATATAAATTGAACGAAATAGTTCATATACAAAGCCTGATATAAATGACTTTTAATATGTATTTCTAACATAAATATTAAATAAAGTTATTATTTTTAGTTGAGTGTTAGAAGAGCAGAATCATGATCAAGACAAACAACTAAAAATTAAATGGCTATCATTTATCAAATACAAGTATTAAGATAATTCCATCAGTTTATTAAGGTTGGGATTAATAAATAAAATACGAAATCATATGCAGATATAATTGAGCAACACATTTCATTCGATCAGTACAAGTTATAATGTTGTATTATAAAAGAATATATATTTTATACAAAATATTTATTTACAATTGCACTATTACCATATATTACGTTTGTCCTTAAGACTAATTGTTACAGTTAATGATTACAGGTACCTTGTACATCACAACTTTACATTGGATTTATTAGCAATTATTGCTGTGGAAATTTAGCATAAATTTAATAATGCTTACGTCTGTAAAATTTGCTTATTTTCCGCGAACTACCCGAAAAAAGCCTGGAAACGAGCATGGCACTAAACTATTCGTGTACATTTCGTCAATTGAACACTTTTACACACATTTGCTCTAACAAATCTTTCACGTTTAGTAGTCATAGCTGATTTCTAAGTCACTTTGAGCATGTGCTATCCCACCAGGTCCAGCTATAGCTACAGCTGCTGGTTCAAATAAAATGTCCGCATTAGTGCCCTTCCTGAGGATGGCTTTGGATAAAGGATTGGAAACCGCTTTGCCCTCAACTCCAGCTACGGCTGTCGCTTGAGGTTTGAGAATCAGCGTTGTAACATCACCTTCATTTATGAAGTTTGATGTTCTAAAGCGTATCACTTTGTCTTCAGCTATCGTATTTCTATTCTGGATGTAATGAAACAATGGATGTAGTCTGTATGGAGCTAAAGAAGGCGGCTTGTTCCCATCCAGCTGCCTTAGATCGCTAACAATTTTTTCCGCCTTTTTCTCCTTGTCGGGAAAAACATTTCTCGGTTCTCCCAGCGTGAGGTTGATCAGTAACTTTCGAAATTCTTCTTCGTTCTTAAAGTTGGACTCAACAAAGTACCTAGGAAAGCGGTAGAACCGAAAAGTGGCAGTTGGAGGGTGTTGGTTAGGTTTGCCAGGGCCTTGATGTGAAGGAAAAGGAAGCAGTAGTCGTGAAGAAGGTCCAGAATTTGAAGATCTAAGAGCAGAGAAAGATTACTAGGCGTGATGAAATGTGAAATTTAAATCGGAGAATTAGCTTAAATTACAATTAATGTTATGGAACGATGCCAAAATTAATGTTATAGTATTACAGCGCGACATTGCAAAAGCTTTTGATTGGGAACAGCAATTGAATGTGAGTTGGGGGTGATAAAAGTCGGCTGAGTTTTATTGCTATTTATTTACATTTTGGTTCATCAGTCATTTCTTAACAATTAAGAATATAGAAAATCTTCTCTTATACCTAAGGCGCTGGGTAAAATAAAGATTTGCCCATATAAAATTCACAAACTACGCTTTAACAAATTCCTGGGTGCACATCAAAAACTAATAGACATTAATCTTAATGCTGTTAAAATAATGTTCAATGTCATCAAAGAACTAAACCGAAAGCTTTTGCAGCAACTATGTTTTTCTGCGAGGCATATTATTTCCAATTCCCACCAAGCCTATCTTTCAATTTACACTAGATCTTACTCCATTGTTCAACTCGTTCATTTGCTCCCTTCCCGCATAACATAATATCTACATAATAGACAAATATTTAGAACCCCTACCCTCTATTATAGTAAACGACTGGACCAACCGCAACCACTTTGCCTACTCTAGTGTTGGGCACATGCCGAGTCCCGTTCAAAACAGTATTTTTGATAACATCGTTTAGGTCTATGTTCGGATCGACAGCTACAACTTGCGTGCCTGATCCTGCTATTGCCAAACCATCCGGATGAGTGTAGGCGATGCCATTTGGGCCAACTATTGCTGTGCCGCCGCTGCCTGCTGTCGCTATTCCTCCAGGTCCAGCAATAGCAACACCGCCTTTGCGAACTTTGAGCTTCTGGATAAAAATTCCGTTTCCTGTGTTGTCTCTGCTGAAAACCCTTTTGCTGCCCTGATTGGCTATGGCGATTTCCTCGGCTTTCTCAGCTTCCAGCAGTTCGTCCTCCAGCTCTTCCACTTGAAGCGTTGGCTCCCCGACTAATGGTGCTTGTTTCGACTCGGCTGCTACATTGGAGTCTAATTTCTCAGACATATTCTTTACGCTCACGCTACTGGGAACATGGTCGTTTAAATCTCTAGCTCCAGGAGATGAGGAACTTGGAAAGTTCACAGTGAATTTCACCAATTCATCGTCCCCAACGTCTATGTCCTCCAAGTTCAAGAAATCCATTGCATGACTTGCATCCTGATCATGTTCTTCAATCTTGAGCTGTCCAGAATTATCGCGCCTATTCAGCTCCAAAGAGACTTGTTGCCCAACATCGCCAGCTTTGGAGTTCAACTTTACTCTTGAGCCTTGCGGCCTGGGAGTCAGCTTGCAAGGGCCTTCGTTGCCAGCGGTTGGTCCATATTCAATCATGTTGGTCACTGCATAGTACATCTGCAGAAAAGGATCTCGGACGTAGATGGGGAAGAGATTGGCGCCCGGCCAGTTCCAGTTCTGCCTCGCTTTGTTTGGAGAGTTCGGTATCTGAGCTTGGTAATAATTGGAGTGGGAATACTTGAGTGCAGAATTCGGATCAGGACTTGGGTGGTTGGGCACTTGGATCATCTGGCTGCCCAATAGCACCTCTTTGATGTTATCCAAAGCCTGCTGGGTTAGATTTTGCTGCGAGTTTGTAGGTAAGCCTACATTAGGCCCAGGATATCCATATTGTTGGTTGAAATTTGGGGCTGGCATCGGGTAAGCGGGGCCAGATGGCGGAACGCTGTTGTACATGTTGAGGGCATAAGGGTTGGGTACCATAAAGGACTGATAATGTGTAACCTTTCTCTTGATATACTGCCCAGGAATATTATCCTCCGGTAGGATTTCTGGATTTGTGTCCGTCACACTCACTCCGAAGTCTTGAGGGTGTCCGCTCTCGAAATTGGGCTTCCGGAAACTTGGGACTGGGTCTTTTTCCAGATAGTCCAGAACGGGGTTACTGAATGGGTTTCTAGAGAACTTGAAATTGCTACTCCCTGACTCCTCCTGCGATCTGGAGTAGCTGAATGGGAAGTGAAAGTAACTGGGCATGGCTTTTTTCTGAACCAGGCCTTGTTGCTTGTTAACTAGCGCGATTTTTTCCAAAATTTCCCTTGTATTGGCATCAATTTTCCGTTGGGATTGTTGAGGTGTGTTTGGAGGAGCCTGCGTGCTGTCCAAAGGGATCAATTCGTGCAGCAGTTGTCGTTCAATCCTACAAGGAAAAGAGTAGAGAAAATGAAGGGAATTTTTACTTTTTAAAAGTGCGATGAAATAAACACATCTACTTGAAATTAGTAGTAGCAAGTTCTAACTTACCTAGACAAGAACAAGAAGACTATCTTCTAACTACACTATTAGCACGACAGCGCAAAAACCACTCACACCAACAGAAATTATGGTACAACAGCACGCCTTCAAAGCCAATATTTTGCGGTTCTGTACATTTTATATATACACTTATTTGGTTAGTATTGAGTTAATAATATGGACATAGTTTTCTCACCTGCGGTTTAGTAAACGTTGTAATATTCTTAAGAGTAAAATGCTCAAAAATCATTGATTCAAATGGGAAGCTTTATGGGAATGATTCAATGGGAATTGATTCAAATGGGAATCTTGGATGGTTGAAAGAGTACTTACTCTACTTGGGGCTGAGTTTCAGTTCTGGTCTCCAATCTGGGTTGAGTTTGAGGTCTGGACAGGGCAAATCCCCAAAACGTTACCTGGAAAAAAATTGTTAACTATTATTTTATCCAGAATTTATGTTTTCATGGGTGAGAAAAATCACTGTTTTTGTATTTCGCATTTTGAGATTTTTTATTCAAAAAATTTTGCAACTATTTATCTTTTACTATACGTATTTCTTGAGTAATTGGTTCCAGTTGTTCATATAAATAGGTTTTCCTATATACAGTACGATTGTTAGTTAGGAAAGGACGTAAGGAAGTAAATTACGTTAAATCAAACAATGCGTAAAAATTCAAAGTTCATATTAACTCAAGATGATCTTTGTTGGACTTTGGCTTAAATAAAGTTAGTGATGAGGATAAATTTCAGTTTTAGCCAAATAAAAGTAGGTATAGCTTCAGTTCATATTACATCCACCACTGTACAATGGTTATATGATTTATTTTTTACTTAGTAGATCAATTAAACATTTTAAACCCTCTTAATCAGCGGGTTGAAACCGATGTTGTTTAGTAAATATATCAAATATTATTAGATTTTTAGGTAAAAAATGCACCTAAAAGATTTTTAAGAATATAAACCACACTCGAGTTTTTTTATTATTTGATTCTATGAATCAAAATTCATTTTTTAAGTGTGCCAAAATATTGAGGTCCGGACAGCAGAAATCCCCAAAGCGTTTTCTGAAAAAAACTATTGTAAATTATGATTGTATATACATTTTACTGTTTGCTTTGTCTTGGGCGAGGAAATTTATTATTTTAGTGTTTTGGATCTTTGCACTGTACCCAAGATTTTTGTATATTTTGCTTTAGAGAGAATTAGTTCAATTATTGGTTCTGTCTGTAAAGTTTCCTTCTGTGATTGGTTTCAATTCTTTATATTGAACAGATCGCTTTTATACACCGGGCGATTAAAGGTATTAACTGCAAGTCAGGAAAGATTGCAAGGGAGTAAACTGAATCAGGTTTAAAATGTTTAATAAGCGGCCAGTTAAAGATAATTCCAAAGCGATTGTATGGAATAATATTTACTCACGATAATGTTTAGTGATGAGTAGAAAGTTCAGTTTTGTCCAAAGAAAAGCATAGTTTCAACTTCACTTATAGAACTGCTAATAATCGTTTTTATTTTTTACTTTATGTAGTTCAATCAAATATTTCAAACGCTCTTAATTAGCGGATTAAAGCTGATGCTGTTTAGTGAAACTCCTATATATGAATGCATTTTTAGGTAAAACGTGCGTCTAAAAAAGGCTATAAAAACGATGGTTTTTATTAGCTTTGAATATATACTAGAAATTTTTGAGTATAACAATCATTATCAAGTTTTATCATAATCCAATTATACAAATTAAATTTCTGTTTTTTTACGTATGCCTAAAGTGTTTGCCCCAATTATTTGTTTAAATGCTTCTTCTATCTCAGTTTTTCCACTAAGTATTTCAGTACAATTAAGACCAATTACCTACTTCTTGGCAGAAAGTTTACACATAGTTTGATGGAAGTGATCTGTTAACTCCATCTAAAACATGTTGACAAAATCGAGTTTAGCATAAATTATGCTGCTAATGGAAATCCGGTTTTTAACTCAAAGTCTTAATTGGAAGTCTCTTAAAATAAATTATAATTTTTTAAAACAGGAACCTATTGAATCTTTCTGAAGAAAAATTCATACCAATTTTTCGTCTTATTCTCTCAATAGTTTTTCAAACCCAGTCACAATTACGATAGTTGTGTATATGCGATTTTCATCATCTTGACTTTTTTCGTAACATCCAAATCACCACAAGGTCCAAATATATATTCTAAACGCGATTTGAAGAATTTCAGGCCAAACACTGAATAATCCTAATGAATAAATAATAGGCGAATGTAGGTATTATTTCTACAACTACGCAAATTCTTTGCCAATGGGCGGAATCCATCAAGTCAAGACAAGATAGAATAGAGAGCAATCAAAATAAAATAATCTGCCTACTTGATTTAAGCACAAATTAGAAAAAAAAATAATAGGAAAGTTTAAAAGGCAGGTATGAAAAAAATAATTTATAAATAATATAAATCAGCAGTCTATTATAAAAACAAACAATCTTCCACATACCCAGTAGCAAGCAGCAAGTTATATGAAGACTTTTTAAAACTAAACCAAGCTGCGGAAAATTTGCAAAACAATGTTACTCGATAACAATTCTTCCAGTAATCTTCACAAAATCTTAATTCTCCTAGCAATGTAGCACCTGAATTAGAAGACATACATACTAATATATACATAAAGTTTTCCTGATAAGAACAAAAAAATAATACAGAAAAGTTTTTGCATCCAAATCAGTCCTGACATAAAAACCTATTGCCCATCGACCCAGTATTGATTAAAAACAATATCTACATACCCAAATAAGAATAACACACCGCATTGTATAACTGTGGTATTGGCATAGAATTATACACTATACTGCATACATAAGGCGTGTGCTCGACTGCCATCCACCATATAGATAGAGGCTTTTTAAAACTAACGGAAGAAGTCGATTGTATGCGATGGTACCGGTCAGAATGAAGAAAATCGAGGACGTTGATATAACGAAATTTTCGATAGAATACGAGGAACCAGCGAATTCACCGATGATTATTGGCTTACAGGTGCAAATGGCTTTTAACAAGGCAATTAGCACGATTTTGTTGAAATTTATTCCAGACAAATGACTTCAACGGTCGCGTAATTTAAATTTTATAAAAGACACAGTTGCAAGCTTACCTACAACCAAATGACTATCAGTATCTGTAAAAATAATGCTAATATGAACAAAATGTATAATAGATCCTGATAATTCGATCAAAATTTATACAGGTTTTTTGCCGTCATTTTCGATAGTACCTTGTATTCATTATCGCCCTGCACATCAAAACTGAACTTTTGATCTAAATTCTTATCAAGATACAATCAAAAAAGCTGAGTGCCTTAAAATGGACCTTTTCTGGTTTGTCTTCTTGTTCAATGTTGACCAATCTGGGTTAATGCGTGCACTTAAGTTGACTCGAAAACCGACTTTTTACAGCGAAGAAACACATATCCTTGCTACTATCCATCGGGGTTTTATGGGACAATAGACGAAAAGATCTTGAAATAAATTTCCTTCAATTCATATTTATTTATATAAATTTAGCACTCAGAGCAACAAGCAGTGTATTTAGAAACGAGTACAGAAAAAAGTTAATTGAATGTTGCAGAAGTTATAAATTAAATGGAAAAGTCCTAAACTCTTTGCAACCATCAATAAAACTGATGTAATTAAATGCGTTGGCTGACAAAATAAAGTTGCTTCGATTTAGAGAACTCTTTTGCACCTAAATTAACCAAATATTGTTAAAGCTCCAAAATACAAAAATCAATAACATGTAACTTCGGCCTCGAGACCATCTTCAAATATATTTGTTCTTTCAAGTATTTGACTCTTAAAATATATTCCAAGTACTATTCCAGTCGTAAAAGCAAAACCAGTTTGTTCATCGCTTTTCAAATATCTGCGAATAAATATTTTTTGGCAAAGGCTCCATTTTGTCGGTTTCCCGCTGTCTAAATCCGATGCCCACACCAACCAATGTACCGTAATCATTCCATAATAAAATAAATTAGCTCCTGATGGAAGTGAAGAGTTTTTCATCGAGTCAACATCACGATTCTGCTTCTGTTCGAGCTGCTAGGCAAGTTCATCGACTCGCAATGTCAAGGTCCACAGGCAAGGCAAGCCACTGAAACCTGCAGATTGCATGTCCTGAAGATATGCAAAATGAGGTAAATAAATAAAATAACAGACTTTGAAGCAAAGGCAATCGAATGAAGCTTAGATCCCAAATCACTGGATTTGGAAATACAAGGCCAAGAGCTCGCTCGGTTCTTTAGTCTTCTTGCTAAATTTCCTTCACTCTGAGTTCTCTTCTGTTGTTGCTCGGGCCGCATTCAAGCATGAAGTTTCAGGTTTCCCGTTCCTTCAACATCTTTAAAGAATTATATATAAAGTATAGTCACAATTGAGACTCACATTTCACACTACATTTAAATGTGGTTTGTATTTGAAATTGTCGCTTTTACTTGTTTATAAACATTATATTTTTACAGAATCTACTTTTCTCACCCCATGCAAAATTTATTCTAAACTCTAAAAATCTTCCTTTAAACCAACATTATTTATTGAATTGAAAAACGCTATTTGGTTTTGTCACCATTGTCATTGATTCAATTGATTTTTGCTTTTGTTGTGTTCTGTATTTATTCTGTTTTAAGATTCATTCTTTTTTATGATAATTGAAATTTTTTATTTTCTATTTTTGTGTTCCAAAATCAGAAAATCAGGGAATGGGGGCGACCAACAATAGTATTTATATTGTTTGTATATATTTGCTATCCGCAAAACATAATTGATCTTTTATTGCAAGTACTTAATTTTTCTGCTATTAATTAAATCTTTGTGCGTCATCTGCGTTCTTTAATTGTTTACAAATGATGCTGATAAAAGTTATAACTAAAAAGCCACTAAGCAAATACACAAAAAAATATCCATAACAGCCTTCTAAAAGCAGATATGGCTTGAAGAAACATGCATATTAAAAAGTTTTTTATTTCATGCTATAGGAGATTCCTAGTCATTAGAAGAACTCGTTCTAACTTAACTGAATTAATTAGTTTGCCAACTGAAGAAACATTTCAAATTCCAGTCCATAACTATTAAATTTTTTACACTTATAAGAAGATTTTACAGAAATTTGATTGATTTTCTTACTAGTGGAGGTATTTAGATAGACTTGCAAGCTATAAACAGTCACATCACGATTTTAACCGTAATAATGAAAGTCACCTGAATGTTATAATCGTTGCTTAAATTCTACAATTTACGCAATTGTCGTATTGGGTATTACTTTTTAATTTATTGTGCGTTTTACATACTAAAACAGTTCAGTAACTCGACTAATTCTTGTTCTTTGTCTTGCTCTGCAAACGTTGGCTTCAGCGGTTTCAAAAATCATTTTTTTATATTCCCTTGCTCGAGTCTCAAGGCTCAAAAAAGGTTCTACTAACTAAGTGAATTCTTCTATGTAGGTATGCATACCTCTTTGCAAGCACAAACCAGTTTTATCCGTTGTTGGAGCTTTGCGCCATTTACCAACAAAACTAATATAAACTATTCTAGTAAACTGTTTATAATATGTAAGTGCATCCCATTTCCCTTATATTGCTAAGTTTTTTGTAAAGAAAAAACCGTACTAACTTTGGGAAGGTTTTAATTTTTTATAACTATAAATCCCAATTTTATTATTGGTTTGTACATTTAAGCGCCTTGGAATAACAAATTTCAAACAACATTAATTGATTTAAAAACGCTTAACAAATCGATTTCACTTTCACAGCACCTTTAAACTTTTCTTTAGCATTTATATTTTGGCTTGTTTAGATGAAAGAGATATAGGTAATAAATATTTCTTCTATTTTATTGTTCTTCTCAAATTGGTGTTGGTCTAATTTTTTTTTGTTGCGTTTGTGTAATATTTGTAACTCTCGTTGGCCACAATGTTCTCAATTGCTTAGTTAGTTTTGCATGCATCTCAATTTATTTGTTATTATTTTTCTTTTAAATACGTTTGTTCTGGACAATATTGACGAACAGATTTAAATTCTAATTCTATGAAAAGATATGTAGACCAACTTATTTTCCTTACTAGCCAAAGTTAATAAATTTAAAAGTTAAAACTGAGTCTTATAACATAACGAAATTGACTATTGGTGGAAACCATCAACTTTAGGTCTTCACTTAGTATGCTACTTGGTCTTTTTCATGCATTTTTCAGCGCAAAACTGGACAATTGCATCCGATCCGAAGAAGCGATATCAACGATGCGAGTATGTTTTTTGCTGTTTGATTTTTCCTTCTATATAATCATCCCCTACTCTTGAGATAGGTCAGTTAAAAGAGTGTATTCTTCCAGTGACAATCGAGACTAGACTTGATAAAAATGATTTTGGTAAGCATTCACACATGTAGTTGATGATCACTGATCATTAATTAACGTCTTTTTCCCAATTTTGTTAAAATTGTCGGTTGATTTTTAAATATTCAAAACAACGGTTTACGAAGTAGTCCGCACAAGTTATTTGAGGTCAACGGATCTCAGATAAACATTTTTCCATTTATGGAACTACCTGTCTGTTAACCGATATAAACCTGTCTTTTTATTTTTGCGATGTTCTAGTTTAAGATCGTTTTGCTTGTTGAATTGTTGTTTTCCTGCTTTAATTGCGCGCAGGTTTTCAATAAATCGACTTGAGATTAAGTATTAAAAAGCCGTAACAGAAACTGCAATTTTTTTAGAAGGTCTTTCAAATAGTCTGCATATAGTTCATCTTCCAACTTGCTTCCTTTACTTATAGATTTGCTTAATTTCTGTCGTTGCTTGGGCTCAAGCAGCAACCGTGGTTCCACTACAATCCTCCAACGTGGACGTGAGACATTCTGGATCAGAGTTTTCCTACAATATCCAGGAAACTCGTGGAGTAGCCGCTATTCCCGACGCAGTTCCCATTATTCAACCTTTACTGAAATCAGTTGCTCTCGAAGACAAACCTTTGCCAGTTGTAGGAGTCGAACATCATGTTAAAACAACCCAAACTCAGCATGGTACGTCAAGAAAAACTGTATTTAATACCAATAATTATTTAATTAATTTTTAGAGGCTCATAGCGCATCAAAAGTCGAATCTCGATCAACAGGCCCAATAATGGAACAACCGAAGCAAATTGATGGCGCAAAACTGCAACCTTTGAACAGTGCATCAGAAGCCAAAAAAGTGGAGTATTTGGCTCCGATCGCGCCCCCTTTAATTGGCACTCCTTTAGAAACGATTTACTATAAAACATACAATGCGGGAGTTCAGGGAGTTCCGATCAATGTTTTTCCTAACGGTCCCCTGATTTCGACAATTCCAGCACTTCCAGCCGTTTATCCCTACACTTTGGTCAGAACCGTATAAGGATTAGAGTCGGAAATTTGGGGAAGATCAATTGATTTTTTGGGGAATATTGGTGTGGATGAACAACAATAAAAATTTGTGGGTAAAGTTTGTTTGAATTTTAACCAACACGTTGAGCCTGATCTTCGGTAAAACGCGTAGAAAAACATTAAAGTAATTTGATTGAAAAAATCTTCTAATCCTTTTGTTAGGGATTTTATTGGAGCACATCTTAAAAATTCATAAAATTGAACAGTTTTCAAATATTAGGAGGAAAAAATCAGGTGTCCATAAGAGGTTAACAATTTTTTTTCCTTCCTGATAACAGCCGACTTTTTTTATAAGGTATCTTTAATTGGCAGAAAGTTCTATATTTTATTTGCTGTGAAAAATGTGTTTAAACCGTTGCTTAATTATATGACTGGACAATATGGACAAAATTATGCGAGGAAAATTATAAAACATTCTCGAACATGCAAAAACATTTTTAAATTGTGCAATCCGTATTTTATTGATAATGTTATTAAATTAACTCAACAAAACAAAAATATAATTGCAAACTACAGGCATTTGCAAATAAACTTACTTTTGATGAACTTTAACTGGAAAATTAAAATGTTATTTAAAAGTACACAAAATCGATCAATTATAAGCGAGCGCAAAGCAAACCATCCAATCATTACATTGAACGGAATCACAATATTATTAAAATTATGCTCTAGACTGTTTAGGTAAATGCTCAAAAATATTAATTAATTTCAGACTCAGATCATTCAATTTCTGAATCGTAAGAATCGCGCCAAATTTATAAAACAAACTCGAAAAAGAAAGGAAATCTTTATTATTATTATTAATTTTACATTTATAAATCATAAATTCCATTGCATTGTCACCAAACGGTGAATGAAATTAAGATCGATATTTAAATTAAACAAAGTCAATCGAAGGAAGTCAAAAGGAATAAAGTAGGTAAAGAAGGGAAAATTTTTACTGGAAAATGAAAGGAGTTTCAAGAGAAGTAAAACACATCTGCAAAATTGTACTTTGTTTGAATGTTTTTTCACGTTGTAATACGTTCTGAAATTAAAAAATATTACTCGTTGTTTCTCCTAACTGATAACAGCACTTAATTAACAATAAGTCATATTTTTAACTTAATTTGGTATTTGACTAATTTAAATCTACTTAAAGGTACCTTACATCGAGGACAAATTATATAATTTTCAATAGAGATCCTGACATCCAGGCTTATTTATAAAAAGTGCCTTCTCTTCACCTAGTTAATTACTCTACCTAATTCCATGCGCTTTGCTTCACATTGCCATTGCTAATTAAACCTTTCAACCCAAATAATTTCCTAATCATTTTCAGTTATCGTGGCTTTACTAGAAGCAGTTGAAGCCTCTTCGCCATCAAACTGCAAGTCAGCTTCTCCTTCATTGAAACTTAGAAGTTGTTCTGTGGATGCCTCGTTCAGTTGTTCTCTCCTCAATTTTGAGTCCGCCTTAAAAGCTTCACTTGGGGAAACTCCTTCGAACGGGTAAAGATCAATTGACTGCACGTGAGCCCTGGAAAACCAAAACCTTCAATACTCCGTACATTTAGTGTGGCAACATCTACCTAACGGACAGCCCTGGAGGTACATTGAAGGGCTTCTGGCCTACGTTAGTGACGATGGTTCCTTTGCATTTAGCGCATTGTTTTTCTCCTCCTGCAACCAACAAATTATTCAAACTTTGGGAGTTGTCCAACGAGCTACTGGTACCTCCAACGCCAACTTGCAAGCTTCCTTCAACTGGCCCTCCTGCAGTTCCACCGCCTCCAAATGGTCGGCCACTGTTACCACCTTGTGGCCCTTTATCTGGCGCCGCACTGGATTCGAATTTATCCTCAAAAGGCGGGCCTCTGGAAGGTTTTCCTGATGGATATCCAGATGATGTAGTTGATCCAACTAGAATTCTTTGTGAGTGAGCAGTGGAGGTTTATTTGTGAAAGGAGTTGCAAACCTGGTCGAGAAGTTGTAGAACTACCTCCAGCTCCTCCTGAACCAAACTGTCCACTGGCTGGTCTGTAGGAGCAATCATCCCCATCGGGCTTGTAGGAGCCATCATCATATTCTCCAGGCAATTCGGACGCGAACGGTTTGGAACTCGGTCTAGCGGAGGTTATTGAAGGCCTTCCAGTTGGCCTACTAGAAGGGCGTCCAGTCGATGGTCTGGAACTACTTGAAGGCCGAGCTGTGCTGCTGCCTCCACCTCCACCACCACTATCAAACAAATTGTCCTCAAAATCTTCATCGCTTCCCCCCTCTGATCCATCAGCCAGATTGCCAGCTCCACCCGCGACTCCAGGCTTCGGTGATGAAGAAAACGGACGGCCAGGACTTGTTGAGTTGGATTTATTCTTTCCAGAGTCACCACGTACTAAGCCAGGGCTTTGCTGCTTATCTCCATCAAAGCGGTTAAAGTCTTCCTTGCCTACGTCCACGCCAGTTCCTAAGCCTATTGAAATAGAAGTTTTCGAAGTTCTTTGGTGGGATCGTGAGGTTAGTGAGTTACCGCCTGGCTTAAATGGCCTGCCACTTGCAGCCACATTGAAGTCTTCGTCTGGGTTGTAGTCGTAAAAGTCTGGAGGAACTATTTCAGGCCTGTCGAACGGCAAAACTGCAGGCAAATGCGCCCCTTTAACAGTCTTCAGCACTCGGTATCCAGTTTCTGGACCTAAAAGCAACATTTTTGCTTAACGTATTTTAAATGGAGCATTTTTCAGTATTTACCAGCAATATAGTGGACAGAGTGTTGAACTCCTTTATCGTCCAGGTAAGTGTAGGAGCCCCTAACGTGTCCAGTGGAGTCACTGACTTCTGTGCGTCTTTGGTCTGGACCAGCCGAAACAAATCTGGAAATTCGTTGCTTTAGAATGAGCGCTCAAGTTCACTTTCCGTGAATCCCTGACTTATAGCTTCCATCAAGGCCCCGTTGAATTGAAGTTCTTCCTCTAGGTATCGGTCGACCTCTTCCTCTGAAGTAAAGAGGCCCGTACGCTCGAGGGTTGCTGTCAGGAAATGGAGTTTTCACATGGAATCCTGTCTTCTTTCCTGCTATGTATTCTACGTTGTGGCGCTCACCAACATCATCCAAATATGTGTATCTTTAATTCATCTTCATTATTACTTTTTAAAATATGTGGTTGATCTTCCTTACCGCCCATTAACATCGCCCACTCTATTGGCATTCTCCTGCCTTGTGTAGGTTCGCGTTTGGAAGGCAAAGTTGTAGCTGGGATCTTCATATGGATCGTAATAGGGGTCATCAGGAGATCCTATTGGGCGTGGGCCATTCTGATTCAAGTCGTACTTTCTGTGGACATTTTTTCCTCGGGGTCGGAACCCTCTGGGTCCTGCTGTGTACACTGTGGTGTCAATTGCTCCTAAAATGCAAAATAAAATTTTAGTGGATAATTATCACGTATTGTGTTGGAAGTAGGTTTACCAGTTTTGGGATTTCGTCCTCCAAATTCGCCTCTAACCACGTTGTTTCTGTTGCCATCGGCAAAATGGTACGAATCAGGATTATTGTATCCGAATTCAAAAGAACCGTCTTTATGCACGATGTTAAAATCATCTTCAGCTGCTCGAATCCATCCAATTAAAATAGCATGGAAAATTACCTTTGGAAAAAAAATAAGGCTTAATATTCGCCTTATTTCGGCAACATTTTTTGCTTGCTAGCTTGTACCCTCTGTATAACCTGCAATAGCTGATACCTAATGTCTTTATTTATAAATTTATTAACAATGATTATATGCAGACAATTAAAATTTGCTAACGTCATCCTTGTTGTAATTATCATTTAGTTTTAAGTATGCAAAGTTATACACAGCACAACTAATCTTAATGGAGATTTAATTGGATGTTTAAATTTATAAAAATTGCGCAAATTAACATGATTTGCACCTGAGAAAAGCATTTTTTGCTTGTACAGAGTGAGCGCTGCTTCGCATTGAATAATTTGGCGCAATTGTTAATTTGTTTTTTGTTCGTTGTTAGAAAAGGCCCAGCTTACCTACAAAGAGTTCAATCTGGGACACAGTGTAAGTATATGAATTTGTTCATGAATTTTTACATAGCAAAAAATATATTTTTTAAGTATAGGCTTCAGCTACGTTTGTACCTTTAAACGAGCATTAAAATACAATCATTCTTTCTATAAAAATTGAATAATTGTTTTGCATTTATTGTTTAATTTGCCTTATTTAATTTTTAAACAATTTTAAATCAGGAGGAAGTGGGTGTTTTTACAACATTTTATTAAAAAACTACTTGTTGATTAAACATATTTATATGCTCATCTCTGCTAATAAACTTTTACTTTAAAGCGTCATTTGCTGAATTCTCGCTCATTAATGAGAAAAGTGAAAGTTAAATGAACAAAAGTTGAGGAAAATATTTTGTGGTGTTTGTTTAAATGTTAGCACATTTGTTTTCCTTTGTTAAAATTAATTTTGTTTTACACAAATATTTTTTGGACACAATCACTAGAGAAGACACTACAAGCACTTCAATCAATTCAGTTCTAAGGTTAATTATTAAAAATTAGTTCGCTACAAAAATTCCCTCAGTTTAAGTTACCAAATAAAAAAATAGTGCGTATATTGTGTTAAAATTCGTTTCGTTACACGCTAGGGAATAATATAATCATGATTTCCTATACACATTCAAACGTATGCAAAAGAGCTAAATTATTTTATAAGACAAGTATAATAAAGAAAAGGTCACTATATCACGCCCCAACAAACACAAAATACTAATCCAAAATGGGTTAAGGCCACTTAACACGAATCACAGCAATCAACTTACGTTCCTATACAAAAAACTCATTGTCACCCAAAAATTAGCCCAAAATCCCGCATAAAACTGAAGAAGGAAAAATGTAAAAAAATCTTTTATACTGCATTTTAAAGTGGGGTTGCACATTAGTTCTTATCTTTACGCTATTGTATTAATGAAACACATGAATTGGATAACCCAAACATAGGAAATTTATTAAGGTAATGAATCCTATTCAAGAAACGATTGTTGGACGGCAAGGAATTTCTTCTAGCGTAAAGATCAGAGATGTCCTTGTTGGGTATAAAGTTTAGAGACGGTCTGTTGGCCACAATTAAGGTTCCAGGACAATGGGAGTAGTACCAGAGCTTATGGAAGAGAATCGACCAGCAATATCTTTTACGCTGTTCATACCTCAATGAAAACATCTTTCTGTGTGTGCTATTTTCAAAATCTTTGCTAGTTTATATCATTAGAAAAATCCAATCCAAATCGAGAAAAAATTTAGCAACCCCTCAAACTAGGTTGTATGAATAACAGCGAGTTTTTCTTGAAAAATCGACTCGTTTATTTATTGTCTAAGTTCCATTCAAATACAGTAGAAATTTGGTTGATAAAAATTATTTTCTTATATATTTTTGATTGCACCACCTAGCACCAAAGGCCTGACTTGACAAAGTGTTCGGATCAAATCGACTGTTTCCGTTACACTCAGGAGCGAGAGAAAGAGATCCGTGGTCATGGAAACTAGCGCGTCTTTGTCGCTTCCTCCTGCGATACGAGGACAGATCAACAATACGTGATACTGAAAAATATAATAGAATTCTTGGTTTTTGACCACCTACTACAACTCATCAATTCTAGATCACTTTTCCTAGCGATTGCAACAGTCGAATTATTGATGCTGTATCTATAAAATTTGGAAATTTCACAATTGGATACTTGCAGCGGAATTATGTCAGAAATGGTGATGGATGCATGTCCATTTCCTTCCAAGGATGCAGATATGCATCGACGATTTTAATCGATAATTCTGACGCAAACTAACAAGTTGGTTAGTGAATTATTGTGTTTTAAGTATCTACATTATTTCAATTAATTAATAAATCTTTAGGATGTTGTGCTGATTTTTTCCACGGATTGTTTGAACTATTGGCAGCAGAATAATGCACAAGCAGGCAGGCTTTATTATGGGTAATTAAGTGACACCCACTTTTAATGTGGGAAACAGACGAAACAATGGATTTTTGTTAATGTTATTAATATAACAAAATTAAACTATTATAATGTTGTTTAAACTGAAGAAGTAAAACTAAGAAATTAGTCTGTGGCCAGCAAACTGTTATTTCAAAGTATCACTTCGAGCGTAATGATCACATATTTAATTATCTTCAAAAATCTTCTTCAATTCTGTGATTCCATTAGAGAAGCTTTAATTAAAACAAACGACTTATAAAATAGCTGAAGACTTAAGTTGAGTAGCAAATAAATGGTAATTTGGCCCACGCCGAGGGTTTTTTCCGGTTGACCTCTCCTAACAATCTGATAATTTTTCAAAAACACCTCTTACCTTATGGTATTTAGTTTATTTAAATAGTAACGCTTTAATTTTAATTACATTTAATAACTTGTACTGTCTTCGTAGGGGTTTGTTCGGTTCAAGTGTAATTAAAATAACTTGTTTCTTCAGTTCATGACTTTTAATTGATGGTATTTTTCTGCTCGGTTCTTTTCGTCATCAAAAATCGATCTGCTGTTTTGCGAAATAAAATTTATTTTTTATTGCGGGTCTATTCTCAAGATGCTCAAGTGCGGGCATGTTTTATAAATTGGATTTTTAATTGCTTTTGTCAAACCTGTTAATTAATTCCATAAACAGTTAAAATCATTCATTGATATGCAAAATAGTGTGTTTATTGACTTCATATGTGGTTGACTACAGTCAAAGATTGTTCATTGGTTACCCGATGGTTTTTTTAATTGCTGAATGTTCAGTAATTTGCGTGCTTGTACATGTGGATAGTTCAAGCAAAAAATTAGTTAGGTATGTAATAATTAAGAAAGGTTTTTGAAAATATTTTTGAAGCAAGTAAGAAAGAAACAGGAAACTTAATGTGACAATAAAAGAAAGATAAGCAAACATATGCAAAAATTACTCTGCTTTAGAAATAAGGAAGCAGCTTTAGGAAATTTATAGCGACTTTCTTTCCAATTGGCATGCTTTGCTTTGTGTTTGTCGAGAAACACCCTGTAAATGAATTCAATAAATAAAAACCTCATGAATTACAACAAAAATAATAAAATATTACAAACAACGCATTTGAAATAAATATGCAAAAAATTGCTTTTTTATGTCCTATTTACGAAAAAAGTTACACTAAAGCCGCAAACCTGATTACAACCATCTACGTAAAACTGAAAAGTACTGAGTCAGTGAGTTCATGAAAACACTAGCAAAAAAATCGAATAAACCATAGTAAACATCAAGGTTACAGATGCAATTACGTGAACATTCATTACATTGGCTGCTACAGTTTTCCATTCACAATTATAGCTTGAAGTGATTTTCGAGTTGTTGGATAATAGGCTGTTTTACCATTGAACAAACAATCGCCAATTAAGACAAATAAGTAGACTAGAATTCATTTTATTAGAATCAAGGCGCTGTTTAGACTAATAGGTACTTGGGACTAGACGCTCAAATTGTATAAAAAACTAAGTTCTTAATTTATAAGGCATACACGGAAATGAAATTATAATACATCCTTTTGTTGCATTTATCAAAATCCAATACTAATAGGCATTTAATCGTTTTTCCAGCTCAAGGTGTTTGTCCGCAGTACTTTGCAACTTCCAAGGAAACACAGTCGAAGACTTCGTAAGCCACTTCACATGATTTGGATGCTGCAATTGAGGCAAATAAAGCAAAAACTCCAGAAACGTATAGGTAAAGTACCTTCGACAGTTTTTGTACTAATCTCATGAGTTTTCTGAGCATTTTCCAAGCATTTGGTCACAGCCTGCCGAGTGGCTACGACATACTCCTTCTGAGTAACTCCCTCAGTGTATAAAGAAACCAGTCCTTCCACAGTGGGAAATCCGTATTCATTGACCTAAAGATGCGAGTTTATTGCAAAATATCCATCACACATGATTTATTTGTACTTACGGCGTTTAATTTGCGATAAACGCATTGCAAGAGGCACTAGAACAGTACAAATAATGATTAGTTAATTTGCAATGTGTATTCACACGGAACAATTAGACAATTTCTAGTATGAGTAATCCAATTAATAAAACTTTTTGATTGTATGCAAATAGTCTTCATAGTGTATATTCAGTTTCACAATCAAACTGATGGGTAATAATTATACATTTGCTCTGCTAATATTCATCTGGTTGGCGACTTTCTAAGGAAGAAACGCTAATTCTTTTATTGAAACCATCAAAGTCCATTTGGTTAATCATGTAGAAATTCCATGTATTTTTTTAAAATCAACATTGCTGATAATAGAAAAACGTATATTGGCTCATATAATCAACTAGCAATGTAATTTCAGTGAGTGACACACTTTCTACAGGTAGGTACTTGCAACGCGTGAGTTTACTGGTTGAAAGTTCATGGCTAATTGATAACAATAGATGAAAATGAACCAATACATTCGTTTTTATACTTCTTATAATGTCGACATGATTTTCTTAAGTTAGAAGGAATTTTTCGAAATTATTGGGCTTAAATCAACCAATCATAAATCAGGATCAAACAAACATTTCGAAGAAAAAACGCTATTTAAATAAATGTGGCTTACCCCAGCGATTTTCTTCTCATCTTCGTTGAAAGCCGACCGCTTTGCTCTGCTCACCACTTTATGCTCATTTACTTTGAAGGCTTCAAGAGCTTCTAAAGCAACCAAAAAATTTCTCTTTTGTATATTCGACAGAGAAGAGAAGCCATAATGTTTTACCTGATAAAATAGCAATTTTAATTTCATCCTGGCAAGTGTTTATCACCTCTTCGATTCGCTTCGGTGCTGATAAAGGGATGTCGCACTTATTGTTTTTCTGCAATTGAAATAATATAATTAAATAATGAATCGGTCACTTTTTCGATTTGTTACTTTGGCTGCAAGAATAAAAGAACAGTTTTTTATCGTTTGGAATTGAAGTGATCCGATTCCAAATTGTTGCTTTTACAGGAAAATACATATTTTTCATTATTTCTATATGTAAATATATTTTAAAATCATCGGAAATGATATGTAGGTACTGTAAAATGACGGTATCAAATAAATTAACTCTTTCCTACATTTTTGTAAGAAATTTCACACTTTATTACCCCAATTGTTATTTAATTTAATATCATTTATTAATGCCATTTTGGCTTTGTAGTTTAAAAGTAGGTAACATAACAGATAAGAATATTTGAGGGGCAAAACGTCTTTCAAATCAAGATTATTTAAAAAATCTTACTTGGCATAAAACACGCACATTTATTTTTATTTTATTGCTCGCGTTTTGAAAAAGCTTTCTGTTATTTTTCTGGTAACAAATTTCAAAAATTGCCTGAATCTAAAAATTTCGTAGTTTCAAAAATGTTGCAGCGCGAATGCTGAATTTTTGAGTGTACTTTAAAATCAAATATTTACTTACATGGGGAAATACGAAAGTTAAGTTCTGTTCTTACCTGTAAGGCTAGCGACTCAAAGACAACCAAAACTAAGACAAGAAAAATTTTTCGAAAACCGAACATGTTTTGGCTGCTTTTTTATTGTTCGTTCCGTTAGATGCACTTCTAGACTAAACTAATAATAGAACAAATTACACGATTGATCACAAAAAGTCGGTCTTGCGAAACGTCGACTTTGCCCCTTCTTTATGTCTTTGGCAAGCCCCTCTGTTCACGCAAAACACGAACCATTATATGCAGTTTACGTTACCTTTTGGGAAAATCGAATTCATCGCAAATTACGACAAAAATACACGTTATAATTGCAAAAAGTAGTTGCAGATAAAGCAATGGTTTTAAGCAACTCCTCTTTATCTGCTTAAGACACGCAAAAGTTAAATATTTCATAAAACTGGAATAACAGCTTTCATAAACACCGTTAAAAGTGCGCTAATTATTTGATTAAAGGCCAAGCAAATATTTTTTGGAACAAGTGATTTTTTAATTAGAAATTAAACCATTTTTCCTAGTCAAAAAAAACTTGCTAAGTTGAACTGCGTTTGTCTTAATTGGCAAAATCCGACATAAACTTGTTTTATGAAACCTGGTTTGTACAAAAACCGCATAAGGCGCTTTCACTTTCAGAAAAAGAAGATAAACATGTAATATGTAAATTCCTGTATTAAATAAGATAATTAGGTAAGTGGCATTATTTCCCATATGAATAAGGAGCACATCCTTATAGGCTGATATAACAGAAATAGGTAGGAACATTATTTCCATCCATTATGCTTAGATTGAGATCCAAAATTAGTTCTCATCTAATATAAAGTTTCTTAGACTTTGGTGAAAATGAACACCTTATTCTTGAAATAATCCAGTTGGAACACCGAATTATGAAGCACCCTGTTGATTGTTCCCACGATTGCCACTTATAATCAAGTAGATTATGTAATTTTAAAAATATTTCTAAATACAGGGCGTGATAGGAGACGAACTCAGCATATTTAAATGGCAGATTGTCGCAATTATAAAGCGTAACTTATACAAAAATCTTAGAATTGCGCTCATTAATTTTTTTATTTTATTATTAACCATAAAAATTTGTATCTAATATTGTGAGGAAAGTGAATATACACTACTTTTTTAGTTGAAGAAGTTGGGAAGTTTAGTTAAAGAAACTTTTGAAAATCGAAGTATTGATCTTTAGAAAACCGCTTTCTAAAACAAATGGTTGTTTTTTTGATGCAACTGAAAATTGTAATTTGTTCTTGAAGGCTAAAAAATAGAATTAATCAACTCTTTAAAAAATAAAGTGTAATTAATGTTAAGCAAAACATCACAGTTTTTGAGATAAATTATTGAATCAAAAAAAAGAAAATTATAACACTTCAAATGGTTGTACATTTTTTTAACTCCAAACGTGCTTTTATGGTGGTACCAGCTTGACAGGACACGTCAGAAATGTACCAATTTAAAAATCACGTTTTATCAGCTGAAACTGCACTATCGTTAAAAAAATCATATCTAAAGTATGACTAAAACCTTTACTATCAAGAAACTCGTTAATTTTTGCCAAAAATATTAAAAATCTGGATTTATTTTAAATATTAAGCGGGCGAAACGCGCATGGTACTACTCCCATTCAAATAAAATTAATTTTAGGAAATAAATGAGAGTCAACGCACTTTTGATCATCAGAACAAATTGTCTGTAGAAGTATGTAAATATAAAATAATCCCAAAACGATTTTAAACAAAACGTTTATGGTGAAGCACCTTGTATATCAGAAGGAAACAAAATCAAATTAATTGGTCACAAAAAATTATCGAACATCATGCCCCTCAGACGCAGAACATCCAAATAATTTGAGCGTGCAAGTGAGATGGCCAATAAAGCCCGCATTAAAGTAGACATATTTTAATTGTTTTTTCTTGCCCGGCGGCTGAAGGAATAAAAGATCTTCGCAAAGGCACCCAGTGTTCGGAAGTCTAGGTAGTGTTGAATTCTCACGAACTAAGAAACCCTATTTTCCGTACTACTATATTTTAAATAACATTTTAGATATGTCTATGGTAAATAAAGAGGGGAGATTATTTTATCCTCTGTATAATAGTCATCAACTTCAAACTTCAACCTAAAATAATTATTGTTATTGGTATTTATTTAAATACGAAATGTTTATTAACTCCAGTGTTTCGCGATAGATTTGAGCGGTTAAAACTTAGCGGCTGTTGGTCATCACAGAATACACACGTTCAGTGCAAAGGTCAACTAATTTCAATTAAAATCGTCAGTTGAGTTTCTATTGTGCATACTTCTAAACAATCACCACACAATGGATATAAACTTGCTAAAAAGCTCCCGTACAGCACATCTATGTTTTGCCATGACCTTTTTTTCATCGGGGCTTATTTTGAACCTGATTCAGGCAGTGTTTTATCTGGGACTCCGACCTTTTAACAAAGCCCTGTATAGGAAGATTAACTGGTACCTTTGCTACAGTCTTTACTCTCGTAGGTTTTCCTCGGTTTAATCAGCTTCAATTATCAAAATCCAAATTTGTTTCAGAGTTAGTTTGTGTAGCAGAATGGTGGGCAGATGTAGAACTCCTTCTCTACATCGACAAAAAGGATTGGGAGACCTATTTTGGAAAGGAACATGGATATTGCATCATGAACCATTCATATGAAATTGATTGGCTGATGGGATGGATGGCATGTGAGAAAATGAGGGTCTTAGGGGTAAATGTCCATTTCATTTAAATATTTCCTAGTACTTATTTAGAAGTGTTTGTGAGGCAACAAAAACAATATTTCTGCCGTAGTTCAGTTATTTTATTATTAAGTACTTTTTATCTTTACATAATCTCAAAATTACAATCTTCATTTAACATAAATTGCATAGACATGCCCACATCAGCCAAATTTTGACTATTAAATATTTGAATCACACATTTCTATCCACATTAATTCAGTTTTTAACCCGTAGTCCGACCTTTAACATACTTAATTAGACTGGAATGTCACTACCGACACCGACTGGCTATTGAAAGTTTATTGACTTCTTTCCATAATAAAGTGTTTTGCCTTGGATTATTCTAAGTGATAAAGGGATTGACTGCATGTAGTCAAGTAGCTTCTTATCTGCAATGAGAAAGATTGTAGATAAATATTGATCAGAACTACTTAATTTTGGAATTTCAAAAACAGCACTTGCCTGATGTTTAATTTACGCTTATTTTTATTTATAGCCGCAGTTGATTGATTCATTTATTCTTTATTCAGCTTGTTTGCGCAGACATTAATTGATATTTCACTTAAACTTAATAAGTTTAATAAGTACTCAGCATTTAATCGCTTATAAAAGCGAGCTTCTGCATGCAGAAGAAGAAAATAAGCTAAAAGATCGGTTAAACGAAGAGCAAGAAGTTTATATATTTTTTTATCAATAGAGAAAATAGATCTAGATTGGATTTAATGAATTTTTAAAAACTCATTACGAGCCAATTACGCCCAGACGACTTTCCACTAGCATATGGATCAGAAGCCGCTGCTCTAAACTTCCCACAAATGCAGTTTATGGCTTTTTAATCTAATTTTTATGCACAATCTTCCAGAATTGTAAGGCGTATGCCAAAAAAGTCATCCAGTACATGCCTGTTCTCGGATGGGGATGGAAGTTCTCCGAATTTGTATTTTTGGAACGGTCTTATGAAAAAGACAAGGAAATCATCAATCGACAAATTAAAGAACTAGCTGACCATCCGGACCCAATTTGGGTAAGCGCAATGAAAAAGCGAATCACTCTAAACTATTCGAGCAATTTTCAGTTGTTACTTTTCCCGGAAGGAACGAGATTTACCCCGAAAAAGCACCAGATTTCCATTGAGTTTGCGAATAAAAACAACCTTCCAGTTCTCAAACATCATCTCCTACCCAGAACCAAGGGATTTGTGGCAAGTTTGGCTTCCATGCGAGGCAAAGTGCCTGCTATCTATGACACTTTGGTGGCATTCAAAGAAAATGATCCGGTGGCTCCCACCATGACAAATCTGTTATTTGGAAAGCGGGTTACAGCTCACATGTACATAAAGAGATGCCCCTTGGACGAGGTTCCACTTGAAGAACCAGCACAAGAAGAATATTTGCGACAACTCTTTGTTACGAAGGTACCTACTTAAGCTCAAACGTTGATAAGTACTAACCATTGTTAATCTCGTACAGGATAAAATGAAGGAGAGTTTCCTAAATACCGGGGATTTCTTCAAAACCTCAGGAGTTGAACGTGTGGAACCTTGGCAGCCTGAGCGCAGGATATGGCCGTTGCTCAATCAAGTTTTCTGGCTAATTAGCATTCTTGTGCCTTTGTTGTATTGTCTTGTCAACATGTTTATCAGTGGACAAATTCTTTACTTTACTATTGCATCTGCGCTTATATTGACTTGTAAGTATCACACTTAATGTGGCAGTGAAAACCTACACGGCACTAACGCAATTCTTCAGTTTACATGCTGCTGAAAAGAACAATTGCCATGTCAGAAACGAAACATGGCTCATCGTATGGAGGGCAGATCGATCAGCAGCAGTCAACCAAGACTGAATAGGAAGAATTCCTTCGACATTGAGCACAATTGTGACAAGGTAGACAAAATTAGCTGAATTCTTGTGTTTTTATAGAGCACACCTACAAGTGGGCAGTTTATGTTTGAATATTTAATCGGCTGGATTTTTTATGTTCATGTGCCAACCTGTTTATTTCACCCGAATCTACACATACTCAACTCTAAGAACTGCTAGCTTTGCCCAATGATTCAAAGATCCAACTTTATGGGAATTTTCTTTTTTATTGCACTTAAATAGTTTTATGCTAATTCATGTACTTATCCACTTGTGCGCTCTAGAATTCGTAAATAATAATTATATTATGGATACTAAAATATAGCAGGTTAAGTTTAAAGTAACTTTTGTGGTTTCAAATTGCTTGCGTAAAAAGATTCTGGTTCTGACAATTATAGCGTACTTAATTAATAATAGTGTTTTAAGCCTGATCATATTTGCATGTCAGGATAACAAACTTTCACTCAAGAATGTAGTACGATGAGCACAAGTGCACAAAAGCTTGCGTATAACAGAAAGCGAATTTATACAGATTCCTAACAGCATTCGATTTAAATTAGAGAGTCTGAAGCCTTAGCTCTATATAATTTGTGGTTTATTTTCCAAAGTTCTATTTTTCTGTTTTTTTAGGGGAAGTGAATTACTAATTTATACACTAATTAAGTTTGTAGTTGTTTAATTAATAAAAAAAATAACAAGCAAAACTAGTTTCACTTACTCATTACAATTGCGGGCCATGAGAACTCAGACGGGCATTTGCATTTGACTAAGCCTGAGAAGAAAATCGAGTAAATGCATCTGAACTTTGATTTCCAAAGGATTGCTTGTACGATAAAAGCCCGGAACTCCAGCCTGCTCCAGAATGTCCTGTTGATTAGTCACCTGCATAGATAGAATAAGGGAGTTGAGGTAAAAGTTGCCTTTCGATCTTTCGCACTCACTTTTCTATCTAGTTCCAGAACTAATTTCATATCGAACTCCTTCAATTCCTGTTTTTGTTCGATCATGAATTTTTGAAGGACTTCGATTTTTTTGTCGGAATTTGTTTCATATTTCTTCAACAACTCTTGTTCTTCTTCTGAAAATACATGTTTTGTGTAAAAAGGACGCATTTGCTTACGCAAAAACCAGAATATTTATTCCACAGTTTTATTGTATTTAGAATGGAAAAGGAAAGCACTTTAGGTTTTTTTGAAGCATTAACACATTCGCCATTGTCATTCGCAGCTGTGAGAGCCAAACTTTGAGGAAATAATAGATATATCGCCGTTTTTTCCATCAATATTGTACAGTGAGTGGAAATTTGGAACGCGTTTTAGTGCTGTTGTTTCAATTAGCAACGGCTTCGGCATTTTTAGGACCATTATAGGACTTTTTTTGTTATCTCAAACCAGACAACGAACCGGCCAAACGCTCTGCATAAAATAAAAACTTCGCACGTACCTTTTTTGAAGGAGTAGTATACAAAGTAGCAATTAGTGCCTTTGAAATTTTCTGTACTGATCCTATAAACCGAAAAATAATTTCACAACCCGTCGTTTCTTCGAAGAAAATACTGTATGAAGTGAAAAGCTAGAACGCAGCAATTTACCATTTCCAGCATCGAAATGAACTAAACAGCAATTGCTTCTAAACCAACTTACGTTTTTTGGCGTTAATAAATTGAAGCCTTTGCTGGAAAAGATGCTGTTCCGTTACATGCTGAATCTCCAGCAAGCCTTTTACTATTTCGAACACAGTCTCGTTGAGCAGACAGTTAGCTAGGCTCGAAAGCAGTTCATACGGCAATCTCATTTGATATTTACTGAAATTATGTTCACAGTCAAAGAAAACGAGAAAATGTATGGGAAAACTAACGGGGGCAGTTCGCCTGCCATATTTTGCAGTTGTTCCACCAAAAAGTACAGCTTTTTCTGCAGCACTTGAGCGTCTTCCATTCTCACTTATCTTCGTATATTCGTATTATTCTGCAATTAAATATAACGTACTTATTCATCAGTAAATCAGAAATAACAAATGTGTGTAGCAGTTTTGATTGTCAACAAAAATGCTAGGTTAGTAAAACATAACAATGCTTCAAGCCACAGAATATTTCCTCTGGGGTGATGTGTGATGTTCTGTGTTCATAGCCTATACTATACTTGTCAAGCCTTGTTCTATGTACTTGTCTTTATCTATGTTCATAGCCTTTAGGTATTACAAAGTTCATTATGTTTAAAGAAACAAAGATGATTGTTTGAATACAAAGCCCCCAATAGCCTAACAGCTTAACCTCACGAAATGGTTATCCCGTACATTGTTCTAACTGTCGTCATTCTGAGCTTAAACTTGTAAGAGCCGCTTAAATTGCAGGTAAATTGGTAATTACACAATGTTTTGTAGGGCTTTGGCTCGTCTGAATCCGGAGCCCTCAATAGACCCAAATTGCACATCAGTGCGCGACCTGTTTGCGAATGCTTCATCTGAGTTTATTCAATGCGCTATCGATCATTCCAGACCAATTACTCTATGTGCAGACTGTGTCCAAGAGTATCTTGATGTGTTAAATAGTTACAATAATATCTCCAAGGTAAATGAATAATTATAGTGTTTCTTGAATGTTTTATGAACTATTGCAGGCTTCCGATAATGGCACATCTTGCCTGAATAGTTTTGTGAACCTAGACAGGCTGGGAATCGTGCATACCCTGTATGAGAATAGCGTGAATCTCTGGACCAGAGCCAAGTGCTATGGTTGGTTCATTAAGCTGACTGGATGGATTGTAGTTCTTTAATATCGCACGAATCTTTTAGAATGCTTCGCCTTGGCGAATGGAACGAATACTCCAATACCTTCAGATATTTCCCATGTATTTCAGTCATTATATCAGGATTTTCAAGACTGCGTGAACAGAAGTCGTGAGGACGATTGCACCAAGTGTATGGACACTTACGTGAAGCTCCAGAACTATTTCCTAAGCATCAGTAATGAGAATGAAAAGATCGGAGTTTGTATGGACATAGTAGACTTGGTAAAAGTGGCTGAACTTTTGATGATTGGCGCTATAGTAGAATTTCCTTAGATGAATACAACGTGGACTTATTGGGGAGGCAGGTGTTGCAAATTTCGCAGACATAACGAGATCGTTTTTATCACATCGACTGTGCTGGTACTTGTTGCGACCGTTTTATTCTACATAGTTGCCCAGATTTATACCAAAAAGAGAATGCCCACTATCATGGAGCGTAAGTTATTAACAGCTTATTGTAACTGCGAATAATCTTAGTGATTTTCAGAAACAAGGTTCTTAAGCACCTTAGATAGGTAGGCACACTCTCACAACAGACTGAATATAGTTTATTTATGTTTATAATATGTTTTAACTTGTGTTAATTAATTGAATAAGAATTCTATTCCAATAGTTAAATTGTGTTTATTTTCAATAAACCTCAACAAACACATTTGCCTATCGCTGCCTTACTCGCTTAACTGGTTTTTTTGCACCAACATTAAAGCTCTTTTGTTTAGAGGGAATGTCCCTAGCTGGGCTGCCTCTATCGATGCCATTTAAAGAGCCGTTCGTTGAAAACGAGGTATTTGTAGATTGTTTTCCTGCCGTTGTTACCTCAGTGTCTATGTGATTACTTGAAGGCATATTCGTATCGCTGGAATCGTCGTTCATTTGCGAGTCGTCTGAGTTTCTATCAACTACGAATTTACATTGTTAAGAGCACAACATTCCAAGCAAAATCACAGTTTTGGATGCATAAAATGTAAGGCCATGCAAAACAAAAATCAAAGTAAAATTTCTTTATTCATAGGTATAACAGGTGAACTAAATTGAACATAAAAACTAATTAAAAACATACACTACATTAATTACTGGTATAAGCATATGGGTTGATATCTACTTCATGATTCTTACTTTTGTCTTGAGTCTGATCTACTATACCGCTCACTGCCTGAAAAACAGCTTTTGTTAGAGCAGCAGATGGCGAAACTTTTTGTGCACTGTACTTACTGCCATAGAAGTGATGGAGCTTTTGGAAAACAGTCTTTCGGCCTCCTTGAACTTCCTGTTGCGTTTATCTGCTTTGGAATTTGTCGTTTTGTTGCTGGACAAATATCTGTCCCAACCCCTAATAATATTCCCATAGAGCTGGGTGTCTTCTAAGTAAGATCCTTCAAATGCGTAGATTTGACGCTCTAAATTAGCCAGGGTTTCCTGAAAAAATTAGATGACTTAGACGTGTTTTTCGATCACTTATTACAATTGAGGTACCCCAATTTCAGCTTTTCGTTTGACTAAATCGGCAAGTTCCTGCCTGGCATCAATCGAATTGGTTTTAGTCGACATTTGGTATTTTGCTTATAAGTATCGACACCTAGGGCTTCTGAGAATGTTATTAACTTTTTTGCTGATATTCAAATCCACCAAACACAAAACTTGTACAAAAACTTCTTAAATAACGTTTTTGTTGTAAACACGTTCTGCACGTTGTAAACAGTAAACAGTAAATGACAACAGATGACAAGCCGCAATCTTGACACACTATATTGACATTGATGGATACTGAAGTGCGTTCCAGAAATCAAAACCAATTTCTGTCCTTTGGAGGACATTCTGATAATTCTTGGTAATTTAATAAGGTTTAAGAAATAAAAAAAATTTAATAACATTTATCAAGCCTTTCAAACCAAAAAAACAAATGTTAGACTGTTTTTTAGAAAGCAATTAACCTATTCTTTTTAATATTTAAAATTTTTTTGTTAGTTATAAAACTAAACTTTATTTATTTATTTAAAGTTTAGCTACTCTAGGAGCGTAAAGATTTTTTTTTAGGCACGGTTTTTTTCAAAAAAAACTTCTATCCAAAAACCGAAGTTCGTACCGTTTTAGGAAAAAAAAACATTTTAAGACGAAAATTGCTGCCAGCTGCAAGTTGAATATCTATTTTTAGTCGTGTTTTTCAGCACAAAAAACCGGATTTCTCAAAAACCTGCAATTGTAGGGCGTGTTATGAGAAGCAGCTTATTGTGCAGAAAACTATGGCATTGAGAAATACCGGCTTTTTAAATTGGCAAGTTCGTCCGTGAACAAAGTTCAGGGTTGAGTGGGATTATTTCACTTCTACTTTCTGAGCCACTCGAAAAATCGACAAGGAAAATCCCCTGTCCGTAAGGCCATAGTTGGCCGCTCAAAAAACTACTCTTACTAAAAAGCTCGAATTTTAGTAGTTTTAGCGTAAAATTCCAATGTTTGATTGAGAACATAATTTGCCAGCTGCAAGGCGAATTTTCACTTTTCTCAAAATTACTTTGTCACAAGGGCCATTAAATCGTAGTTTTTTCAGTAGCGTAACATTCAGGGTTGCTTGGGATCATTTTGTTCCTACCTTCTACGCCTCAGAAAAAATCGCCAATTTAAATGCACATTCTGTAAGTCTTTAGCTGGCTTCCTAAAAAGCTACTCTTAGTCAAAACCCCAAATTTTAGTCGTTTTACCATGAACTTGCATTTCGAAGACCCACGTTACTCATGTTTTCCAGCACAAATACCAGTTCTCTCAAAAAGCATTTGGAGCTTTTGACTAGCAGTTTTTTTTGAAAAAATGTTTGGCCTTCCTACCGGTGGCTTTAAGGTTGCAATTTCGCTAGTGGCGTAAAAGTTTCAGATGAAAAAATGTGCTTTTGGGCACATTTTCGAAACTCAACTTGGACGGTTTTCGAAAAATATGAAAAATCAAACACTTCGGATAATCAGAGCCCTTAAAAGTTCACTCAGATGAAATGTTTTTTCAACCTTTCTAAGGTATTCGGAGGTACGCAATGCATTAGCTAATTTGGGTTAAATTTAAAAGTGCTCATCAACTTTGCTTCGGAATACCACAATTTCAACCATTAAAGATCCACATTAAAAGAACATTTATTTACCGAAATTAACAATCAGCTTTATCTTTATTCATGCCTTGAAACAATACCAACTAGTAAACAAGCGCGTCGTCAGTTTTGATAAAGACTTGCACAACGTTGGATGTTATTTTTCAAAATGTTGCGTTAGTTATTTAGTGGATTGGTGATTTCTCATGTGAAATGATGTATTTTCATCCCAGGATAACCGTGTTAAGGTTTGGACTTTTGGCAGTACAAAAAATTGTTTGTTTATTGGGTTCTTTCCTCAGTTCATCCAAGCAGTTGTTTTCTTGCCCATTAAGACTGAAGAGTTCCTTCAAGCATATTGATAAGCTACTTATAGCAAATAGAGGTGAAATAGCCTGCAGAATAATACGAACAGCAAAGCGGTTGGGAATTCGAACAGTTGCAGTTTACAGTGAAGCTGATAAAAATTCTTTGCATGTGGCATTGGTTTGTATGCTGAACATAATCCAACTTCATACAGGAATTGGGACCAATATTATTCTTTATAGGCGAGTGAAGCCTATGAAATCGGTCCTCCACCGGCTTCTCAGAGCTACTTGAAAGGCCAAAAGCTGCTCGATGTGGCCAGAAAGGCGAATTGCCAAGCCATTCATCCAGGATATGGATTTCTGTCGGAAAACGTTGAATTTGCCGAAGCTTGCCATAAGGAAAACGTTATCTTCATTGGGCCTCCGGCCAAAGCAATTCGCGATATGGGCATTAAAAGGTACCTACATTCATGTAAAAAAGAAACGAGTTCATTAAGCTGGATTAATTGCAGCACTTCCAAGCACATAATGTCCAAAGCCGGGGTTCCCATCATTGAAGGGTATCATGGAGAAGACCAAATTGTTGGAAGCCTCAAACGCCAGGCGCAAAGAATCGGATTTCCTGTAATGATTAAAGCAGTCAGAGGAGGAGGAGGCAAAGGTTCTTATTCGGTAGTATCCAAAGAACTTATCGCTGAAACGCCAAATTTGCAGGAATGAGAGTCGCTAATACAGAAGAAGACTTTGAGGAGGCACTAGAATCGGCCAGAACAGAATCCCAAAAGGCTTTCGCCGACTCAGTGGTGTTGCTGGAAAAGTTCGTAGCTGAACCGCGGCATGTTGAGGTGCAAGTATTTGCAGACACCCATGGAAATGCGGTTTATTTATACGAAAGAGACTGCTCAGTCCAAAGGAGGCATCAGAAAATTATCGAAGAAGCTCCTGCAGTGAGTGATTGACCCGCAATATTCTGCTCAATTCTATTCTGGCTCAATTTTTCAGCCTGGATTAACTGGGGATTTAAGAAAGGAGTTGGGGACAGCAGCAGTTCGAGCTGCAAAAGCCGTGGGGTACGTTGGAGCGGGGACCGTGGAGTTTATTTTGGATAGAACATCTTTGAATTTTCACTTTATGGAGATGAATACCAGGCTTCAAGTGGAGCATCCGATAACGGAAATGATTACCGGTAAGAACCTGGAAATTACCAGTTTGTTCTGTGCTCCTGTTTGAACCTTTTTGAAAAATCACTGCGTTATTGATGTGCACGAATTTTTAACCCAGATATTTCTGTATGCCTTATGTGTAATTTCCAAAAATGTGAAGTTGCTGCAACTTTAGATTTAAGAGTTAGCTTATAATTTACAGAACATTCAAGTGCTCTTTGCTAACTGCTGATGAGCTCAAAAAAATTTCCTTTTCCTGGTTTAACTGCTTTTAAGACCCCGCATTAATATGCGCCTTCTTTATACCCTCCAGAATTTTAAAATTTTCAGTTCAGTAAAGGTTCAAGTTTGAGAAATTTTGAAAAATCGCCAATTTTCCTGATTTGAGTGAATTTTTTCTGGCGTCTTTATACGTTTATCTGAAATGTCCTGTGAAAATTACAAAACGACACTGAATTCAGTTTGGTAGATATAATTTTTTTCCACAGCTTTGCACGTGCTGAAAACTAATTGTTTTGGGCTGATGTTAGGAAATTACTGCTTTACTCGACTTCAGTGGCATTTAGATCCCGCATCGATATGTACCTTCTGTACACCCCGTAAAATTTTCAAATGGATCCTGTGTTCAGTTCGGAAGATACAAATATTCTTCCAGGGCGTGACAACGCTATCAAAAAAAATCACAAAGTTTCCAGATTTTACTGATTTTTTTCTGGCGTAGTCATATCTGTATCGAATATGTGCTGTTAAAATTTCAAAACGATACKGAGTTCGGTTTAGGAGTAATAGTTTTTTCCAGAGCTTTGCCCGTGCTTTTGGMCCKATTTTTCGTACCAAGCTTTGGCGGCTTTAAAAAAATGTATACGATGYGAGAKTTTACAATTTTTTTCCCGTCGTATTTATATACGTATTTTGTATAYCCCATAAATATTTAACAGCCACTGATTTCTGTTTGGAAGTTAGAAWTGAAGAATATTCCAGAGTTTCCCAGGTACCCAAGGCAAATTTTTTGAAACTCAAGTTTGGCGGCTATTTAAAMATGWCTGTACCTCCAGATTTTACTAATTTTCCTCTGRCATATGAACTTATGCTTCGTGTATGCCCTGCAAAAACCTCAAATAGTTGCTCTACTTACTTTCGACGTTGGAAATTTTTTCAGTGCTTTGCACGTGCTCTTKACGAATTGTTCTCGCACTCAAGTTCGATRAATTTTTGAAAATCACTCCTTTGCCAGATTTCACTGATTTTCCTCTATGATATTTACACAACCCTCCGGTAACTGMTAAAGCACTTAAAAAATTACAATATTTGGTTTGAAAATTACAAATATTTTTTCAGAGCTTTGCAAGAAAAAGCTGAATAATTTTGGAAAGTCCTTYGAATCASTTTTTTTTTCACGCGTTTATCCATCCGTTTTTCAAARATATTCGGTTTTCACAAAGWGTTTRTTGGGTATTTTGTCTCAAAKAATGTTTGTCTAAAAARGACAGAATTTCCTCACGTCTTTTATTACACTTTTCTTTCSTTTTTAAARACAACAMTTTTTTGAGGCAAAAATTTGAGGTTTGTGAAAACATGAATCCCCCTCAACAATATAGAACKTATCAACRAAATATTCGACATCTCCTAAATAAAAAAAAACAAGTTCTMATCCAACRATTCACCGACAATACGAATTTGASTCACTCTATTTYATTAATATCATGCCAATAACTTTGCAGGTACCGATTTAGTCGAGTGGCAAATTAAAATAGCTTCCGGYGAAGAATTGCCACTRAAACAGGAAGATATTCCTTTGAAAGGACACTCATTTGAGGCCCGAATATACGCTGAAGATCCGCGAGCAGGATTTTTACCTGGAGCTGGCCGGTTAGAATATCTAAACAGTCCACCAGCTGCTGAAGATGTGCGAGTAGAAACAGGTAATACACTTTCTTAAATTAAGTCAAAAATATTTAAAACTTTAAAAATGTTTAGGCGTAAGGCAGGGGGATGAAGTTTCGGTCTACTATGACCCAATGATAGCCAAGTTAGTTGTCTGGGGCCAAGATAGGAGGGAAGCTTTGAACAAATTAAACGCCAAACTACTCGATTACAATGTAAGTACCATTTTCCTCCGTGAGAATGGTATTTTAGTAATTCCTTTTCCAGATAGCCGGCATGGAGACCAACGTGAATTTCCTCCTTAAACTGGCCAATCATCCAGAGTTCCAAGCCGGCAACGTTCACACCAACTTTATCAAAGACCAGTCCGACTCACTGTTCGAAGAAGATGCTCTTGCAAATGAAGATCTGATTCAAGCCGCCTTATCTATGGTGATATTGGATCGGAACTCTGAAGAAGATAAAGCTAGGAAGCTCAACGACGCTTATAACCCTTTTGTGGTGGAGCCGAATTTTAGAGTCAATTATGAACATTTGAGAAATATCAAGCTGCGGTTCAGAGATCAAGGTAAATTAGTATTCGTCAACTCTTTGCGCCCAATTTTTTAAAATGCATTTTCCGATGTCAGTTTAATTTAATTTGTTCACAGACCATACTGTAAAGGTGAAATTTCCAAATTCAAGATCCTATGAGGTTTCATGTGATAACGGAGCTACATGGTGCAAAGCTGAGGCCTCCTTGAAGAAAATTGGGAACAAAACCCTTATAAATTGTTCAATAAATGGCCACAAAACGACGGCGAATGTGTTCAGAAGCAATGAAATACTGGCGGTATTTTCTGAGGTAGGTCGATTTTTGATCTATCGGCTTCTTAACTGATTGTTGAAAACATTAGAAAGGTAAAGTTCAGTACGAGCTTTCAACTCCTTCATACCATTTGGACGAAGATTCTGGCTCTTCCCTGGGAAGCGCGCAGAAAGCTGTCTCTCCTATGCCAGGAGTTCTGGATAAAGTCTTGGTAAACGTTGGAGATGTGGTGAAAAAGGGCGACTCCCTCTTCGTGCTGATAGCAATGAAGATGGAGCATATTGTGAAAGCAACAGGAGACGCTAAAGTTGCAAGCATCCACTTTAAGGTTGGCCAAAGTGTTTTAAAGGATGCCACGGTTGTAAAGTTCGAAGATCCAGAAGAATCCACTTCCTAATATTTGCCTCAGAGCGAAAACATATACCATAACATGTCTTAATTGTATTTTATTGAAGCTGGAGTCGCCATCAAAATTTAACGAGCGCACGTTAAATAGCCATTTTAAGGACAGCACATTTTCATTTACTTAGGGTCCAAGGACAGCTAGAAATACGGTGATAACATCGATTATTTAATACATCCTCGAAGGCTGATGTTGCTGTTTACGAGCCATATGTGGTCAGCCCTTTTACAACGGAGGGAAAACAATTAAATTAAGGAAATTAGTCAATAAAAGTGATGGAATTCTAAAAATATGCGCGTCTGCAAAGGGAGTTGAGCAAACAGAATGATTGAAATTTCACCAAGTGAACGAAACTAGAAAAGAGTTGATGGTCTAGAATTAGCAGGAAACAACATTTCAAATTTTTTTGTTATTTTTTGTATAACTATTCAATATTTTTCAAATGATGTCAAATATCATCAGTTCACCGGCTTAGAATATGGTAAATTTCAATAAAAACTATGATTGAACGTAGATGCTTTCTCTTTGCATAATTTAAGAATGTATGACACGCCGTTATTTATTTATCTCATGCAGTTAAGTCGCGTCTCATTAAAACGGTTACTGTTAAAACACTAAGCAGAAAAACTCTTGATAGATTTAGATGAAGCCATTAAAAATAGGAAAACTAAAGAATAAAAATAACAATTTTTGAGAAATAATTTTAAATTTGCAACTGCAGCCACCAAATTAGAAACACGAGCAAAATTAATTTATATTGCTGACGCTGTGGCTTGACCTCAATATAAATTTCCTTTGTGGTTTAGATGTTAGTAAGATGAGCTTTATAATTCATGAATATAAATTATGTTCCAGTGTGGCCATTTATCTCTGCTAAATCCGAAACCTTCTTTTAATGGTTTCAGTGCGCAAAACCTAAAACACCAGCCGATAGTAATTTATGACTCCAAATTGATAGTTTTTCAAACAAAACTGGTTAAACTTGCTCATTTTTCAAAGCAGCTTCATAGCATAATTTTTATAGTCCATATTTACTTGATAAATGCTTTCAAGTGTCTAGTTTTTATAGTAATAACTTAATACTGGCTTAAATTGTGCCTTATTTTTTATTATACCGTAACTGTGAACATTTTATTATTGCACACTTTAAGGATGTATGATATCCATTAAGTACTGAAAGTGTAAAGACTAACTTAAAGTGTTTACTGTTCTAATATTATTTGCAAATTAAAAAAACGATATTTGAAAATGAACGTTACTAATACTAAAAGCTGTGTAGTAATTTTTGTGCGGTTTTCAGCGGAGAATGATTTAATTATTACCAATTCGAACATTGATCTTTCATAAGCAGGTTTATTGAAAATGAAATACATAAACTTATCGTAAAAGTGCATGAATTTGCAGTTTATTAGCTTTTTATACTGCTTTCATAATTTTAATTAAATTTCCTCACATTATAAAGGAATTATTTTTCCATTTAACATTTATTCATTCGACCCAACAGTTTCCTTGTTGTGAGAAGCTCGCTGTTCTTCAAGCTTAACTCTTTTTCCAACGTAGCGACAATTTTTTGGTTCACTCCTCATTTTTACAATTTGTGGACTTTGCGATGTTTTATTTAATTGCTTCGCATGCACGCTTCGTTCTCTATTTACTCTTTTGCCTACAATGAATTATTTTAAACACCAAATGAAGGAGGTAAATCGTGTAAATTCCTTCTCGGTTTCCATTCCAATAAACAAGCTGATAAATTCGACCATTCCACTACGAAGATTTATGAAGTCTTAACAGTTTCGACTTGCTTTACGTTTTATCTTAGAAAATGAAATTTACGATTCAGACCAAAAGTAAATTCAAGTTACGCCTTTTAAAGTTTACTATTTGTTTTAACGCGACTGGAATTAATTGATTGAAGGCGATGCAATTAAATGATGATCTTACAATGGAATTTTTTAACGCAGATAAACTGACTTGAAATTTTCTAGCTTAGCAATAAACTGGTAAAGTGTCATTGCTGGGAAATAAATGGAATTTTAGATGCAATTAGTGACTTGGCTGGAAATAGAAGAATCGGAACAAATGAAAATTTAATAAAGAGATGTTCCATTAGCGACTGAAAAATGCATTTTTTGCAACTAGAGACTGAAATGTTATTTTTTGAAATTTAACAAACTCCAGAAAAAAATGCTAAGAATTTTTGAAAATCTACCACTCTTTTTTTTAACGTACCAACTCGCTCATGGGAACCATACGACTTTTGTTATGCAGTACTAACTACTGTTCTTCCTAATAATTTTCTGGTACTTTAAATGCAATACACCTTGATGGAATTTCTGCAACGACTGAAATTTTGATTCAGTTTTTTCTGAAATATCGATTCGGAGTATAAACACAATGGGGTAGTTGACCAACTGAAACAACCAGGAAAATCGATGCGGATCCGTCTCGGAAAACATTCTGGGAGGCAGTAGTCCGGGGCGTGTCGTAAGGGCAGCCACGCCGCCACAAGAAAATTCTCTGGATACGTTTCAAAACAGTTTCTGGACACGTTTGCTATGAAAAAGGTGGATGTAATTTTCCTAGAGTGTTCAGTTCCTGTAAAAACTTAACACAATGTGTGACACGTTTTTTGTAAGTATTTCTTTTGGACGATAAATCGCTCTTAAAATTTAAGGCTTTTGGGTTTGTTTATATCGTGGACTATTTTATGAAAATCGTCGTAATTTATGTATTTAGGAAGGTGTGGTGTGGGTAAACGTACATATTAACAGGAGTCTGTTCAAGATCACTTTATTATCAGCATGCAAGTCGAATGAACGATGTTTTATTCATCAAGTTTGCCTTTCTATAAAAGTCACATGCATGAGTAAGGTAGACGATTTTAATAAAATATGCTCGACAAATATATTTTATCCTAAAGGTGCTTTTGCTACTAGCAAGATATCCAGTTATTGAATTTTTTCAATTCTTCTAAATACGCGACTTTAGTAGCAATATGTTTCCAAAAGTGTCTTATTGTCCGATTTAGCATCAATATGATGTCTGGAATTAAAAATGCACTTTTACTGACTCACTTAGTATGGAAACCACAATGTTGGCTAATCTAGGATAATATTAGCATGTCGAACTATCCTTTCAACTTTGCCACCACAATTTAGCATATAAAATATAGTATCAGCCAAATGAAATTTCTGTACGTTTGCCAACATTAGCCGATTGAATTGGCCTTTGATATGTTCATAATACTAAAAACCATTTTACATAAAACCTATTGACTCAAAGTCAATGTGATCTAAAATATGGACTTGAATAGACTGATTTTACTTGTAGTTAAATTAATAAAGATAAAAGAAAACTTGTATGTTTATCTTGCACCGGCTGGTAGAATTTTAATTCAAACCACATAAGTTAAACACCACAATTGAAATGGTTAAATGAAAAAGTTTAAGGAATGTTTCAGCAATATCTCACTATATGTGGAGTTGATTTATATTAAAATGTGAGAAAAATATTTTTATTTCTACAAAGGGCGTGTCTCTATTTGGTATCTGAAAAATTCTAGTAGGTCTTTCTTGCTTATTGATTAAGTGAACTTTAAAATCTGCTTTGCAATAAGCTGGAATTTTCCACCGATACCACTTATGTTTTTTAAGGACGTTTTCTCGTTACATAAAATTAATTTAGAGTTTAATCATTTTTCTTTTCTTCTTTGCATAACATCATCCAAAAATATGTCTTAATTGCAAAAAAATACTTTAATTTATAATATACAAATTCACTAATTATCTTAAATTCTTATCCATATAAGCCAAAAGATGAATGAAAAAACTTCTAGTCTGACCTCTATCAGGTAATCAGTCGCCATGGAAAATTCCTGTCTTTGATTTTCTTGCCCGATATACTAGGGCTAGTCTTTGAGATGCTGGGAAAATTGCATCAATCAAGTACTTTTTCAATATAAAACAAGTACGATTTTTAAATTTTTTAACAATTTTATCATTCTGAAAACCTACTATGGAAACGGGCTAAATTTTTTAAACGCTTTTAAGTAAGTTTCCGTTTTTATTGCTTACATGGTTTAACAAACCCTCTGGTTGGTTCCTAATTAAAAATTTTCAACATATATTTATTAGTTGGATACATAAACTAACTGCGAAAACAATTTGCATTAACAAGTTTTTCAGCTAATTTTTCCATAGTTTTTAATTTATGTGATTTTAAAGAATAGATTTTTTCTATAGTGCGGAATCATGCAACGGTAAATGCTTGCACGAATTAATACTGTTCACAGTTACAACGCCGGAAACTGTACAAAACGAAGTCTTATCTTGCATAGCACATTTTCATAATAATCTTTCCTCGGCGTTTTAAAAATAGCGTGAAATCAATAAATTTAAACAAAGCAACTTTTTACTAACGGAACTTTTTTCTTTAACCATAGCTTTTTCTTATTGCGCTTTTATAAACACTAATTTATCTTTATTGGAGGTGTTTAGTCAGTATTTGCGTGATATCAAACACCTAAAGTTGTTGCTCGCTTAAATTAGAGAAATAAAAGTTGTGTTCTACCGCATAACTTCCGAAAATTAATGGCTTTATTTTCGTGGGTTTGCCACTTTTTAACTTGGTGTTTTCTCTGCCAAAGTGTATTTAGATTTTAATTTTTGTTCAATGGCAAAAAAAATCGTTAAATAACTGAGAAAAGCAAGCATATTTTTATATATTCTCTTCATATATTCACTTTGGCAACCTTTACTGTGTATATTTTATTCATGAGTTTAAGGCTTTAATAAGTCGGGCTTTTATAAATCTCTATTTTGTCGAAGTCTTCACGTTGGGTTGTACTGGTATTTAGATTCTAATGGATTGATAAATCCCTGTCGACTTCAATCAATGTATTAAAGTCAAGATAAGCTATCTGCTGTGGTTAAGCGCCAGCTTTTTTATCAACTCGTATACTTACTTATGAGCAGACAATTTTAGAGACTAATAAATTAAATTTTTTATTTTATGATTGGCAGTACTTTTAGATAAGAAAGTCCCTATGGCATTTTTCATTCGATCAAAGTAATAGCGGTGAAATAGATGCTCCATACAGAGGCAAAACTTCTGAAGCTTCAATAATATTCCCTCCTTTTGAAGTTTCAAGGCTTTTTCTTTAAATAACATTTCCTTAATACTAGGTATCATCTCTTTGTGTCGAAAATCCTTAATTTAAGCTGCCACGCTTTAACCTCCTCTTATAATAGACACATTACCTATGTTGAAAAAGGGCATGCATTAGCCCCAAACGAGACTTTTATTGATGTTTCTTTGCTGAGAAACTTCGTCAAAATACCACAATTCGTGAGCCAAACCTTTTCACGGTTACTCTCAAGTATCAATCATATTTGCATTTCGCGTGATTACAAACATTCATAAATTACTCGTTAAATTTGTTTTAATGTGTTTGCTTACTAACGAAATCATATTTAAAGTTAAGAATCCTCCAAAGTTTCAGAACTTCCGATGCAAGTTCTAGTACTAAATGTTTCACGGGCAGTGTTTCAAAAGAAAACTTTGGGCCATTTTATATAACTTAAAACCAGAAGTATGATAACTTACAAGGACCGACTGCAGTTACGGCTGATTCATTATTAAAGGAAATATACCTTTAGCATTTCAAATATACTGGGTGATCCAGAACAATAGGCCAACATTTTCTTAGGCGGTGCGGGCTCAATCCAAGTGCCTTGTATTATGCAGTGGACGATCCCTATAAGTTCGATATTTTAGTACTGCGTAGCCCTGTATTTGAGTCTATAAAAATCGTCAGCAACATAGTCAAAGCGCACAAAATGGGGCACATTTTTTAGTAATTCCGGGTCTGGGGGGATTTATGTATCTATTACTGAGCTTGTTAAATTCTTGCCAGCAAAAAAAATGGTGTTGGATAATTTGCAATTTCAATTTTTGGCTCAATGGTCATTTTAATGCCAATTTTCAGGTCAGAACCGAAAACTATGATTAAAGGTACAAACGAAACTATGGACTAATTGAGTTTCGAACGCATGAAATCGATAAAACTTTCCCATTCTAGTTGAACTCTAGAGTTCATCAATAAATTGCCGGCCGACTGGAAGCTTCATACTCAAAATAATTGGCGACATTTTTAGTATGCAGTTTTTGATGACAAAACGCAGATGCCCCACAATGACGATGAGTTGAAAATTCCTTTGTGAATATAAATTTAAAATTCCGTCAATTCATTAACGAAATTTACAGTTAAATTATATAAGAACCGGGCTCTGTCAGGATTTACCTTGAATAATAAAAACGTATAATCCAGCTCATTTATAGGCAGTTTCCAGACAACTACCGATTTCAGGATAAGCCTACAACAATGCCTAATAATAGGGGTTTATTCGCAAAAAATTACAAAGTAACACGTTTCTAAGTGAAAGCAAATGATTACATAGTACTTAGGCGGCAGTTTCGGTGGTTTTAAAGACACGCAAATGCAAAATTCTGTGGGACTAAATTTATCATCAAGCAGGAGCAGCCCTTTTGTGAAGGTTGCGAGCGAACAAAGAAGTTCTTTTGAAGGCTTCAGCAGGAGGGAAGCGGTTTAATGAATAAATTTGACACGATATGATTCTATGTTGCGTTTGATGGAAAAACAGTTTTAATTATACTTACCAGGTAATATAAAAGAGTTGCAATTTTATGCCTTCTATTTTTTTTAAAACCAGTCAGATTAAGTTATGAAATTAAAGGTTATTTTTGTTTTTTCGATCAAAAAATATTTAAGAATTAGTTGTAAATCGCAATTTTAAACTACAACAACAGTATATATCTACACTTGATTCCATATATATTGATCTGTCCAAATACCGAAACAGAGGAGATGAAAGAGAAAGACAACTAGAAGAAAACGTTCAAAAAGCTTTGTCAAGAAGAAAATCAAACTTTTTCTTCATCGGTCTCAATCTCTCACTTTCATATGAACATTTGCTTTTCAGCAATGAACATGTTAAATATTTGTTGTTGTGTTCTGTTTGTTTCTCAAAACTATTGTAACAACATCATCAAGCAAAAGACCTGAAATTGTTAAAACAGTGTGAAATTATTTTTTTCTGTGGTTTCTGTCGCGTTTACTAAATCTTAGTGTTTAATTCCTAGTAGAATAAAAGCTTTCAATTATCCAAAGAACCTTCATATGCCATTCATTTAGATTCTAGATAACACGCCATGTTATGGAAATATTTACAAAAATAATACATTTCTCCTTGTTTCAGTAAAATAATTATGGAAATATCTGTGATCCAATCAAGGACTTATTCTACCAACTTGGTTCCTTCAAAAACGAATTTTTCTAACTTCAAGCTAAAAGTGAAGCCGAAAAGCAACATGCACGTTACATTGAATCGTACAATCTCCAAACTGAATGCAACCAAGTCAAATTATACATATTTAGAAAATTTTTCCATTTGGAATACTAGTGACTTTTACTACAATGTGTCCAACAGCACGGAACTGGATTATGACTATCAAATGATGAATGGCAAGTATAATTATAGTGTTTTTTACTATGTTGTTCTAGAGGCGCCATTATGCATGCAACAGGTTCCACCTAATTCAGAGGCTATTTCAACATTTACTCTCTTCTACGTATAGCAGCCTGTTTGATTAACATTTGTGTGAGGTGTTTCCTCTTGCTATGAATTTTATAGAGTCACGCAATCTAATTAGCAATCATATCTCGCGAGAGTTTTATGACCACTTTGGGTAATGGCTTATGGTTATTAATCGAATTTAGCTTCACAAATCCAAACAGTCTAGCGCCAAACGAAATCATAATTACTTATATAGATTAATTGTCGGTGCATGAAGGGCACCATCATTTATCATATTAGATTGATGATGCAGATTTGCAGCTTTTTTTTGAGCACGCAAAAGTTTAAAAATATTTTAATCGGCAGCTCTAAAAATGATTAACTTCCGCCGAGAGTTTCTTTTAATTAAAAAAAATCGCGAAGAGTACGACATTTTTTTCCGCTTAAATCCAGCTTTAAGGCCCCCGATGTGTATAAATAGAATCGGAATGGCAACGTTCGTTTGCTCATTTTCCAGCACTTCTCAGACGTGCCCATTCGTAATTGCTGAGGAAATTGTTAAGTGACGTACTTTGGAACTAAATATAGTCACATGTTTGCTCTTGTACCATCAGCACGTTGTTACAAAATTGTCGTGACTATGGAATATGGAAATGATCAGTTTGTGCTGATAAAACCACTTGGTTCGCTATTCGAGGGCAATTCAAATGATATGCATGTGATTGTTTGTGTTAACATATTTATTAAACGTTTAAAGTGTCTTGTGGTTTATTTTTGTTGTATATTATTGTATTTGACTATTATTTATTGACCTAGAAAATATTTAAGCTCTGCTTCTAAAAATTGATGGTAAATATATAAAAAAACGAGAATCTAGTGTGTCAAAGTGTCCTCCGAAAACTCAAATTATAACGTTTTGAATAATAAATAATGAGAAAACTTTTGGGTATCATTAAAGTTGCTAAAGGTTTCCGATCCAACTAAGAACACGTTTTGAAACTTTATTCGAAATACAGGAACAAGTTGTGAGAGTGCCAACCTTATTAGAGCTAATAAGCTTGAAACTGGTCTTGGGAATGCCTGAGATGAGTTTAATTAGAAATCTGAAAGTGCTAGAAAATGTAATTTGAACTAATAAAAAATTGCGGCTGAAGAATTGATTAAGCACACTTATTAAGCTTTCAGAAATTAATATGGGAATTTTAGAACGAAACTCTAAATTCTGTCGAATTTCTAAATATTTTATGCTGCAATAAACAGTGGGAAAGTGAAATTGTTTGTTACAACAAAACTTATAAATTTCGAGCTTTTTGTGAGAATTATTGGCATTTTTATTAGTTTTCGTCCCCAATTTCAACCCTCGTTAATTGAATAAAATAAATGAAGTTGCGATTACTCGAATTCATCACCATCGATTTTCCACTTTAGGACATCTAACTAACGTCTATTTCTTTCACTCACAGTATCAAGACATCTTGAGCAAAAATAAATGTTAAAAATTGGTTCCAAACCCACCTTTTCTTAAGCTTCAAAGCAATGCGACATGCTTTCATGACCAGTATATTTTTTATTTGGACCTTCAAGCTTAGCTCGCACAGTAAGCACTATTGATAACAAAATCTTATTCACGGAAAATTGCTTCGAAGAGTACTTTGGCAAGCTACACAAAAGTTCTCCGCTTTATCTAATTGCATTAATAAATGGATATAAGGCGAAGGTAAAATAACTGTGAGTATAATAACGTTCCAAAGTTGGAAGCTCCCAGCTCTTGGAAGCGTCCAGACGTCGCCTTGTCGTATGTAATAAAAGGGAAAAAGCTCGCTTGGCTTTTCCAGCGACAGCAGATGACTCATTGATGAGAAAGAAAAAGAGGAATTTTTTGTTTGCAATCGGACAAGAATATTCGATTATCTTCGATAAGTTACAGAAATCAACCGAGAAAACGTTTAGAATTTGAATCAGGCAAAGAGTGTTGTTGCTCAAAACCCGAATTTACTTTAGATATATTTTAGGGACGATAGACGATGCGTCTTGGGCGATGTGCAAAGAATGGACCCCAGCACAACACAGCCTTTTCCAGACGGCAAATTTCTTTTTCGCTGCCGCATTTTTGGTTCCTGGGAGCTTTAAGCAAAGCGTCCTTTTAGTTAGGTGAGTAAAAAGGTTTTATGCACTTGCCAAATATCAAAAGCCTGCAGTGAAACCAACCGCATTTATATGCATCTATTGCTTGGTTAACGTGATTAAAAAATCAATGATCATAACTATTAAACCCTTTATTGGAAACGGAAAAAGTGCTTTGTGCGAACACCCCTTAACAAACCGAAAATACAAAGAGCCTTTGTTGCGTTTCGTTCGGGTGCTTTGAACTTTGTCTTCAACGCTTCACTAAGCTTTCCAGATCGTTTCCGGTCAAATCAACTGCTGTAATTCGATTTTGGCGATTTTCAGTGTTGCGTATTCATTGCTACAATTAGGGGTAACAAAGGACTTCATCAGTAATGAACTGAAACATAATATCCTTTATAAAATGTGTTTGTTTCAGGGCTCTCCTCTCGTTCGGATATTTCTTCCTGGCCATTTGGGGAGGAATCGAAGTTTGTGCTCCCGATATTTTATTATGGAATTTAATAATCGTGATATTAAATTGTACACATACTGCCTTGCTAACTTGGAGATTTCTACCTCCAACCCTTACGCTGGAATTAACCGAACTTTACATTAAGGTAATAAATAAACCTCGAACTTATTCAATTGAAATTTGTGCGAAAACTTTACCAAGTTCTCGCTCTTATTCTCTCCATTAGTCGGGAAGGGCGTTTTCTGAAAACCGTCTACTTCAATTAGCAAATAATTGCCGAGTAAGTTGCGAAATAACTACCGAATTCGATCTTCATGTCTGCGTTAAATTAGCTTCAATACGTTTCCACACCAAATTGCTCAAGATTAGCGATTTGTGGAGCCGAAGAAAGTTAAATGCAGGCGAAAAAAGCCATTCAGTTGAAATTTATACGAAAATTCGCGTGACTTTCGATGCCCTTACCCTTGCATTTTACCACAATAGCATGACTTGGGGGTTGATGCATAATATGGGTCGAGTATTTAGCTTCAATTAGTTACTATTCAGCGGCGATTTGCACAATTATTGTGATTCATTGCTATTCAGAAGGTTCAAAAGAAGCAATTGAGCGTGTAGTTTTACAGTTATTCTATTTTTTGCTGTAAAATTTTAAAAATTTAAAATTTCAAAAGTATGCTGCAAAATTTTCAATTTTAGCCTCTAATGTTGTATTTTGACAGCTTTTATATGTATGTGAATTTGTTGACTAGTTGCTTTACATATATTGATGACTTTTTTGAATTTTACATTTTGCTCATGCTCAGCTGTTTCCTCACAGAGGCTGAAACATTCATTTACAGAAAGAATGTTCTTAGGCTTTAACTTCTCATAAATTTTATGAGGCACCGTCGACTCTTGCTGAAAGCCTTAAACACTTAAATTATTCGTTACATTTGCGCAATTAATTCTTGTTTAGTTATTCTTGTTTGTTTTTTGCGCTTTTACGTTTAATTGTTAATGATTCATCCCATAATATTGTAATTAGAGGAAAGCGCAGCTCTGATTTTGAGCTCGTTTCAAAGGTTTCCATTTGCTTGTGTTAGATTTTCTACTGTTTCAATCATTTTACTTACTATTTAGCTAATTTGTCACTTTATGTTAACACTTTCAATTAGTTAGCTTAATTAGTTCTTACACTTTTAACATTTTAAACTTCTGTCGACGTTTTTGACCATTTATAATCCGTAGGTTTCTATTAGTTGTTTTTAGATTTTGCGCTTAAATTCTCAATTCGTCGTTTTTATTTTTAATTCATTGTCTTCTGTTATCTAATATCTCTCATCATTATTTAAGATTTATCTGTAGCTGCACAGCTTTTTTTACATGTGAAATCTTCCATTTCCAGTTAAAACTAACTCTAAACTTGGTGTTTTGCTTCGCTATTCTCAGAATATTATTAAATTTCAACTTTTATGTCTGAGTTCCTATGTCTTGTTGTCTTGGCGTCTTTTCTTCAATGTTGCCGTCATTATAAACAACTATATTTTTATTTGTTTGTTCATATTTTAACTTTCATTGTATGCAGTTTCTTTATTTAATTCATTAGATATTAGTTTCTGAGAGTTGTATTTGGTGTATTTGCCAGTTTTTCAAATTCAATAAAATCTTCTATTTCTCTGCTTAACTAAGCGTGTAGTTCTAATATTTGCAATCTTATGCTATGGCAAAAATATGCTTGGTTACTTAAGTTATCGTCGTCATTGGGTATTGTTAGAGTTTTGCTATAATTTCATTGTTTCTTGCTAATATTAGTTTCAAAATTGAATGCTCTACTTATAAAAACTATAATCGATAGTTTTGCTGCACCGAAACAACATTATTCCGGTATTTGTAAATGTTTGTTTCTTCTAACATTTTTTCATTTAGCTGAATTCTTGTTCAAATTTCGTCGCTGCGTTCATCTCTCCGATATTTATTCTTTTTGTCATTGCACCTTCAACAAACAGATTTTGAACCCTATGTTGCATTATCAGCAACAACTTCAAATATATGAATATAAAGTCCAATTTTTCCTTTATAATGTTATTCCGAGCCAAATTAATTTTAATTAACCTGAAGATCGTCAATGACGCCCTAGATTGGATTGTTCCCTTAATGGGACAATCAATAGCATGCAGTTTCAGTGTACTTAAAGGAAATTAATAGGCCCATTAATTAATTAATATTGCTTGTTCCCAATTAGTCAGTCAAATAGCTAATTAATCTCAAAGAAACAAAAAATTCCAAGAATTAGTGTGATATTTACAAGTACTAAATAATGCTTTACCTTTTTGTGTAACATTTCGCATACCATGTCATTGCATGTGAAACATCAGGAAAACTAAACATTCCCACAAAATAATCCAATTTTCACGTGTTCACAGCAAATAAATCAGGATATCAGTGCTCTCAATCTATAGGCCTAACATTCTGTAAGGAAATATCAAAAATTCATTTTTGAAATCTGACTAGCGCTATTTTTGCCTGCCGGATATCCTATTCTAGTCGTGCCAAAGTTTGAAAGGTTACCAAAGCTCTGGTTCAACTTTAAATGCATTCTGAAACTTTGCGTGTTGTGGGAAGGTGTTTGAAAGTGGTCTCATTGTGGCCGTGTAAACATCGAGGGAGGGCTTCCAGAAATGCTCAATGAAGTTGCCCAAGTTGTTTATTTTATATCGCTGAAACAGTAAACTTTTCGCAAATATTGTTTTTCGATAATGAGAAGTCGCGTTTTAGTGCTGGCGCCTCACAGAAGGGAAATTAAATTAATTTTTGTTTGCTCTAGGTATTTAAGCCTCTTCGAGTTAGTAAAAAGCACTTTAAGGAACTGGTTAGAGAAGCCAAAGTTCAGACTTTAGAATGCGGTGATATATATGCTGTGGAGGACGTAAGTCCTGCGGATGAGAGACTATCAATTTTGCTCAAGGGAAGGTACATGCTTTTATTCCTCCTTTTTACTGTGTCAGTGTTAAAACACTTCAATCAACTTTTAACAAGTTTTCCTATTGCAGATTACGTGTTACGTGTGACGATACTCATCTGCACTTTATCAATCAACATCAATTTGTCGACTCACCAGAATGGGAGGCTAATCACGAACAGTCTGATGATGTTTTCCAAGTGACAATCACCGCCGAAGAGGACTCCACATACATTTGCTGGCCGAGAATGAAACTGGAACGAGTTCTACGACATAGACCGATGCTCAAAACTGTCCTCGACGCCGTTATAGGTAAGAAATCACTGTTACTTTCAACCAAACTGCTGGAGACAATAAGCGCATTTCAGGCAAAGACATAACGCAGAAGCTATATGCGCTCAATGAACACTTGAGTGGATTAACTGATGAAAGAAATAGAGGCAAAAGAGACGCATTGTGGGCAAAGACCAATAGCAGAAGCATGTCAATGGATGCAGTCAATACCGGGACATCCGGCTTGGTGCGCTCTCAGGCATACAAACTAGCTTCGTTCAAGAACGTTCCTCCTTTCAGCCCAAACTGTTAGTTAACTTTTGCTTCCAAACAATCAACTTCATAAAATTTTCAACTTTGATTTAGTAGGCTCGATGGGCAAACTCCAGAGCCACAAGCCCCAACATTGGGTACCGGTGGTGGCAACGCAGTTCCCGAAAAAGTCTCCATTTATCCAGCAAAACTCTACAAACAGTCTTCGAATACCGGAGATTCATTCGACTCCGCCGCCACAGCGGTCGAAATCCTTGAAAGGATCGAAAAAAGATCGCGAAGTGAAATTTAAGGCGCCGCTAAAATAGGAATATATAATACCGAGGACTCAAGAAGTTGGAAGAGCCACTACTGTAGCTGAGACAAACAGTTCTTTGCAACTTTAAGATAAGCTTCCAGTGCCACATCACATGCCTTTTTAGCAGGATGGAAATCGAAAAATGCCGGCTTTCGAATGGTCAAATTAAGTGGTACTGTGTATTACTGGATTCTTGCTCGTTTGGAATTAATTTTTATTTAATCACTGAGCTGAGTTTTCAAGCAAATATCCAGTAATACTCTGATGAGTCTTTGGTATTAATCAGTGAAAGTTTTAGGGAACGCGTTAGAAGTTGAAACATTGTTTATGAATGTTACTACATTTTTAGGGTTTATAGGGTCTACATTGTGATTTCGTTATTATTGGAATTGTTCGAATTAGGTTTAACTTTTGCACAATTGAGTCTTGATTTTCGTTTCAAACTTGCATTAAGAAGACATTTTTGGAAAACTACGTTTAGCTGAGTTAACTTTTGTGTCAACATCGACGTGTTCAGTATAATAGAGATGCGAATTGTACTCATAATGGAATTTGGCGTAATTTTTTTACCATCGACTGGTTTTTCTAATTTGTAATATAATTAATTAGTGCACTGCTCGCTGTGATAAACTACATTTGCTTTTCCTATGAAGTCAATTTGTTTCCTGAAATTTCCTTTTTATTCGAAATTGAGTGCTGTTGTTCGAGAACTTCGTAAACATTTTTGATATTTTCCTTCAAAACACATTTGTTGCATTAGCTGAAAACAAACTGTAGAGGCTTTAGATGGACGTGAAGGGTTTAATGTTATAACATCGACATATTTTCAATTTGGACCCTTTTTAAATGACTGGGGATTCAAACTACAACTGTGCTCTATTTCGAGCGCAATTGCTTTGCTATAAATTTCTCGCACTATTAAAGTTTTAATTATTCCTGTAAAAACAATAATTTTTTGATATTATAAAGTGGCATTAAATTGAATCTCAAACCGAAATTTTTTTTCCCCAAATTAATGATACTTAAAATTTAGTCACTCAATAATAATTAATGCCCAATTATGTGACCACAAAACAAAATTGTGCCTTTGGTCTAAGAACCCTACATAGCAAAAGCATTTCAGCAAGTTTCGTTTTTCATCTAAAGCACAATTAATTTATTGAGTAGCCTGTCGACTATGTTGTGCGTGTTTAAATGTCGTAGCTGCAATACGTATACAAAAAAATGTACAAATACATTTCTCATTTGATTTTATCGAAGGAAAAGCTCATTTGAAATTACTTGTACATTGTCTCACTATATGTAAGATACATTTATACAGTCTAATATAGCCTAAACTTATTTTACTCCCCGATATAACATGTCACATAGGTAAATAATCAATGTCTATTGTAATGCATTTTAATATAGACTAGTAATTAACAAAGGACTCTGAACATCTCAAACGATCAAAAAATCCACAATTTGCCTTCCAAAGAGTATAAGCTATATATATTTTATAAGTAATGATCTCCATTGCAACTGGTTTTTTTATGTATAGTATTTAATATTAATAATGTTAATAGTTGTATATATTTATATTTGTATGTTTATATTTGTCGCGTTTATATAATGATTATTGTAAAAGGAAATATAAACTAATTTTAATAACAAAAGTGTTTTTTGATTTAGCAACTTAAAATTTTTCCGCATACTGAGTTGCATTCAAATCTCATGTGAAACAGTTATTTTATATACAAACTTCTTGTTGGGTAGTAGTAAAAAAGTTGTAAAAAACCAATATAGACAAACGTTTTTGAGGCGAAAGACCCAACAAGATGTTTATAAAAAAATGAATCCGCCTCAAGAATATAGAACTTATCGAGTTATTTTATAACTTGAAAATTAATTTTCACCTTGATTTGGAATGAATGTTTTTCTAAGCAGAATAGTGTTGCAACCGTCCATTAAAGATAAGTAGAAATAAATTAAAAAATACTTTTTGCAAACTTTTATTTGCCGAAATGATAATGTTCGAGTGTAAAGTTGATTAGACTTGTTTGATGTCTGTCGCCCCTCTCTATGAAAAGCTGCAAAGTGCCGGTTTTCTTGCTTTGCCTTATTCCTCGATGTCTTTCAGTTTGTGCTCAATTAGTAAGCTTATTTTTTAGTAAGTTTCTTTAAATTCCTGCAACTTAGAGTAGCGTAACTTTGTTTCATCTGGAGATTGTGCTTCTTCGGTATTTATTAGCTCAAATTTTTGTATGGCAATAATTCAAATCCAATTTTGATGGTTGGCCCAACTGTAAAACATGGAGGATTAACCAAATGTACATACAAAAAAAATCGAATTTTAATTTTTAAATGAACACAAATATCAGATTTAAATTTTGCCATCCTAAATCTGAAAACCCTCGGAGAGCTCATCGTATGTTTATGCCACATTTTTGCCTTAAAAAAAGGCTTCAACTGTAAATAAGTTAGTCGAAATCTACAACGCCCTTCCCGAAATTACATCTATCCATATTTCAACAAAAATAACCATTAAAGTCGTCAGGTAATTGAGTGTGTGCAATACCTTGCATGGGTTAATTTTGTTGCTTTCATCAATCAAACTTTGACACAGTTTGCCGGCTATTTATGCCAACGACTTAATCTTATATAATCATAGGCAGGCTCCAATGTCTAACAAATCTAAATCAAAAATACCCGCCCATCAATGGATTAGATGTGAGGCTGGAAATGTACCGCAAGATGTTCGTTGTCCGGATTCATCTGAAATAGCTGGCTCCGAACTCCTGCCGTTTCTTCTGGACATGGATCTTAAGCAGCAAGAACTAGAGGCAGAAACACCAATTAGCAAAAAATCAGTTTTAACGGCAATTAATTTTTAAGGTGAAACCTTCTCAACTGATGGCTGCCCTATCTCTAAGCACAGAAGATCGTTTGGAGAAAATGCGATCTTCCACGAGAAAATACAAAATCACTAGTAAAAACGACTCGTTTATACGATGCCCTGAAGCGATTATTTTTCAGAACTTTAAAATCGGGGAAATTTACACTACTTCGTTGGTTGTAACCAATCAACGATCGGTATTCTAACTTAAGAGATTATGTGGAATTTTTAATTACCACAACTTCTCCTGCAGGTTACCCAATGTCTCAAAGTCTATTTTGAACCGTCAAGATTCTTCACATTATCAATGGATATGGCCCAGAGTAACATGACAAAATTTGTTCCAGGATTATCGAAAGCTTTCCAGATATCATTTGTGCCGACTGATGCAGGACGAGATTTTAAGCATGAAATAAAATTTGTCGGCGAACTTACTGAGTTTATAGTCCCCATTTATGGTAGGCAAACACGGGATTAAATGTGTCCATCTTGTGGGTGTTCCATTGCAAAATTCACTTTTAGCGCTAGGGCCTCGACCAATTGCCCATATGCCAGACGTAATTCGATTGCCTCCAACTTTGGTAAAAGTTGAAACATCAGCAACGATCGTGCTAAGAAACACTGGAAAAATGCCATTGAATTACTCCCAACTTGTGGACGCTCCATTTTTCTGCAGTATACCAAAGGCTATCCTTGCCCCTGACGGTATTCTCGAAAGTCGGTATCATTGCTACCCAACCAAGCCTGGTTTCATCACTGGAAAAGCCAGAATCTATTTCCGATATGATTTTTGCATCACTGTTGATCTGGAATGTGATGTAATTATTTCCTGCCACCTTTTGTAATTTTTTCAACCTTGGTTATACCTTAGGCAAAAAGCGTTAAAGTGCAGCTGGATACCCATCTGGTGACTTTTGAGGATATTTTCATGGGCTTATGTAGCAGAAAAGTGCTGAGTTTATACAATGGCAGTGACTATCCTCTGAATTTTGCGTGGAAAATGAACGACAAAGAGGATGAAAGCTGTGGGATTTCCAAACTGGTTGATTTAATGGAGGAAATGAAGGAGTACGAACAGAAGCGGTTTGAGAAACTGGAATATCTGGAAATAGTCGACGGGGAGAGCCATGCAAAAATCTACGACCGAATATTTGAGGATGAAAAGTTTGATTTGATCACGAAGCAAGGTTTTCTGTTTAGATCAAAATTTTTCCAAATACTCCCAAAGGTATACCCAGAGGTTCTTCCAGAGGAACTCAGCTTATTTAACCACGTTTTAGGTGGGCAAAGTCCTGCCTAAATCCACTTTCGAATTTTCTGTGGTGTTCCAACCGAGCCAGAATATATTTTACTACTCAGTTGCCTATTTGGACATTGAGGGAACTGAAAGGAGAACCAGGGTTTCTTTGCAAGGCTACGGCATTGGTCCACCCGTAGTTTTAACTGTTAAAAGCTTCAATGTAGGCCAAATATTTCTAACGGATAAACATCAGTATGAACTGGCAGTTCGGAATAAAGGTAGCACTCACTAGCGGGAAAAATTTTCCTATATTTATCCAAAACTTCTACTTGTCTAGGCGTTATTCCTGCCACGGTAACTTACCAACCAAAGGAAACTGATTGGGGAGGGACCTTAAGCTGTGTTCCAAACAGTCTTGTTTTGAAACCAGACTCTACTAGAGCGTTTGTCGTTCTGTTTTATTCGAAAGTCCAAGGGGAATTTATCGAAACTTTGGATTTTAAAGTGGAAGAATCTGGCGAACCTTTACAGTGCATTATTAGGTAGATCTGTTAATTGAATTCATTTTTTCTATTGCAATCTTTTTTTTGTTTAGTGGAACTGTTGTTTGCCCACTACTCAAGTGCGTTCCAGATGCTGTAGTTTTTGGGACGGTTTCTGTTGGTAAATACACACCAAATCCTCATTTTCCTACACCATAAAGAATATTTGCCTTTAAGGATCATGTAATACTCAACAGATAAACTTAGTCAATGAATCCCGAGTGACTATTTGCTTTGATTTTGAATTTGAAGATGAGGACTCCATAGGAAAAGAGGCTCTAGAAATTGTACCAACCAATGGCAAAGTGCCGGCATATGGAACAACTCCTGTAAAGGTTGGTCGTCTGCGGAACAAATATAACTTAATTTCCAAAGTATTTAGAAGAACCGCATCCACATTAAATAGATGTGTTGTTAATGTTATCGGATTCTGCATTTATTATTCAGATGCTGTTTTACTCAGATGCAACAATAAACTTACAAACGAACGTTCTTCTGGTAATGTGGAAATCTCGTCAATATTCGATCAAAGTGCCCATCCATTGCATTTGTGCATGCCCTCAAGTAACGTGCGAACCTAAAGTAGTTAATATAAAATTTTGCTTTTTAAACTGCAATTACACCAGAACTATCACGTTAACGAACCAGAGCGACTCTCCTGGATCTGTAGAGTACATTCCCCAAAAGGTAATCGGGCCCTGTTCTGCTGTGAAAAACCTGTTTTTTTTTATGTAATTTTAGGACCCGGACGCCAGTCCAGTTTTTTGCGCTCCCAATATATCAAAACTCTTCTTTGAAGCGCACCAGGCCATTTCTCTAGAGTTACAGATTAGAGTTTCCCAACTAGGAAGCTTCGAGTTACCATTAGTGTTGGTGTCTATCAAATAAACTCCAGCTGAGGCTTTCTAATGCCCTCCATTGCAGATTTTCCGTAATCGGTGGAATATCTCAAACCCTATGCACAATTATTTGCAATGGACAAGGTCCCGTAGTGTCGTATCAGCCAGATCGAGTGGATTTTGGAAAAATCAAAGTCCTGCGTCGATATGAAGAAAAGCTGACTCTAGTGAACGATTCCCCAATAGCAGCCAGCGTTCGAGTGTTTTGCGTAAATGAATTAACATTTCCATCCGCTGCTGGTTGTTTCCTAAAAAAAGTTTTAGAAAAACGACAGTTGGTTCCACATCGAGGAAAGTGAGAGTTCCTTGGAGCTTTCCCCGGAAGAAGAAACTCAGGTCACCATCTGGGCAATGTTCAACAGTCCTGGACCAAGTAAAGACACGATTTGCGTAGAAATATATCAAGGCGATACTTCAGCGATTAAAGTATCGGCTGTAGGGGAAGGGACTTCCATATTGTGCGAACCTCCATTGGCCCCAATGTTGAACTTCGGCATTCTTTTGACCTACAAGGCTTTTGCTCAGGAAGTTCAAATCAGCAATAAAGGAAGCCATCGGCACAAAATGCTCTTTACCAAGAGCAGCGCATTAAGATCCTTGAAAGAAACCGAGGAAGACTTATCTCCGTTAGGATTTACACGCTTACTTATTTAGTGGAGGTTTTCCAACTTGAATGGTTTCAGATCAAGCTTCAGTATCGAGCCGCGTTATTTGGAACTTGATGCTAATTGTTCAACGTCTATAACAATTAAGAGCTTCATTAAGAAGCCGAGGAAAGTAAGCGAGGAATTTTATTGCCAGGCTGTGATTGGAAAGTCGCCCCAAATACGGGCAATCATTCAGTTCACGTTGGAGGCCGAATTTGTCGACCCGAAAATGTCGTTTTCCCAAAACGACATAAATTTCAACCTGGATGTTTACAATTTTAAAGCTGAAGGAAAAACTGAAGGTGATTAGAATTTAATGGAATGGAGTTGGTTATAATGGTTATCGTCAATCTTTTAGACGTACTGGAGGTTGATAATAAAACCGGAATTCCACTTCAAGTGCGCTTTACGCTGGACGAAAATGATGACACTTTTGCGGTTGCGGATGGAACTGGAAGCACTCGTAACTCCAGCCAGGATGTACAACGCACTTCTGCAATCTCCGTCCATTTCACGCCAACCATCAAGGAAAAGCGACGATATTCACAAAATGCGCGACTAATTGTGGAATATGGAGATCATCCCAAAACTGTACTTTGGTTTAACTGAAATCCTGCTGAATCTGAAAAAAACCATTTTAGGACATCATCAATTTGCATGGCGAAGTTATGTTTCCTACCATAAAGCTCTATCCAGACGAGGTGAATTTTCATTGTGTTGCTTTGGGCTCCACCGCTCAGGCAAACGTGCTCATTCACAATATCAGCAACATGGTGGTTGAATTCCAGTGGTTTTGGCTGCAGAAGAGCATTGATATTGTCAATTTGGATCATGTAACTAGACGCTCAGTGTAATCAAGCCTCGATTTGTTTGTTCCCGATTCTGCAGGGTGAAGCGAAGAACTCCGTAATGACGCAATTTACGCAAAATACCCAACAACTCATGGTGTACATTGATCATGAAATGGCTGAGGTAAAACTCAAAGACTCTTTGGTGAGCGACTGGAATTTAATGGGCCAGGATGTGAAACTTTGTTATGATAGCCAAAAGTATTTGGATGAAATGAAGAAGGTTTTATTTGCGGTTTTCCCTCCCGATAAGCCCAAAGAAACCGAATCTTTCAAGCCTCTGGCTCAGAATCATTCCCAAGATCAAATCTCAAAAATATTTTCGCTAGTGCCCAGTGAAGGTAAGCTGGAATTGATCATCTTCTGAACCTGGTGGCAAATTAAAAAATATTTAGGCATTTTAATGCCCAATGAATATTCCATTGTAACCATTGGATTCACGCCACCACCTAACACAGAAGTAACAGCTACAGCAGTTTGTAAGATACAAGGTGGTGAAGAAGAGCACCTGACTGTAACGGGAAGATCTTCAAAATTACGCTACAGCTTGGATAAGCGGTCTGTGTATTTTGGCAATCAGGTGAGGTCTTTGAAATACTCAGAACAAATCACTTAATACATTTTTTGTGAAATGGAGATATTCTGCGAGGTTTGCTCAGCTGAACTTACGTTGACAAACACCGGTTTGTGCGCCATTGAGTTTAAGGTGGTTTTCGAGGAAGTACTAACCATGCAAGCGGAAATGTTGGATGTTACACCGAAAATCGGAAGTGTTCCTGCTGGAGGTTGTGTGTCATTTAAAATCGGTTATTTTCCGGGATACCCAGGCAAATTTTCAAAGACGTTCTCCCTTGAAGTAAGAATATGGTTTTCGAAAGTTCTTTGCCCCATTGGCTGAATTTTTCAGTTGGGATACCTGGAAGCTGTTCCAGTGAACGTGCATGGATACGCAGTGTGCAGCCAAGTTCACTTAAACGTTCCCAGATCATGGCAGCTGGATACTGCAAACTGTTATAAAGCAGTAGCATGGATTACTCCTGAGTATTTAGAGGGTGTTCAGAGCAAAGCAAGAGAATCAGACGATGTGCCTCCAAGTTCCAACTTTCTGGACCAAAACGATTGGGTTTACGTTTCCCATAACGTTAGCGTTAGCACTTTTTTGCCGGTTTACTCTTACCTTGGACAATTTCAGGAAATTTATCCCAGTTTAGTGGACATAAGCATGGCCATGGAGAGAATAGTTGCGTTTAATCTTGTATCCGAAAACCCCAAACTGTTAAAAGAGCACACGAACTCCAAAAAAATTCCATACATTCCCAGCTTTTTTCCTTCACCTTATATTGTGGACTTTGGGTATATTGTGCGCGACATTTCAGTGTGTTACACCATTTTAATTTACAATTATGGGCCGATTGCTGCTGATATTAAACTACTGGAAGACAACAAAACAGCTTTGTTGGAAAAGGAAATAAAAATCGAGTACAAGCCCAAAATTGTTGCGATGGGCGAATCAATTGATTTGTATGTGCTCCTTTCACCTACAAAGAGAAAATGCTTGGAAGTAAATCAGAAAATTGAAGCAGCTTTTCGATTGAGTGTCAAGCACGGGGCAGTTATCACAGTTAAAATTCTGGCGGAAGTTACATTGCCAGTTGTGAGCTTGGAACATGAGAACTTGTACTTTGAGAGTGTTCATGTGGGAGATGTGCTTAGGAAAAGCATTATACTAAGCAACTAGTTAGTATAATACCATTTATAGCACTATTGCTTACTACTTTTGCTTCCAGTGGAAATGTACAAAGCAAATGGTTCGGAGAGATAATAAAGCCAAACAAAAAAGACAACGTTACTGGTTTCTTCATGATTCCAAGTCAAGGCCAACTGGAGCCAGGAGAACAAACCCGTTTGGACATATATTTTGTTCCCTCTGATACGCGAACGATCCGAAGAACTCTCAGAATTGATGTGGAGTCAAACTCAGAACCACTGTACCTGTTTCTTCATGGACACGCATTGGAAGCTTCGTTGATGATTCTGCCCGGGGAATTAACGTTTGCGCCCACTTTGAACTTCTTTCAAAATAGCTTGTCCTTTGCAGTACAAAACATGGCAGAAATTCCCTTGGAGTTCTGTTTTCCTTCCTTGGATCCGTAGGTTTTGCAAACCCACATTGAAATTTTTGATTAAAAAGCGGTTTTAGCGATTTTGAGCAGGAAAGGCAGTTGGTTGAAGTATACTTGACCCACAAAAATCTAAAGTATGCTTTTGTGCCAATGAGAATAGCTGGAAGTTCACTTCCAGATTTTTTTGCCACTACTTATAACGATCTTGTCTGCAAGCTGAGAAAAAAGCTAACGCTGAGAGAAGAAACTGAATATATAGAAACAGCGGAAACTGGAGATTTAGATGGCGTTGAAGCAAAACCTCCTCATAAAAGGTAAACTGGTAAACATTTTACACTAGCAAGATACACCGAAAATTTTGTCTTCGTAGTGGTGAATTGGAGGATCCTTTGTTAAAATATTCGCCCAAAGAGCTGAACTCTTTATTAATGGGTGAGTGGTATAACAGCGAATGGACATGATTTACTAGCAGATAATTTCCAGATTATATGACTGCAGAGGGTTTTGAGGCTGACGCCCCATCAAACACAACAACGTATAAAATGGAAGATTCTTCCGAAAAAATCGAAATTGTTGAAGCTGCTCCCAAACCCATCCCAGAGGAAGTTGAAAGGAAAGGCGTTCTGTTCATTTTCCATGGAGCTCCCAATACAGGTCCAGTACAGTTAAGCTTGGGCTGCATTTACTTCAACCTATTTTTATTTAATTGTAGCTTTTTACAAAGGAGCAAACCAATTTGGGATGGCCTTATCTATTCCAGTTTATAGTATTGATCGCCTAATAATTGAATCTCTACTCGAAAGTACTCACTCTACTGCCTCAGATATTTTAGCAGTAATCGATAATGCGGTGATGGAGCGTGTCAACTTGAAAACTGATTCTCTTTCAGAATGCCTTGAGGACGAAGGTTTTTTCATAAATGGAGAAAGTCCTCCTTGGTACTGAATCGATTTTGCAGATAGCGAATACGACAAAATTTTGGAGAAGATTCAAATAATTTTGACAACAAAGCCGAAGAAACAAGCAAAAGTTAGGACACCGAAAGAAAAAGGCAGTAAGGCATCATCGGATAAGAGCCCAGAAAAGGGCAAGGAAAAGGGCTCCGGAATGAAGGGCGATTGCTTCCTGAATATTTCATTAGATAATCTGGTTGAGTTGATAAAACCCAAGCTGAAATCCATGCAAGAACTTATCATCGAGAGTTTATCTACTACTTTTATTCTTCACGAAAACCAAGCTTTGTATGCACTTTTAAGAGCGGCTGGACCTTTGCTGTACATTAATTTAGTTTTATTTTCATACACTGTGAGTAATTTTTTGTGGATCTCAAGACATTAAGATCTTTCCAAGTGGAAAGATTCAGTTTTTGAATTGAGGCTTTCCGTACATTTTAGATTTCCGACTTTGTAAAAAATGAGGCAGATAAGTGGAAGGTTGAAGCTGAAAAAGCGCCAATTGCAGTAAACATAGATAAATCCAGGTCAGTTTCGCCTCCAGTTCAAAAAACTTCTCCTGCAGCTAAAAAGGAAAAAGCTAGCGCAAAAACAGGTTCGGATAAAATGTCGAAAATCAGCCGTGGAGCTGGGAAAAGTGGTGATATGAACAAAAGTAAGCAGACATTGAAAAACCAGTTTAGAGAATGTTCTGCAGTAAAGCAACTTTGGAAATTTCTGAAACATTACAGAAATTCTTCAGGGTCTAAGCAAGTCCGTCAAAGCGCAATTGGAAGCTTTTGAAAATCTTCGGCAAGAAATTTGGCATATTGCACAATATTGGGATAAGCACAATGCAACATTACGAAAAGTATGAACTTTCTGGTAAAAAAAGCTGGTAAATTATATGGTTAATACTTTTAGCCTTATAGCAGCTCGGGAAGTAAAAAGGATGCTTCAAGTAGAGATTCGGCTAGAACCAACAGAAATTCTATGAAGAAACCAAACTCAATTCACAATATGGAAGTAACTTTAGCGGAGCCAGGCAAGCAGGAGTAACTGTTTTATTGCTTTCATGTTTAACGAGATTTGGACTGATTTTTTTCAGGTTTATTTTGCTGGTTAATAGTCAATTGCCCTCAGGACAAAGACATTGACTACCCGGAGGTGATTCGTAATTGCATCAAGCAGGATGAAAATCTTCAAAAATGCCTAAAAGAAATTGAAGAGAGTAAACATAAAAAGCTCGAAGAATCGCAAGCGATCTTCTCAGTGATATCGAAAGTGGACTTTAAAAAAGCCGACCACATTCAGCCACCAGTCTTTAGTATAAGAAATTGTCCGGCATCAGAGCCAATTCCTTTAAAAGTTTGTTACTAGTTCAAATTATGTAGTTCAAAGAGACTTTTTGCCTAAAATGGGCATTTCAGGATCGGTCCAAAACGTCGTTGATCAAGGTGAAGCGCAAGCGAAGCTCAAGAGGTTCGAGAAAAAGTGCAGACTCACGATACGGAAACGACTCACAGCCAGTGCCGTTTACTAAAGGTTTGGGTTAGTTGTACAAAAGCTCTTAAAATGCGTAAATTAAATAAAAATTCCAGCTTCAAACGATGCGGAATTCTCACCAAAAACAGTGCTTCAACCGGGGGATCTAATAAAATACCAAGTGACATTCTGCCCTGAAAAATCTGGAATGTACAAGTATAAATACAATATAGTCACGACTGCGTCCAAAACTCCTTATCAAGTTTTGTGTAACGCCATCTGCGAATTTCCCCGTCTGGATACCCATCCTGAAATAATGTTTCCAAAAACCCTAGAGAATTATAAGGAAAAAGCCTCATACGATCACTTTGTTTTTATTAAAGATCAGAAGATATTCGACTTTGGGTCCATTGTAGGTACGTAGCTCTAGAATGTAAAAAAAATAGCCAACTTAAACATGTTATTTTGCGCTAACTGCAGCTGGCCCCAGCCCAGAAAAGTGCCTAGAATATACTTCATCCATTCTGCTTCGCAATGCTTCATCCTCACCATGTGAGGTTTATGTCAGCTTAAGCAATGACGCCTTCAGCATAGAGCCCTCAAGTTTCATAATTCCACCCAACAGTGATGACACATTAAAGGTATCCACAAAATCTATCAAAGCAGGAACATTTACCACGCAAATGTACATTTCGATTAAAAACAATCCAGTTGTGGAAGACTACACTCTGGCGTGTTCGCCATGCAAATTGGAGTTCAGCATTTTTCCAAGAATCGTGAATTTTGACAAAGTAAGTCCATAAAGCGCTCTGAACAACTGGAGATATTTATTATGTGTCCAATCAGGTACCATTGCACTATTCAGCCAAACGGATTGTGAAGCTTACCAATACATCCCCAATAAATCTTCGTTGGGAATTTGTTGAGCCTGAATGGGCAGCTGAAATATTGGAAATGCCCCAAACCCAAGGATTCATCGGACTATATTCAGTGAGCGATGTGGTATTTCGATTTACTCCGACTGAAGAAATGGTCATTTCCAAAAAGCTTTTGCAAATTCGGGTAAATTTGCAGCATAACTTTGGGAATGGCAGTAAAAAATGACTTGTGGTTTAGGTATTTGATGTGAACAGTACAAGCTTAGAGCCCTGCTTTATAGAGAATCTTCCAATTCATGTGGAGTCTGTAGAATACAACATCGAGTTTGATCATCATATAGATTTTGGTGATATTAAGGGTGGCGTTGATCACAAAACTCTGTTTGCTATCTCGAATAAAGGGAAGTGTGAGATTGCTCTAAAGTAAGAAGCATGGATTCATTTGTAAAATTATGCCGATAGTCAATAAACTTTTTTCATTTTTTCGCTTTTTAGAATTGAAGTATTTAACAATCCTTTGGAAAGCCATAACTTTGTTCGAGAATACTTCAAAATGCAGCCGCTGCTAATGACTATTGGGGCGCAAAAATCGGACAATCTCTCTATAATATTCCACCCGAAAAGAAACTTTTCCATTCAGAATCTTCTGATATTTGTTGTGAGCATGATGGAGAGCATTCAATCTGGACATGTTGTGCAGTCCTATAAAGTAACTGCAAGCGCTTCCAGTTTTATGCCCAAGTATTCCCATACATAATTGAGTAATAAGTAGCTTTGGCATTCACATAGCTGATTTCAGTTATGAGGTTTGCCCAGCTTCGCATCTGAATTTTGGGCATGTTCAATTGCTGGCTCCAAAGAAGCTGAAATTGGTGTTGACAAATAACGGACGGTTTCCGTTCAGTTTTTCTATATTGAATTATCAAAAATTCATAGAGTCGCTAAAGAAAGGCTCAAAGAAAGGCGGAAACATTTCGGATAGCGAAAGTAAAAAGGGCAAAAAGTCAGCTAGGGGCGAAGAAGATAAACACAAACCAGAGAAAGAACGACATAGTGATAAGAAAACGAAAACCAAATCGGCTGGAAGCAAAAGCAGCACGAAAACGTAGGAAAATAATTTGGACGGGTAATTTTGTGACAGCGATCTTTTTCAGGGAAAAGAAAAAAGCAACTAAAATTACAAAGTTGGATGTAGGAGGGTTCAGCATAGTTCCTTCCACGGGATTTGTGGCTCCTGGTGATAAACTCAGCATAGATGTGGAAATTGCGCCTAACGAAATGAAAGACTACAAGGAGAAAATCTTGCTGAATATTCCAGAAATTGAAGACAAGCAAAAGAACAAAGTGATATCTTTGGAAGCAATTGGATGTGAACCCAAAATAAACCTAACAGACCCGGAAGGTGTCTTCTTAGAACAATTTATTGTTGCCAACGTTGAAGACTTTGTGGCTCCAAAAAATGTAAGCCTTTTTTGTCTTTTAATTGTATCAGTAGCTTTCAGTTCTTTCAGGCTGAGGGTTGCGTGATATTTTCCACCTCCGACTGCAGTTTACACTTCAAAAGGGTTTGCATAAATACCCCCGTATCCACCAGACTTAATTTGAAAAATATCGGCTTCGTCCCTGCATATCTGAGCGCGAAAGTAGACGATGGGGGCAAAAACGTATTTTCGTTGATATCATCCAGCAAAACTTTGGAACCCTATTGTAATGATTGGTTGCAAGTGGTGTTCAAACCAAATTCCTTGGAAGTAGTAGTTCATATTATTCACTAACTGCGAAATTATTGAGAATATGCTTTTTTTTTAGCAAATCCGTGGGATGTTAGAGCTTTCTTACAATGCTTCATCAGGCAACAAATTAGTGGTTCAGTTGCATGGTCAGGCCTGCTTGCCTCAGATCAAGCTGAAACAACCGGCAGTTAACTGTGCAGAGCCCCATTTAAGTTTTGGTCCATTATGTGTGGGATTTTCAAAATCCCAGAGAATAGTTTTTGAGAACATAGGCGAAATTAAGTGCAAAGTTATTGCAGAATTATCGCCCAGTTCTGATGCATTGAGCTTTGTGCCTATAGGAGAAACTCTGCTGGAGCTGAATGTTCACGGAACGGAGTGTGAGTGCGAGTTTCGCTGGACTAAGCTTGATGTTTAATTGGCGTGCTTGTAGATGTAGACGAAATGAAGCATAATGTGATGGTTAATTTGGCACCTCAGAGTGAAGCTGAATTCGATGTCGTCTTTAAACCAACTCAACCGGGGACTGCTCAAGCTGCTTTAACGCTTCATACAATACAAAATCCATATGAAGTTATTAAAGTAAGCTGCGCAGAATTTACTTTTATCCAGTTTTGAGTTTTAACATCATTTTCCAGATTCTCATCATTTCCGAAAGTTTCAACAACGAAATAATTTTCGAACGACTCGAACCAACGAAAATTTCGACATCCTCCAAGTCACTGTTAAATGGCAAAAATTCTATTGGCTACTTGATAGATTTGGGCTACAAGCAGCTGAACAGATTGTACAAACAGTCGTTTCTCATTCGGAACAGATCAGTTGATACTTACAGGTTCCAGTTCTACAGCACTTGCGTGCTGTTTATTCCAGAAGTGGGACACTTAAAGCCGGGTGCCTGGAAAGAAGTTTTGGTCATTTTTAAGAGCTCTGTTCCCGTTCAACTACACAACGTATGTTCAGTTTTGCAGAATTCAGCCGGGATTGATGAGGAATTTTTAGGAAGCAGTTAGTTGCAGCGTTACCAAGATCCAATACGTTTCCCCGGATGGAAATATGTTAAGTTGGGACGACAGGCAAAAGTTTGTCTACTGGATTCCAGATACAGATAATTCGGATTCCAGCGCAGATAGTTTATCTGTATCGACAATGACAAATAAATCGTCTCATAAACGTGGTAAAAGCATCGCATCAGTCAATGAGAGAAAGTCTCATTTTAGTTCATTCTCTGTGTAGGTGTTTCTGTTAGCTCTAGATATGGGAAAGCATTAATGTATTTTTATAGAAAAAGTTCAGAGGCTCACGATTGCAAGTTGGATGCTAAAACGAAGGTCATCATGGAAGGAGGAGAACCAGAGTTTATTACTGTGGCAGAGACGTTTGAAGTTATTTCTCTATATGTCTCAGTTGCAGCTGATTACGCTAGATACGAATCCGTGACGAATTTTATTAATTTCCGGGACACCTTCATCAAAGAGGTAAAAGTGTTTTACTTCGTCACTTTCAGATATAAAAATTGGCAAAATCCATGCAAAAATATTCTAGTAAGAAATTCAACCTAACCATTTCCGACTCCAATTCCAATTTTTCTGGAAAATCCCAAATAAAAACATTCAACTTGTGTAAATTTCCAAAATTCACATTTCACCCCTGCATTTCTTAATGGGTCAGTGGAACGTGCTGAAACCTTTGCCTTTCCCAACTCGCTTCATGTGAATGCTACCATAAACTTCCTTCCGTAAATTTATATTTTAGTGGCCAATTTCACCAACAATAAATCCTGCCTCCTGGTTGCTTTCACTTCTTTTAACAGCCGCACATTTTTGTCAAGCCTTCCGCCTTTATTAACACCGTAATCGTCCGGACGACTAAAGTTACTTCTGAGTTTATGGGGATTATTTCGAAAATACGTGACATATGATGAAAGAGCTTTAAACTTTATTTTCGTTTCTGTTGGACGGTTTTCCCAGTTTAAGGCAATACGTAAAAAGTTTTATGATGACTATTTTATAAAATTGTTAAGGAAACCGTACAAGAGTTTGAAGTGAAAAATAGCGGTGTCGTGCCACTGAATATAACATGGGAGCTTTCCGATAAAAACCGGTTAGTTTCTGTGCGAAAATCCTCATCAGATACTCGGCTGGGCTTAAGGCAAAGCACAGGTAACAATGCATTAGATTATTTGGCTACTGAATAATTCAATTAAATATTTTGCTTCCTAGAGGCCCCACTGAAAAGTGCAAGTTCTTCCAGCTTGTTTTTATCAATTTTTTCTCAAGAAATTGAACATCCGCTGGCTATTACCATTGAGTCAGAAAAGGACCGAGTCGAACCCGGTGAAACTCGATGCTTTTTATTAAAATTCGCCCCTCAAGAAGTTGGCAACTATGAAGCCTTGCTTAAATCAAAAATTGATTGTCTAGACCCAGACTTGGAGGAAATGTGCCTGCTGGTCACCGCTAAAGCTTTACCAGTTCCATTTTATTTTGAACTTGATGACCTACCTAACACCAACCAAGAGATTCTGTTGGAGTTTGAAAATATTGGAATCGCAACTGAATCGACGAGGTTGGTCTATAAAGTCCCGAGGCAAAATCCTTTACAACTGTTTTTAGGCAACTAACTCTGGTAAATCCTTGTGATCACCAGGTAACTTTTGATATAACCATACAAGACCAAAAGGAGTTTTCTTACTTTACATGCCACGCACCCCAAGGGCGAATTAATAAACTCAGAAAATATTCAACCAGCTTCAGCTTTTGTCCTCCTATCTTCGGATCATTCACGGAACAATATGTGTTAAATATTTCCCAAGAAAACCTACAAAGAACCATCAAACTGCAAGGCATATGCAGAGAGCCGAAGGTTAATTTTTCGGAAAACAATATCGTACTAAAATCGACGGTGCCGAAAGTGAAGAGTACAAAATCACTGAGGCTGATGAACGAAGAAAGGTTTCCAGTTTCGTTCAAGTTTGTCAAGAAAACTTTGTTCTCTGAGTGCCAGCAAGAGAAATTGGAAGTGTATCCGATAGTGGGAAAACTGAAGCCTCAAAGTGAATCTGATATAAAGTATATAGTCGTTTGTGACTATAGTTACTTTACTTTAATTGGGTCTTTGTAGAATAACATTCACATCTTCCCACCTGGTAACATGCAGCTTTCACGTAAAATGCCTCATCGAGAAGCGCAAATCCCCATTAGTTCTTCACGTCTCAGCTTCTTGCATCCAAGTTCAACCATCGGTTAGCTTTACCGACAAATCGGGCGAAACCACCACGTTAAAGGAGAATCAAATCAACGTTCTGGATCTGGGATCTGTGAGCGTCTGAATAAATAAGTCTGAAAATTTCAGTCGATATTTCAACCAAGTTGCTTGCAGATCTGCAAAGGACAAAAAGAGCAGTTACTGTTTAAGATACAAAACATTGGCCAAACTGGAATATTTTATGAATGGCAAATGGATGCAAAGCCTGTGGGCCATTTGTTCAAAATTGCTGTTAATCCAGAGAAGGATTTCATTAAAAGTGGTTCCACTGGAGTATCGAAGTTTTTCCTGGAACCCTTACGAGCTGGAGTACTGAAGCAGTTCAAAGTGGCTCTAAATGTAAGCCAAATTTTGGCGAAAAAACTAAGTTTGAGTTTAAAGACTTTCAGATAATGTACGGTCCGACTTACACGCTCCATATAAATGCAAGTTCCGAGAAGCCGAATTATTCCTTCTCTTTTAACACGTATAACTTTGGCCATTGTCTTGTACAAGCAGGAGAGACCAATTTCTATAAAACTGTGTTGGTTTTTAAAAACTCAGGCACCCAAAGCATATTGTAAGGAAACCAAGTTTCCAAAAGATGGATACTGAGATGGATTTTAAACTGTTTTAGTTTGCAAAACGTGTTTGGGAGGAACCACTGGCTCTCAGTGGATTTTTCCTCTAGCGTTGTGCCTGTTGGCGAAGTTTGCCATATGCCAATCAGGTTCTTTCCTCAAGATCCTGGATCTTATAAGGAAAATGTAGCTTTTATGTTGGGAGCAAACAGGCACATAATTTACATAACAGGAGAAGCAGTAAACGTTAAATTGCAACTCTGCAAGCCGAAAGATAAGTTTGTCAATTTTGGAAATGTTTTGGTTCATTCGGCGAAAAAATACCGAATTGGGGTGAGCAACAATTCCCCTGCCAGGATGTCGGTGCACTTTGCGTTGTACGATAATTTGATTATACACACAAGGAAAATGGAAAAAATCCCGATGGGTCTTATGAAAATGCCCATAGTGCCGGCGAGTCCAAAGGAGTGCGTATTTTTTAAATATTATTTATTTGGTGGCTTTAACAGCTATGTGCTTATGGGTTTAGAGTTAAAAAAGACAAAGGGAAAAAGAAGGAGGAAAAGCAAAAAAGCGAGAAGCACACAGACGAGAAGTCTAAGACTGACAAAAAGGGCGAAAAAGCCAAAAAGAAAAACCAGCAAGTTAAAAACACAGAGTAAATATTTGAAGGCTTCTCTATTTTAAACAGCATTAACTCGCGATTTTAGAGACCGCCTGGTGGCAGAAGATTTATTAAAGAAGCAGGCAGATGAACGCCAGGAGTACTTGAAATCTTTTGTAGTTTCCCCCAATATGTTCATCGATATTCCTCCAAGAGGAAAAGGCCATTTTGATATCACATTCCAACCCAGCACGAAAATTGAATTTGAAGAGAAGGCAATTGTTACCTGATTGCATCTTCAGCTTCGCAATTTTCAGCATCTTTTTATTGTAGATCTACTTTGAGGTTCAGGATTACATAGAACCACTATGCATTATAAAGGGAGCCAGCATCATTCCAGAATTCACTTTGGATAAAAAAGAAGTACTGTTTCTGGGTGTTATTACTGGGCATAGTGCTTCGCAATTTGTGAGCTTGAGGAACAGTGGAGATGTCATTGGCAGGTAGATATTAAAAAAAAGTTGCTTGCCGCTGTTGGGGCGCAAACTAATGTACACCAAATTTGGTTTTTAGCTTTAGTTGGTCCATAGACGACAAGCAACAAAGCGCTTTTACAATTGAGCCGAGGCAGGGCTTTGTTTTGCCGAAGAACGACATGAAATTTAAAATTACCTTTTGCTCTGCTGATGAGAAATGCGAGAGGAAAATCAAGGTATGTTGACGGTAAAACACTATTCTGCCAAAAGTTTCGCTCACGTTTTCTGTCCCCATTCTCAAAGAGAGCGTGAACGGAGAGTAAATGTTCTTTATGTAGTTAGACAGGGAATTGTTTTCTTTGGTAGCGTGGTGTTATTAATTCTTTATTGCGCATCTCTTCGCTGCTGTTCAAAAGTACCTAAATAATGCGTTTGAGTTAATTTTTCTTTCATAATATGATATTGTTGTTTAAGGCGAAATGTTCAATTAAAGAAATTAAAGAGTCTTTGGAGCTTGAGTTAAAGGGAAATTCAATTAGGATGCCAGAACCATCCGGAACCATCACATTAAAATGTAATGTGCGTGAAACAGTAGCTGATCATTCTATAGCGATAACTAACCAGTAAGTTAAGAAAATTTCGAAAATCACTGTTTGGTCTTGAGCCGTATAAAATGGGGTCATTTTAGTACACTGCAACAATGGTTACTGCTGACCGAACTGTCTCATGATGCGTTTTCAGCCCCAAGAGAAGTGATTGTGCCAGCAACAAATTCGGCAACAATTCCTGTCGCCTATTTTCCGCAGAAAATGACCTCAATGGCACCTGACCAAGTAACACTTTCATCATTGCTAAATGGTTGAAAACTCATGTTTGTTTTAGGGCACATTATTCATCGAAATGCCTGACGGTAGTGGTTTGATCTACCGACTCATTGGCCACGCGGCACCACCATCAGCGAAGAAACGAATCGAAAAGGAAATCCGTTGCAAGCAAAATCATTTCGAAGACATTTTGGCCGAAAATTGGCTAACTGTTAAGCAGATATTTACGGTTTCAACTGAGGTGGTGTCTGCAGTGACTCCCAAAACTATATACCAAGTGTTTGGTTTCAAAGATATCGAACTGGCCGGAATGGAGTCGAGGAATTACAAATGGGGCGTGTACGTAGTCAACGAAGGCCCCATTGAATTCAAAGTCACATTTACGAATCCGCAAACTGGAGAATACGAGTTTTTTGAGATCAGTTTTAAAGTACTTTCAAGTGAGCCTGTTGAAGTTATAAAATTCCATGGACGGGTGCGAGAGCACTTTACACAACACTTCACCTTGGAAAATCCTGTGGATGTTCCCGTAACTTATGATTTGGAGTGTGCTGAGAAAATTTTAACTTTCCCGAACTCGCTTACTATAAATCCATACACTTCGGTAAGTTTAATTCAAACAATCGTTTATAATCTAAATGCTGATGTCTATAGGAGTTTTTTTTGCTGTCCTCTTAGCTTGGGTTTTTTATAACACTTGCAGGTAAAAGTTGATGTGACTTACAGTCCACTACTTCCCGAAGACATTTCCACAACTCTGAGCGCCAAATGCGATGAGCTGGGAACGTACACGTTTCTAATAAAAATGAAATCTGATCCACCCAGGCCAGAATCACCAATCATCTTCCGAAGTGAACTCGGCTTTAAGACCTCGAAAACAATTTTGTTCCAAAATACTTTTGAGCGCCCAGTAGATTTTGCGACGATGGTAAGGCCTGTTATCTTCTTTAAGAGCCGATGTTATAATTGTTGCAAATTTTCAGTTTAGCGACGAAGAATTCCACATGGAACGTTGCAACTCGATACCTCCAGGTGAAACTTCAAAAATTGTACTTACATTTGAACCATCGGCTTTGGGCTGTTTGAATAGTCAATTAGTTTTGGTTTCTCCAGTGGCTGGCCAGTACATGTAAGTATTAATTGTGAAGTAAAAAAATATATAAAAATAAATATAGGTCACCAGATATTTTTATGATTGTTATACAACAGTTCTAGATTTTTAAGATTATGCAAATATAGAAACTGCGGCAGATTTCTGGAAGAAAAACATTTTGGGTAAACAGAACTATTTACATGCAACCATGGACGGGCAGTTTTAATGTCGATTTTAGATGCACTTTTAGATATGGATAATTTTCTGTTTGCAATCATTTATTAACAATTTTTACTACTTTCGTTGCTCTATATTTTCGTATCTATTTACTATTTATTTTTTTCCGCGTTTAATTAATTTGGCGGTGGATTGTATAATTTTCCTTTAAAGTAGTAAAAATATGTTTTCTTTGAAAGTATTTGTGTCTTCGTTAATTATCTCTATTTTCTTTAACAAGTCTTTTCTGTTCTATTCTCCTATATTGAAAATTACTGATTCAATATAAATTTTCGCTTTTAGATACCCTTTGGTAGGTGAGGGAATTCTTCCGACACCAAAAGGACCTTTTATTGCGAAGCAAACGAGTCCAGCTGTTATTGAGTTTAAAAATCCTTTTAAACAGGACAGACAATTTAAATTTTGCTTGCAACCTGATATCTTCTGCTGTGACTTTGGAGAGGATCTTATAAAAGCTGGAAGATCTACAAGATATGTGATTCTTCTGCGCTCAGGCCTGGATATTGATGGATATAAAACTGGGAAATTAGTAATTTCCCTTGCAGATAATCCAGAAGTACAGTGGAAGTATTACCTGGAAACCAGTCGGTGATTTTTTATAAGATTATATTTATTTATACAATATTTTGTGTGGATGCGGTAATAAAATCAGTTAAACGAAACAACTAATAAAGAAATTTGTATTTTCCATTTAAATACAAAATAACATAGAACGCAAGTGACCATCTTATCATTAAACAGTATTGCTTTGGAAATTCTAGGTACTGCAATGATGAAGATATAAAATCTACAAAGTACGACACTTAAACTCAATATATTTGCAACATTTTTACATTTATTTCGAGTGTCGAGATTATATAATAAATGGATCTAATTTATTTTATTTCAACATAGCTCTGACTAGAAGTAACTATACCTTAATTAATGGATTTACAGTATCACATACACATAAAATGCCCTAGTTTTAAAATCCGCAACCTAATCTACGCTCTATTTGGTTGCTTGACTACTTCAATGTAGAGAGCCCTGGAGCTTCGAAAGCCTAATTAAAAACCTGAAAATGTTGAAATTTGGAGAAAGTCTAGGAATTAATGAGGTTATTATGCATCTCAATCAAACAAGTTTTTGTAATGAAGTGTGTATGCGTATTACATATACGTACTTCATTACAGAAACTTGTTTGATTAAGTTTCATCCAGTGTGTACACACCAAATTCTTCTTGTTATTATGCATCTAACATCACATTTTTTAAATGTAAACCGGGCAATAAATGTAGTACGTGCATTAGAAGTTTTCCAACTTGCAGTTGTAGAAATTCAAATTTCGTCTCGGGTTATAACGAGTCGATAATATTAGTGGATACAATTGCGCTACTTCAATTTTTTTTAATACGAATGTAACAGCAAACATGTAAAGCAAATGTCGTGTTTGCGTGTTGTTGGTGTTTTCTTCTGTGAATTACATTCTAAATTAAAGAGGTCTTGTGTTCTCAATAGGGGTGTGTTTTTTCTTCGAAAACAACGTTTTTCAGTCGGCTTTACTAAATTTACTATCCAATTTCGTACTGGATTTTCTTCCAAATTTCGATATCGAGTTTTTGGGGCGTAATATTTATTCTTGTTTAGCGACTTTTGTTGTGTGTTAACTTGAAATCTTCAGTGGTCGATATAGAACACCCGTAAATTCGATTCCCCTTCAATCAACAGCTTATCCATAATAAGTATCTAAACTTTGACTTCATTGACCGCTTTTTTCAACACACATTTTTCAGGATTTCGATCTACAAAAATCCGTTTTTTTAAATGACACCAACAAACATTTTTGATCCAGCTTGAAAATGTTGCTATAATTAAATATTAAGAAACCAAACTGAACAGGACCAAAAAAGTTAATAGTAAATAGGTTCCATTTAAAAACTGATTTTTTCATATTTTTTATGACAATGCTGGTAGGCTGCATGCACTAATATTTTACAAAATTGATATCTTAGTGTCATCTGGGGAGTTAGCTTAGGCTTTCGACTAACTACCTACCTGCCAAATTTGGGTTTTCAATTTAGAACTGTTCCTCAGATATAGCTTGTTCCGGTTAACAAAATTAGGGTGACTCAAACTGGCAATTGGACGGCCAATCCAAGCATGCCAAAGAAATTAGAAGTTCGCATTTAAAATAAGAAAATTAGGTGACCGTTTTGGTACACTCGTACACTCGACTCGGTTCTAAAAGTTTCTAAAGCAACTACAAGATGGAAAATTCCCAATGCACGGTCTGCGTAAATCATCCTGAATAGCAGATTAGATTTATTTTCATACGGGAAAAATTCATTTGATTTTAGCCATCACTATTAGGTGCTTGTCCAAAGAAATAATTTCTCAAAAGACGTTTTGAAATCGCCAAGTAACCACCATTGATTGTCGAAACGATAGTTAATGTAACATTTTTGAAGCATTTATTTACATAATTTCGCATGGGAAGTAGAAAAGACAGATTTTTACATGGATGGACATACTTTACACAGTAGAACTAGCTGTGACGTACAATGAACCAAGTTGTAATTTTTATTATATTAGAAGGATACTTAATTATATAACAACAAAATACTTTGAAAACTGAAAACTTGTTGACGGCAGTTAAAACTTTCCTAAAAAAGAACGATTTCCTAATTGAAAATTACATTTTATATAGAGCCTTGCCCTTAGAGGCTGCAGATAAATAAAACACTCTCTCTGCTTTCGCAGGGCCATGTTTCCTAATTAAGCACAAGTAGCCATAATTTTTAATTAGCCACAGATATGTCAAGAGGATTGCTGAACTTAACGCTTTATGCCTTATACGGCTACTGAATCACTTTTTTAAAATAACACTTTCAACATTATCCACGCTAATGGTCTTAACAAAAATTCGATGAAAATTGTCCGGGCTGTCTTCACTACACTACATTATACACGTAATTTTGCAATTAGAGATTAGTGATAAGTTTATAGGCTTATTTACACTAAAAAACATGATCATCGTAGCTGTCCTTTCGCTCTCTGATATATTTCATAGACGGTGTCCGCATTACGAAAGAAGAATCGGTAGCTGGAGTGATCAGAGGCGTGCCTGTTAGACTAATTGCTAACGGCAGAGCTGAAGGAGTGCAAAGGTTTGACGCTCCTCGATGCTCGGATACTGATTTATATCTTACGGGCCGTGATAACCTAGAAAATAATTTGTTGTTTGTGTAAAAACTTGCAATATTTTCGCATTAAAGTTTTGCTGCTAGCTTGTGCGTCATATCCTCATAAATTATCTACGCAAATTAATAATGTCGTTTCAACTGGGAAGCGCTAAATTTCCAATACGATCTAGATCATCTCTATAGAGAGCATCCAACATGTAGCAGCTAATTGACTACGAGAAAGCGACCAATTCGTGAGCAAATTTTCCATTAAAGGGTTAATTAACTTTAACACCGCTTACATGATAAAGGCGTAATTGCAAAGGGGGCATGTGACATTACACTTAGGCAACTAATGCATCAAAATGCAGCACTAATCGAATCAAAACTGATGCGAAGGAATATGAATTATAAAATTGAAACTGACATTTGCAAGGAACGTTCACCGCTAATTGAAAACGCCTAAATTATTTCAACGGAAGAACTGTTAATTTCATGGAAATAAAATCAATGAAGCTGTGATAGCTGCTAAATAGTTGCGAAGTAAACGAATCCTAAGAAAGGCATTACCATGATTAGTCCTGACTTCTGTTTACCTCTCTATTATCTACCCTGTAAGGAATAAATTTCGCGTTACACAAAAGTATGGTAATTTTGTTCAGACGCTTGGTTCTGCAGCAAAGTAAAACTTTCCTTATTTTTGATTATGCGCCATTTCCATAATAAGGTCGTTTTGCCTAATACGAATTTTATTTAACAGTTCATAAAGGAATATTGTGTTTTTACGCAATTTCTGTACCGTCGGATTTATTGCATTGGTATTTGATTATTGCTGAATTTTAAAATTGCCATTGTTAATTATGTTGTTTGGCACTAGCTCTGAAAGCTGGGCATTTTTGAATAGTTTGCATGCATCATTACACAGTCACTAGTTTGTTACAGCTTGTTGTAGTTACTCGAGTAAAATTTACTGCTCATTTTTTTAAAACCATTTACTTTCTCATCATCGTAAAAATACATAAAGATAGACGACATTTAAGTATTAAAAGAATACGTGCTGGAATGGTTTCCAACAATTTCCGTAACGGGAATGCAATTACCATTTGAACCTAATCGGATGAGCCTAAGAAGATGAGGGGACTTTTGAAAACGTCGGCTAAGACGGAACTGGAAGGGCCGCAAAATGCATTCTAATGTGCTCTTTATTGGTATTGCCAGTTAAGATTGCTGCCTATAACATAGGCACCAGTAGTCAGAAAGTTAAATATTTTTTATTTGTGCCATTCGCTTATATCACTCTAAATTGCGACTCTAATTTTAAGCTGCGGGATTTTTTCTATTTTTTAAAATAATATTAATTTACTCTCTCAGCATTTATTTATTAACAAACACACGGTGTAGAAGCTCGGCCTTGATGCCTTCCGAAACTTTTCATATAATACACGACGTCGCACTTAAAATTTAATCTTTATGATCTACAAAACTAAGCATTGAAAAACTGTTTACTGAGACATTTTGCAAGGTTGCTTTTTTGAAAATCGAAAGTGCAATAACTGGAGCAAATCATTGAAACAAAACAATAAAGTATTCCAAACATGAAACAATAAGAAGAATGCTATAAAATTGAACAAGTTATACATCAATCTAACAAAGAAATAGACACCCTGTAAATTATTCGCCCATAATTGTTCTATTTGTGCATATCTAGAAGGTTCTTTTACATAGTAAGTTTGCGTCTAAAGTTGTCTACAGCATAAGTAAAAAAATATTTTGCGTTTTTTACCATTTTTGAAGCGCAGAAAAGATTGGAAAAGTTTCCTTAAATATCTAAAAAATGACTTAAACCTCACTAAACTGAAAAAAATTATATAAGTCATTATTAATTCCATCCCAACAATTCTGGATTTTCTGCTATAATTTAGCTTCACTCGATTAAATTATCAGGTAGACAGAAAGAAAAAATAAATTAGAAAAGCCAGTTGAAAAAACAATATCTTTCCCCTTATCACCTTTGAGCAATCCCGCTGGAGATTTATTAGGTGGAAATGCCCAGCTTCAGTAATTGAGCAGATTCATGCCTTCGCACTTTTTCTGAACGTGTTTAGGGCACAATCGTCCATTATCTCTATGAATATTTTGATGCTGATAAAGCCGAATTGAAATTGTTAAGAGAAAGTCAGTACGTTAAGCAGAGCACGGGAAATTAAACTGTTTGCACAATATTAGTACCTAAAGGTTAGTAAGTTAATTCAAAGCGACATTAATTCAGAGCCTTGAAAACTTACTGGAACTGATCCCTCAAACCTCAAGTGGCCGACATCGAGGTGCAACTCTTAGATCGAATCACTTGACCCACATACCTCTGGCATCTGCACAGCAACAGCCTGATGAAGGCTGCTCGAAACGTCTTGTTGAAAATCGTGTAGATGATCGGGTTGATGGTCGAGCTAACGTATCCCAACCAAAGACATGTGACCACCACATGCTGAGGAACATCGCAGTCTGGACATGCGGCGAAGATAATGTTGAGGATGAAAAATGGTGCCCAGCAAAGCACGAAAGTGAAGAAAACAAGTCCGAGGACTTTGGATGCTTTTTGTTCAGTTGCCACCGAGTTTGAGGCGAAAGTTTTCCTCTTCACTTTACCCGCAAGTAATCTGCAACAAATTTTTTTTTTGATTAACCGGATAAACTAAAATGAATGTAAACGTATCTTGTGAAAACTAATTAAAAAATTTAAAGTTTTTGGCTGCTAAATTGTGAATTTTCAAATTTTCAATGTGATATAATATTCAAAGTTCTACCTACGAAGTACAACAGAACAAGGCAGGTAGCATTATTGCCCGTTTGCGGGAACATCGAAGTTTTCCCTGATGAATATGGCCAAATGAGCTTTCGGAACGAAAGCGACAGCCAAACATTACAATTTAAATAGCTGCGGGTTCGAAATTTGAATACGCGCGATTGGGCGGGGGTGACAGTCAAACTAAACATTTATTTGTATATTTTGAAACGGTTTTATTTGCACAAGAAATAGTTTTATCGGTGGAGAAAAAGCATTTATGTTTGTCGTCAGCTCTTCCTGGTTTTAAATTATTTTACTTTCAGTTTTGCCGAAACCAGCACTTGCAGTCAATGTTTCCAATTTCAGGCAGTGTAGTGTTTTAAAAACGTATTTTTTATAAAACAAGCTGTATTTTTTGCTTGTTTTAAAAGCGTCTAAAAATTTTGAGAATGTATTAGTTGCATGTTCAAAAAATACGTTCCTGACGATGAGGATTAGTAATTTATTGCTACTTTCTTAACAATTTGCCCTGCAAGCATTATTGAGCTACAAATTCGAATGCCGATAATTTGACGATATTTTGAACCACGCCGATTATTCGAGATTCAAAACTTCAGGAATTTAAACTGAGAAAAAAATACAAAAAGCACTGGTCGAGACGAAGAATTCATACATGTAAATTTCACATGTTTTTACTTTATATACAGTTCCGCAAGCCGATTAAATTAAACTAAAGTTTTATGTGTGAAACTCAAATCACATCGATTGCGAATTTCCATTAAAGTCTTCTTGCATCTGTCCATGAAATTGAACTGGAACATGAGAGTTGGCGAGGACTTTTGTGGTGTGAAACCATTAGCAAGATGCAAACTGGAAGGCGATGCCAAATCCACTCACTTTAATTGAATGGTATTTACTTCAAAGGTGTCGCGAGGCCGAGTAATTTCATTAAAGCTGAACTTTTGCCTTGAAAGCTGCATCTTTGAACAACCTACTCCTAATAGACTCGCTGTATTAATTAGAATAACATTTCCCGGAATTGGAAGTTAGAGTTTTTATTATAATTTTTTTGCAATGTGGATAAGGAGTTTCCAAAGTACGTTGACTGGATCAATTCACTTTCAACACCGACACCTTATTTATATGACCAGGGTGACATTTGGCTATCAAGCTATCGGTAAATTGTAATTCGATTGGAAAAGTTTGCAGAAACTTTCCTGTAGTGTTTGGATTTTCGTCAAGCACTCTGTGGCAGGGTTAAGTCGTTTGGTGAACTTAGGAGTGCTAGAGAGTACAATGGAGTTAGGGTTCACACCTGCTATTAAGAATTTATCCTGATTTTCAGCGTACTAATCAATTGGGTTTAAGTAGCTTCCTGTATTTCTTTAGCTGATTAGTAAAACATTGTTTGAGTCCTTCATGTATTTATTGCAGGCTGCTTTTCGCCAAAATTCCATTAAGCAAGAGGATAAGTTAGATTTGAGCTTTTCCATCTTTTTCATACATTCTCCATGCCACTGCATATTGCGAATTTCATCACTTTAATCCAGGCTCAACGCCCAAGAATAATGTTCAGGCTCCTTTGTCATCGTCTAGCCAACACTGCTGAAATTAATTATTCCAGCACTCTCTCATCAACACTTAGAATTATAGCTAACAATTTCATATCTGCTCTAGGTCCAGGACAGTTCATCTAGCTTATATTAAATTTCTTTAAAATTTCTTCATTTTATCTCGATGCTCTGTTCAGCTTAAGACAAAACGTTGAAATGACAAAAACGATATTTTTTGAGCAATCTGATTTTAAATTTTCGTCAGTTCCTTTGTTGACTAGCAAGTCAATTTCATACAACTCGTTCAAATTCTGCTTTTTAGCGGCTTGGAAAATGTAGGTTTAAAAATGTTTTCGCTCAAGTACACTTGGTTTGAAAAATTCATAACTATTCCGCTAGAAACAGCAGCAGCTTAAAACTGTTCCAGCTCATAAACACCATGTGCGTCTGTCTGGACATGTGCACATTCTCGTTGAAATAACGATAAAGTTGGATTTTTTCCGGCTTGGTAAAGGTTGAACAAAAATAGGCGTTTTTACTCAAGTGCACTCTGAGTTTGAAACATTCTCAACTCCTAATCTGAAGCTAGTATCAACTTGAAGTATTGAAAATCTACAGACGTCTCATGAAGTAAGAATTTTCGTTAAATTCTTAGGAAATTGTAATTTTTATCGACTTAGTAAATGTTGGTATGAAAATGCACGTTTTCACCAAACTTGGCTAATGTCAGTCAAAGAAATGGAAGTTTTCAGTTCAGTGCACTCTGCGTTTGAAAACGGCCTCACACCTAACCTTATGCCAGTAGCAACTTAAAGCCTTTAGGATGTCTTGAATTTAGAAAAGATGGAATTTTAATTGAAATCGCTATCAACTTCTATTTTTACCGATCTGGTAAATGTCGGTATGAAAATGGACGTTTCTACCAAATGGCACTCTGGGTTTGAAATTTTCAGCAGGAACTTAGAGCAAATCCCTATTATGGACAACATTTGAGCCTTGAATGGCGGCACTTATCATTCAAATGGCGACAAATCGGATTTTTACCACTTGGTTAATGTTAGACTGAAAATTAACTGTTTAGTCAAGTGTATTCTGGGTTTGAAAATATTATCACATCTAACCCAACGCCAGTAGCAGCTTCAAACTCTTACAATCTGTAGAAGTGGTTCCAACATAGAAAAGTTGGAATTCGCATTAAAATCGTTTTCAATTCGTACTTTGCACGACTTAGCAAATTTGGGAGTTAGGGACTTTACCAATCCAGCGTGCACTTTCAAGAATACGCCCAAGCCTTCTTATTCTTCTATAGCCAACGCTTTAACCAGGAGAGATGGATGTTTTAGTTCAAATCGCATTAAATCCAAATTTTCGCCAATTCGGTATTTATTGGCCTAAAAAATGGGCCTTTTGCCGAGTGCACCTCATGCTGTAAAAATACTGTGAATCTGAGAATAACTTAAAACTTTTACTGTCTAACCACTAAAGTAACAAATTATTTACTGCATTTCGAGTTTTTTTCGATGTTTCTTTTGCCAAGCATTGAAGAAAAAGACAATTAATTTTATATAAGCGGTCGTGGGTTAGCACTCACTTGGCAAGAAAATACAAAGCGCGAGTAAATGCAACCACGAAGAAATATTGAACATAGAAAACATATTGGTATTTCAAAACCATTGGTATTTACAATGAACCGACATAAATTGAACCTTTTAGAAATATTAGTCTTTGGGTTTCTTAAACCATTTATATATTGTGAGCGTAAAATATTCTATGTAGACGTGGCACGAGATGTGAAATTCTTAAAGTACGCAAAACTCTCTAGACAAGATACTTGTATTATGTAAGTATTTGCCTTAGTTAATATTCCTTTTCGCATCTCTGAAACCAACAAATTATTTATAGAATGTTACTTAAGTAGCTTAATCTTTAATGTATTTTTATTTTTATTTATCAGCATCTTTCAAACGCTGAGTTTCCGATGCTGAAATAAACTGACAAGTTCCTCTGAAGGCGCATTTCGGTGCATTTAGCAGAACTAACCTGTGTTCGTAAAATCTATTGAAAAAGCTTAATACTCTAATACCGCTAGCAGGCCGGACTATTTTGCCGCTGTTTCTAAAACGGGTTTAATGGATAAAAAGCCGGCAGTAAACAGGGATTAAAAAATGTCCACCTCATTTAATAACGGGGCCTGTAAAAGACTTTTCAGTAGATTACCGCAAATTACGAGCCCAGTTTGAGGTGAAATGTGAGCACCTTTTCGGCTGGTGATAAATCCTTCGTATTTTAAACTGTTAATGAGTTTCACAAGGATTTTAGCGATTTTTATTGAAATAAGGAAACCGGGAAGTTTATAAAACTATTTTGGTAATATTAGTCATTGTACATACTTTC